TTCAGGCCAAAAGAAAGACCTGCAATTCGCAGATTTAGCTCTTGCATAATGTATGTTTAATTATCTTGACATTTATCTTTTAATAAAGCATCGACCAATCATTTGGTTTATCAGTCTGCTAAACCTGGGCTGAAAACGTTCATTATTGAACTTAGTCAAGATATTGATGTAAATAAATTATATTATACCGAGTTTCGACAGATCTAAGCAGAAAATAATCATCATCGAATGAATGAATGAAATGCGGTTTAACATCGAGCTCCTAAGCCCTGACCACGGTCTTTTGTGTGCATGCCAAGGTGTACACAGGACATTGGTTTTTTTCGTCTTATCCCAACGACTAGACGTTGTTCCTTACCAAGTGAAAGCCGCTCTGGAAAATTCCAGGGAACCTTCTCGGTCCACCCTGTTGATTGAAGCCCGTCAAGCCATTCACCAAATGAACATCTATATTTTACTTCAATTAGCAGCAGGATTCATGAACATCCAGTCACGACATTCACCTAATAAGCATCTACAAAGCATTGATATATCGAAACGCTTAATGCGGCTTAACCAAAGCAAAGCATGTTCAGGGGCGTACATAACGATTTTGTTTGGGGGGGGGGGGGTAGCCAAAATGCTACCGACTGATGCCCATACCCCTAGTACGAGTGACGCAGTCAGGAACCGCGCACCACAGGTGCGAGTTTTGTAGGGGCCATGTGCAGTAGCGGATCTAGATAGGGGTGTGGGGGGGGGTCCAAATCTAGGGCGCCACCCCAGCCACAATCCCACGCCACAATGAATGTCAACAAAATACTGGCTATAACATTAAGCGCCCCGGTAGAACATAGATGGTATTGTATAATTATATAGTTGTTTGCCGATCGTTGTCTCGCTGGAAAGCAGTTTTATTTAAGTTGACATAAAGTTTATGTCATATATAATTGTGCCTATAACACTGAGCAACCTGAGAAAATTTTGAAAAATTGAGTCAATATCTTGGCATTTGAGGTCATTGCTGGGAGAAATTCTTGTGGACGAGCGGACAAGAAATGTGAGTCAATTAGACAAAATCTCGAGATCTGCCCCTGTCAGTTCCGCCTGTTTTGCAAGAGTTGACAGAACTTTTGTATAGTCTGACGCCCGCCAAGCCACACGCCAGTAGAACTAACAATTCTACAGTCTTTTTTATCATCAAACCCAGTCAAGTCATTTATTAGTGAAATTCGGACAAAAGTGAGCAGACAAATATCACGCAGAGAGTAGAAGTAAATGTCCCAAGTTTATCGGCATGAAGGAATTAATGTTTAAGACAGTCTAGATGACACCATCGGTTACATTAACACAAGTAGCAGGGCGGGAGCATGGCAATAAATAGTAAGTAGTCGGTGGGATGAGAAGAAAAACCGAGGTACTATGTACAAATTGGTGTACACGTAATAGAACCCGTGGCAGTTTGAATTCGAAATAAGAGCAATCGGAAGCGCATTTATTCGAGCAAAATATCCCTCAACACTACATTAGGCTATACTCGTCTTCATTTAACACCACTAGCAATTGTCTGTATTTCTAAATAACAAACAGGTTTTTTTTTTTTTTAAAATAATATTTTTGAAAAATATCCATAATAATACACTTATAATACAATAAGTAACAAATTAGGCCAACATATGCGGTTTGATATTATTTTAAAATCTCCAAAGCAATTTAAAGAGGTACGCGGCGATAGAACACGCCATCTCCTACGAATAGTTAATCCAAATAATTTTTTTTTACCACTGAGCGAGAACTAAGAAGCTTATAACCAGATTAAACGTTGATTCGATTTATTTCTCTACCCATTTCATATTTTATCATTCAGGAAAACACGTAACTTATCTACTGATTAAAGAAAGTACATTATAACTACAGGATATAGTTTTTAAGAATTTGGTAACATTGCTGACTGGGAAACAAGAAAGGACCCTATTTTGTCTCAAGAAACCCTTCTCCAATACAAAAAAGGCAATATTACTTTAAAGGCATTAATTAGCTTGGGAGTTTCTTAATAGTTTTATCGGTTCTGCGGTTAATGTTTTACTGTCATGATGTAAATAGAAAATATTTCGAAATACCTCAAATATTTTATTCTACGGATGGATACAATAGCAACGTATGTTGAATGTGAAAGTTTATTTACTGTTTGATGTTTTAAAAAGTCTATAGTGTTTAGTTGATATGTAAATAAAAAAGGCTAGTCATAACTTACTATGTAAATACAAACAGAAAGCTAACCGTAAAATCAACGTGAATTAAACTTAAATTTGTGACTTAATGTTTCTTATGAAGTTATATGTGTACCGATATACTGTTGAAACAAGTTACTGGGTATGAATCTAATATTGTCGTGTTTCCGTACTTTTAAAAGTCAAATAAAATAAGAGGATCTGGGTTTGTGCGTTTTGCACAGGAACTTCTGTCTTAAATCTGAATAAGCACCACCAGAGCAAAAGCCTTACCCCATTCAATTTTCAATTCCATCACCCAAGGACAATTAAGCATCACTCAAGTTACATTCATAAGCTGTATTGCGATATAATTCGGATAATAAAAATATGTCAGAGCAACATAATTCGAGAATATCTTATAAATAGCCCACAAATTTATAGCAGGGTTGGTTTTTTTTAAAATTATGTTTCCGATGCTGTATTAGTCAATCTATCTGACGTACACGTGGTAATGTTCTTCCCTTGAAATATAATTGGCTGATTCATTATTCGTTCCTTCTTCCTTCTAAAGTTAGCAACTCGTGTGACACTTCCGCCTCGTCAAATGCACCAAATCGGCGAGGTGATAATACCGTCAAATGACGATTGCTTATTGCTCTGACCCTTGGACTTCACTTTGGGCATCAATATTCATTTTTGACTTTAATATTCATTTTTGACTTCAATATTCTAACTTCACAATTTCAAAATGCGCATCATAAATAAAGATTTGGCACCGAGTGCGATACTCTTTGACATCAATGCACATGTTCCATCAGAAAACCACTGTGACCCACCCCCTACCCCACCCACGCAGCAGTGATGAACTCATCACCCGTCCCTAATCTGCAGCCCGTGGGGGAGGCTTTGGGTTGTGAGAAGAGGAAGTATTCGGTGCGGGGAGATGGATCTGGAAAATAGCCTGGGTGAGTGAGGATCTTCTTGGCACCCATCTTGCAGATACTTTGTTCATGTGCGAATGTTTATGAATTATTCGTTCCACTGATGTTTTGCTAATGTCATGTGCAGTATCAGTTACTCGCCTGCCCCGCATTATTGTGTCGAGACTAGCATCATCATTACCGTGGATAGTCACTTCACAAGGACGACCAGATCATGGTTTATCTTCCGTACTGAATATATCCCTTTTAAATTGAACACACCATTTTTATGACTGTACTATAGCATCATGCTCATGCTATTTGACAGCTATATGAAGAAAATTATATCACACGGAATACATGTTTTGCATGTCAAGCACATACTAGATACTTTTCTTACAACATGGACAGATTGGCGATCAGTTCACGGTAAGACCAGAAACGTTTTACTCGACAACCCTTTTAGTTCCAACCGATGAGACCGGAAACGGTTTACTCGACACCCCTCTTAATTTCGTGAATAATATGTTTCATATGACATATCATATTTCTGTAATGGCCATTTTATTTATATATGTAAAAACATAAATGATACAATTTATTTCTTGGTAACATAAGTGTAGCAAAACACTTTGCAACACTTAATACAATTTTATTTTATATGTGTGTTAACATAACTAACAAGATACAAAATACGAGAAAAACAACAACATTTAAATAGACATGCACATTTAAAACCTCAATAAAATTTATTCTGGTCCCAAAATTATTCAAATCGATTAAGTTATGGGAGTTAAGTTTACTTTAGTTTTTATTATTTGCATATCGTTCTAATAATAGTTCTTTTCCGTACACGCTAGTCCGGGACCCCAGAGCAGCTGGTGCCCGGGATAGTAGTTAGAGAGCAGGTGGTGGTCCGGTCAGTGACTAGGACTAAATATCAGATGGCCGTTGGTGGTTTCAGAATAGGTGGAGACCAAGTTAGTGCTTTCAGAATAGGCGGCGGAAAATGGGTTGATAGTGGTGGTTTCCAGACTAAATAACATTTCAGCGCTGCTTGGGATTATCTTGTCCAAGATCGACAATTACTTAAACTTTAAGAGGGCAATATAGTTATTTTTTAAGAAAATGATTCAAATGAATAATATTTAAAAAGCATACTCATATATTAGCATGTGTCTACTGTACGTTAAATTGTAAATTAGGTTATATTTCATAATTTTACCTTGTCAGATATGTGATAATATGTTTATGGTCTAGAATTACACGTAAAACTACTCTAACTACAATAATGTAACTTTTAATCGATTGATCCTTAGTCCAACACCGTGTCCCACAGTATCTTGTTCATCTAAGAGAGAAATAAAATAAACATGATGTAAATACAGAGAGTTTATGTACTGTGAAGCTGAACATTCTGCTACAAAGAACTTAGTAGATTTAACTTAGATGGAGTAAGTGTTACAACTTGATTCAGTACCTTTGTGTCAGAGCTGAAATCTCATGATGAGACCAGTTAATTCCGAGTTATGTCTTCTTAATACGTTTAAGTGGAAATATGTGTGTACTATATAAATTTAATCACTTTATTTCGTTTATTCAGTTCATTACCATTAAGAGTTATACGTCGATCGAGGGTTGTATTACAAATTACAAAGATTGTCAGCTATGAGGAAGTCTATCGCCAAAAACGTCCCTTCCGAACCGATTTCAAATAGAAAATTGAAACAGGTGTTTAGTAAAAACAAGCATATTCTGCTTCGTGTTAATTTAATTGGTGGAATATGGTCGAGTATTTGATCCAACGAGTAATTCTATGTGATACCAGATAAACATTCTTTAAAGAAACTGGTATGGCTCAGTTCAAAGTGCTACGGGAATAAAAAGACATATTTTCAGAAAAAGGACTGTATTCTGTATTTATTCCAAAATGGATTATTTCTCAAAGTACATATTTGTTACCTTAATTATATCGGTTGATACTATGGGTATACATATCATTGATGAGCGGTCTGAGGTTAGTTTGCAATCAAGAATCGGTAACTCTTTTTAAACATATTCGTAACAAAAATAATACTTATTAACAGAGTTTATACTTATGAAAGCAGAATTTGTCACTCACCAATATATTTGCTTAAATATTCGGTTGTTCATCTCTTCGATCATACAATATTACTTATTAATCATATTACTAAACTCGAAATCACTTAGCATATGATTATTCAGAAGAATGTTGAATAGTGTCAAATGTATTACTTTTTGACAAATTTATTTTGAAGGTACAGGACGTTCCACCTCCTTCGGGTTCTGAATCCCACCACAGAGTAAAGAGATTAGTCTATACTGCTCAAAGATATAGATGGACAAAGGGTATTATACCTTATACATTTGACCATTCTTCTCTCAGTAAGTATGTAATTTCAACCGTATTACGATCTCTATAATTGTCACAATATTTCATACTTCTTATTCTTATAAGATCACAGTTGGAATTTTCCTTGTAGCACACTGTATGTCGTGTGTACGTCTACATTAAACCCCATTCATTCATATTCATTCCAATTAACTTTATGTATTTTATATTACAGCAAATGAAGATAAAACAACAATACTTCAAGCAATGGGTATATGGGAGAAATATACTTGTTTGAGATATGTACCATATAACTCAACTACATCATCATTGTATGGGATAGGTCATGAAAGCCATTTACATTTCTTCAACGATCCACAACAAGTGTATGTAAAAACTTAAATGCTTTCTAAAAAAAATCATTTTAAATCTGAGCAATGCCATTTGGTGTATCAAATGCAACTACCGCTTTCGTGCAGTTTACAATTATAACTATCAGTTTTTGCATATTTTATTTAGATACATTCATTGTGTCTGTAATTACCCATCTTCATTAGCCCTGTTGGTGCAGAAAACTCTGGCGTTAAACCTCATTTCGTTTTCGTTTCATTTCGTGCCAGCAATTACAAAGGTTTATATGTTTTCAGGTGCCAGTCTCCAATTGGTCGTATGGAAAATAAAACGAGGCGCGTTAGATGTTGTGCTTTGGTAGGTACCTTATTTTGAAAATGATCGGGCTGGACTGCTTGCAGTTTTAGCGTATTAATTATTCTAATTACTTACAATACCTTCAACAAATGAAAAATGAATATAAATAATCAGTTTAGCGCCCAGCAATTTATCCAAGCCAGAAACCGTGAAAGTTAATACGGTATATTTGCATTTATAATCCAATCCACGGGCTAGTTTCCATTGTATTATGGGTTTGTAACGAAAGTTTTTCTGATAACCTACTTCAGACAACATGTCTTCATGAACTTGGTCATGCTGCTGGGTTATTACATGAACAGAAATCATCCGAAAGAGATGACTGGGTCAGAATAAACTGGGAAAATATAAAAAAAGGTGAGTACACCGAAAGCAATACGATATATATTTTAGTTATGAGACATGGACCGTTACGATAATATAGCCTATTACAGCTGAAAATAACCACAAATCAAAGGAATGGTTAGTTCTGAAAGTTTCCAAGATACGTTTACACTGAGAATATCATTCAGAGTTTCAATAATACATTCATATAAGTTCAACGATGACAATATTTATATAATATCTGGCTTTCCACCTACAGAATTATGGTACGCTTTCGGTAAACTACCGTCTGATGAAACAACGTCCTACGGGTATGACATCAGTTCAAGGATGCACTATTCCTCAACTGTAAGTTAAACTTAATGGCTATTTTTTTGTTGTTACGTGCCCGAAGGAAAATCTTTAAAGACCCGTGATACTTAAAAGTGCGAATAAATAATAGTTTCACTTTAATATGTCACTCAAATGTCTCGGGTGTTCAAGACCAAATATACTGCAAAAAAAGGGATTTGTTTCACTCTTTTTATGAAGTCTGTCCTACTCTGAAAATACGGGAACTAACGAAAACCCATCTCCTAGCTGAGTTCTTCAGGATGTTAACATTTTCGTTTAATTCATATCTATTTTCTTTTTTCTAACATCGAACATATTGAAAGTGTCGTTTATTTATTTAGGCTTTCACAACTGAATATGGTGAAACAATTACATCTTTATTTGATGAAGTGTCAATGGTAGCTGGAGAACATTACACGTTTAGAGAAGCGTCTATAGCCCATAATTGTCAAGGTAAACATAAATTGCTACCTGTGTAGTTTTTAGGTCTTATTTGTGATTTATCACGTATTATATTTTTGACCCGTATTATGAAACGCTGGTTAAAACGAATAGTATTTATTTAGCAATGTTCAGAAGATAAATATTGACTTTGTGAGAGTCAATGCAGATTCTTAACCATTTGAACGGAAGTGGATTCAAAGTCCGCTTAATATGCTAGCACATTTCCTATTTCATAGGAACAGCGAAAAGTTGAGATATATCCGAACATATAAAATCCCTTGTTGACAATTTGTTTTTAATTTCAAATTGACTAAACAATAGAATCCTTATTGTGTCAATATGCTATAAAACACCCAAGCCTTTCTTAATAACTTTTAGCACTTTTTTTTTATTATTTGAGCAATGTTTTGTCCTGGTCGTCGTATCACCTGTGAAAATGGTGGCTATTTTACCCTGGTTAAAGGGGTATGTAGTTGTAAATGTGTTGATGGATTGAATCCCGATACTGGTTGCAGAACCGTCTTACAAGCGAAGGGTAAACTTTTGACATTTACATATATTTTGATCGTTATTTGTGTTGTTGGTGTGTTGGTTTGTTTTTTTGTTTGATTGTTTGTTGTCCATTGGAAGCCACGGTGGTTCAGTGAGTAAGACGTTGGCTTGCTAATCTGGAGGTCCCGTGTTCATACCCTGTGTTGACCATGAAAGTTCATAGGGATTTTTCGTCGCAGTGCCCCTTTGTCGATGGTGCAAGGCGGAGGGCCTGGCAAGAGACTACGCATAGTCGTTCAGATGGGACGAAACACCGAGGTCCCCTATACACTTTGGCATGCAATGAAAAATCCCTTGACAGTTGGGATTCAAAGTAAGAGTAGCCTAGTCGGTGCAGAACAGAAGGACGTGAAACCCATTTCATTTCATTTCCGTTCATGTGTTGTCCTATATCTGGAACTGATTACCATTCTAGAATAACTGGACTGAAGATATAATAATCATATATGGACATAGCAAAATTCCCCAATAGACAAAAATACATGATGTATTGTTGTTGTGGATGAATAAATGTGTATACATTGGTTTGACATTATTTATTTTCATTTATCGTAGCTACTGTTGAGTTTCCCAAAGGACACTATACCATATTGATGGCAAAAGAAGGATGTCCGCACCACCTATTTCAGACTGGACGTTTGACACACCGCGGAGAAGGGGACAATAGTGTTGGCCATGGAGGACCACAAGGGCTAGCCGGGGACTTTAGTACCAATTCTTTTACGTATCGTTTTTGTACAAGTGATAATCAATATAAACATGGAGGTGATTGGCCGAAAGGAAATTACTGTATCCTGAGAAGAGGAGGCACATGTCCGTTAGGTAATTTTAGTTTAGTATTTAGTACACACCAGTAATACCACCTTCACGTTGTAAAATATGCACAGTACCAAGTAAAATCATGATCAAAAACAGATTATATTTCTTTTTATAGTTCAGATTTCTTCACGATAGTATTAAACAGGTTCTGTTTGATAATACAAACTAAAGTGTCATAATTTCTTGTGAATACAGGTCAGGATTCAGAACAGATATTGCCCACGAGGAGAAACCCAGACGAATACCAGAATTTTTTTTATAACAACTCAAGGAAATATTTCCCCGTTTACGTTTAAACTTATGACTATGAAAGCTTGTGAACGCGATATAGTGCGGGGTTCTTGATTAAATTTTAAAAACTCGATGAAATTGCGGTATAACTAACATTTTCGTATGTTTCGAATACGTTTTCCAAGGTTATCTTTCCTGTCATATATTAACGTATATACCTAAAAATGTTGTAAAGCGATCACGGTGAATTAATTTTTGGAGCATAAAACGTTGGTGCTATTTGATCTGTGTGGGCTAAAAGGGATCCTATTGAAGTTTACGTTCAGATTAATGACATCATTAATTAAAAACTGGGCGAGAGTCTTCATTGAATTCGGATTGTAAATATCTCTCGTCTTCATTAGCCCAGTCGGAGCAGAACAGTAGGACGTTAAACCCCATTTATTTTCATTTTATTTCTGTGTTATCTTTAATTTAACATTTGGACTTTTAAAGCTTGTGAACACGGTACGGTAAAACCTACTCGGTCAAATTCCTTGACATTGAATATAGATCTTACAAGAACGCCTTGGCTGCTGGTGGATTTTTCTCTTATCAAGATATCAATCAGTAATTTTGCTGATTTTTGTAGTATTTGTTAACCAGTATTTTGTTCATTTCTAAAGGTTTTATTTCTGGCGGTGGGCATATTCAATTTGGTGACACAGACTGGAACCCAGCTTATGGTAGTAGATATTATGGAACGTTACCTGATGGCGTCTATGACGACAATACTAAATTGGAGTTTTGTTGTAGAGAAGATGGTGCTATTATTGAACCAATAGATCTACCAGCAGTTGCTCCCCTTGTATTGTTTCTTTATAAGCAAAACATTTTCGACCCACCTAGTTGTCAAGCTGTCAAAGGTAAATAAGTAATTGTTTAAGAAAATAAATATATCAGTAAAGTATTGCAATACATAATTTGGTCTGTTTAATTCCCTATTGAAGAAAACTTAAACTAAAATATTTTAAAAATGAAACCTTTCCATTGGCTAAGAACTAAAAATTGTGCTATTAATTTATGTCAATGAACTATCAGTATTGTTAAATTATTTTAGTTTAAATTTTCATATATGTCCCTAGGGCTCTTTGGGTTTTGACCTGAGCAGTTTGTCATTGCAGTATCACTTTTACTCTTCTCCACCCATCACCACCACCGTCATCATCATCATCATCATCATCATCATCATCACATTAAATTATAATGGAGTAATAAAGTTTATGTCTGAGTTTATGTGGTAATAATTTTACTTATGTTACTGGTGAATTTTGTCAGGTATGCAGTATAGACAGGAACATATTACATTTGATAATGAGGATGGTGGAATATTTGAAATATCAGGAACCACTCCCTATACAGTAACTAATGCGAATGAAAGGATATCAATGTATTACTGTGTATATCAGCCAGTAGATAGATGTAAGTAATTCTACAATAATTATAATTCTACAACACAAATTCCTCATTTCATCGTCGTTAAAGTAGCAGAGTTACGTTACTTCAAAATAGGGAGAGGGGTTTAATATAGGCTATGTCTACGAAAGCCCAGAAAGCTCATTCCAAATGCGAAATTCCAAATTCCAAATGCGAAATTCCAAATTCTAAATTCCAAATGCGAAATTCCAAATTCATGTCTTACCGATAAAATAGCAAATTGGCAGCCCCCCTCAATTAAACAAATTAGAATTTATATAAATTGTAATTTTACACAACTAATTACTTCTAGTTTACCTATCTGGGCCGGATAAATACCCGTTCCAAATTACTAGATTCCAAATTACTAGATTCCAAATTCCAAATTCAAGATTCCAGATTCCAAATTCCAAATTCCAGATTCCAAATTCCAAATTTGCTGCTGTAGCAAATCAGTTAGAGTATAATAAAAATATTCCAGTTCGGGTTTGCTTCGGCAGATGTGAACAGTTTGGGGCAAAGTTCCTCTGCAGTGAGCTACTCTGCTACTCGGTATCCTAGGACTGGCATTTTTTTTTTTGCTACAGCAGCAAATTTGGAATTTGGAATTTGGAATCTGGAATTTGGAATCTGGAATTTGGAATTTGGAATCTGGAATTTGGAATCTGGAATTTGGAATTTGGAATCTGGAATTTGGAATGGGCCTTCGTACACGCCTGTTCCCCAATCCCTATTCAGATACAAATCTGAATAAAAAATATTGCTTTAAAAAAAAAAGTTCAAAATAAAGTGACGAATCATGTGCCCCTTTGAGCTGGTGTACAAAATATCCAATGAATATTACCAAATCCGTGGGGTCAAGATACCTGTACATTCTGACAGAAATTGCTTGGTTGTGGTTTTATATAACGAAAATTGTTTATACTTTTGTTGAAAAAAAAATAGAATGAATGGGTCTACTTGGTTTTGAGATTGTTCGCAACGAAATGGACATACTAAACCCATCAAACATTGGCGATGCAAAAATTAAGTCTTCGATATTGGGAACTAAATGAATGCCGCTAATCAACTGAGCATTGTTAAATCAGCGGGGAAAAGTTCGCGAAAAGTCATCGTCTTCCGTTGTTCCATGTATTAATTATGTTAGATTTGCCACTTAATCTACAGCCAATACAATACATAGTCGTGCAATTATTCTAATTTCTCTGAATAAAATATAGAGCGACGGTGGTCTAGTGAGTATGACGCGTGCTCAGGGTTTGATCAAGGTGCTTGCCGAGGATGTTCCTGGTCTGGTCTGTCAAGGAAAACGCCCCCACCTGTGTTCTCGTTAGCGTGCACGTAAAAGAACCCCATTTCTCTTCTGAAAAAATTACATAGTAGGAACCGACGTGCTAGCAATAAATGATAGAAAAATTCAACACAATTATGTTATTATCATAACTCCCCTGAAGAAAATACATGAATCTATGACAGAATGGAAAAATGATATGGTCCCACCGCTACTCTCATGCATATATATTTATATATTAATATATTATTTTTGTTCTATTAAAGACCTACCTAGGACTTCGTGTAGGAAGGAATGTGAGTTAAAGAAATTCGTTTCATTTGATGTTTATGTGTTTTTTATGATAGGTGTGGAAACCAACAGATGGGCGCCAAGATAATAAAATATTTTCATAAGATTAAAGGCATATTTCAGATTCCTCGTGTAAAGAATCTGCAAAAAATCAATACCACTGAAAGTGAACTGCAATGAGAAAAATTAGTGGTAATAACTGGAAATGTTGCATATTCTAAATTCGTTAGTTTGGAAAGATACTCAACTGTACATGTGCTGTCTTATAAATTATATGTGCCTTTAAATGGTCACCGGGAACAACGGCGGAGCAGCTTTGCCCACACTGGCCAAATTGCCCCCGCCACCCCTCGAATAACACGGCGCAGTGCGAGAACTGTCCATAAAAATATATGTGTATTATTTTAGGTTGTATTGAGAGGTTTCCTGGTCCAAGGCACACGTGGCAAATATGCGGTTCTTTTTTTGGGAGTAAGACCATCGAAATACATGGAAGAGCGCATTCCATTTTCTTTTTAAATAATGAAAACTGAGGACAAGGATACAACCGTTTTCACAAAAAGAATTTCATATATTGGAAATATCACTATTTCTAAAATCTGAGCTAAAATAATACAATATAAAAACAGAAGAATGCCAAACACATCCGTTTCATATCTTTTTTTTAAAATTTATTTTAAAGAGAAAATTTGTACGAAATTGAAATCTAGAAGATAGTAATAGATATTTATAAAATATGTTTATGAGAAATTGGGTGAAGTACACCTCTTTCTGGATCCTTAAAATACCACGGTGACATGACATATTATGTCTTATACCTCGGCGGCTCCTGATAATTTTAATACATCTTAGGTCTTTAATATGGTGGCTGATAGTGGCCATGTTAAATCTCGCCCTTTTCATAACGCGACAACACGACATCACGACAGTATTGACGCAATCATACGACACTTCATTCTGTCCTATCATCGTGTTATTTTTATCGTAACGTCGAGATGTCGACTTATTGTCCTAGTCTCTTTCTACAAGTCACAAAAATACAGCTGTACTCATTACATCATATATAGGCCTAAGTAGCAGATTTGATAAATATAAAAGAGATAGTAGGAAAACGGTGATTAATTATTTGTTTTCTGAAAATAATGAAACATTTTGTGCCCACAAGTGAATTATATTTGGTATTATATTAAAAAATCTAGAATTACAATAGCAGGACCAAAGTGAGTTAGCTAAGTTAATTCCTTGAAGAAAAAGTGGTGTCGGGAGGTATCGAACAAGTAAGCATTCATTGCCATGTGTACGACACCCACCAATATTTATAGATGACTGGAGCGATAGTTTAAAAGTGATATCAGAAGACAGGGTGGGAAGGTGATTGTAGAAAAACCAAATCGGGCCACATTCTTTAAAATCACAGCATTATTTTTATCATAGTGCAGCACGTCACCCCAATAGTTGCAGGAGTTTTTTTGAATGAGATGGAGAAAACGATTCGCAGCCTGTCATTGAGTCAACTGGCGTGGTTTCGAATCCCCGGTTGTACGTGACAAGGAGTAGGGTCGCCTGTCCAACCTCGTGGGTTTTCTCCGGGTCCTCCGGTTTCCTCCCACTGCTAAAGACCCCTACGCGCAAACGATTTATTGAAATAAAATTAAACCATGTAAGTCCCGAAATGACCTAATTTGTGTCGAGTGGACGTTAAACCCCATTTCTCTCTCTCTCTCTCTCTCTCTCCCTCTCTCTCTCTCCCGTTTGAAATCACTAATGGGATTGAGGCCTAGATGAGTAAAAATAGGCCCAGTAATATCTTCAACTATGAACACACTCTAAAAGCCTCATACCCCCCCCCCCCCACGACACCCCAATAGATGCAGGAGTTTTTTTATGAGGTGGAGAAAACGATCCGCAGCCGTTATTGACCATATCGCATATAGGCTTGCATCCGTTTGACATCACTAATATCTTCAACTATGAACACACTCTAAAAGCCTCATACCCCCACCCCCACGTCTCTTATTTAGTTTTACAAATAATTCTAGAATCAATAAAATGGTATCAATGATGTTTGATACAACTGGAAAATAGTATGTCAAAAATTGATTAAACAACATGAGAAATATTACATATTGAATCCATATTAGTGATAACGTACATTTACTCAATACGTTCTAACCAATAGATCATCATTTAACTTGAAACAAGGGAAACAGTCGATCGAAGAAATCAGATTTTTAAAAAAAAAAAAAACAGGTTTCAATGTGACAGTAGTGCTTCGGTCATGCATTTACCTCCGAGAGTGCCATTCTTTCTTTGAAAGTAAGGATTGTGCCAAATTTGAACAAATTCCATCTAGATTCGCGGCCTGTAGGTAGAGTGTTGACAGATCAAATGTAAAAAAAAAAAAAAAAAAAAAAAAAACCCAGACCTATAAAAATATATTTTCTTAAACTCTTTTAACTTTGAAATTATATTGTTTTCACATGTGCTAAGTGTTTTAGCGAATATTTATAGAAGGGTCTTGTAGATAAAGACTATAGCGCATGTGCAGTTTTAACCTTCCGAGACGACAAATCGACAAGTCGATGATACGACAGTTTAGTGTTTTGTCGTACCGTCGTATCATCGACTTGTCGTGGCGATAAGTCGATGATACGACAGTACGACAAAATAAGGTCGATGATACGACAAAATCAGACGATCTTACGACAGTTTGTTCTGTCGTAAGATCGCCCGATTTTATCGTAAGATCGTGTGATTTTGTCGTGCCGTCGTATCATCGACTTATCGCCACTGTAAGTCGATGATACGACGACACGACAAAATCACACGATCTTACGACAAAATCACGCGATCTTACGACAGAACAAACTGTCGTAAGATCGCGTGATTTTGTCGTGTCATCGACCCGATTTTGTCGTGCCGTCGTATCATCGACTTATCGACACGACAAGTCGATGATACGACGGCACGACAAAAAGCGAAACTGTCGTATCATCGACTTGTCGACTTGTCGTCTCGGAAGTTTAAAACTGCACAGTGCACATGCGCTATAGTCTTAATCTACAAGACCCTTTCTATAACCATTCACTAAAACACTTAGCACATGTGAAAATAATATAATTTCAAAATTAAAATAGTTTTAGAAAATATATTTTTATAGGTCTGTTTTTTTTTACGTTTTATCTGTCAACACTTTACCTACAGGCCGCGAATCTAGATGGACTTTGTTCAAATCTGGCACAAAGGATGACACCCACAGATGTAAATGCATGACCGAACCACTACTATCATATTGAAACTTGTTTTTTAAATCTTTTTTTCTTCGATCGGCTGCTTCCCTTGTTTTCAAGTTAAATGGTGATCCATTGGAAGGAACATTTTGAGTAAATGTATCATTGATACGGATTCAAAATGTAATATTTACTACCCTATGTTGTTTAATCAATTTTAGACACATTAATTTCCAGTCGTATCAAACATCATTGATAGGGACCTACCATTTTATTGATTCCGAAATTATTTGTTAAACAAAATAAGAGGGGGTGGGGGGGGGTGCGTAGGGGACTTTCGGAATGTGTTCATAGCTGAAGGCAATACTGGGCCTATTTTTAATCATCTAGGCCCAGATCGCATTAGTGATGCCAAACGGATTAATATGCGATAAGGTCAATAACAGCTGCAAATCGCTTTCTTCACCTCAGAAAAAAAAAACCTGCACTTATTGGGATGGCGTGCTACACCAATGCGGTGATTTTATGTGGTCTGATTTGAGGTTTTATATAATCCCCTTCCCACTCTAATAAAATAAATTGGAAATCTTCTGAAATCGCTTCTAAACTATCGCTTCAGTAATCTATAAGTATTGGTGGGTGTCGTACACGAGGCAATGCATACTTGTTCGATACCTACTGACACCACTTCTTATTCAAGGAATTAACATAGCTGACTCACTTTTGTCCTGCTATTATAATTCTAGAGCTTTTGAATATAATACCAAATATAATTCAATTTTGGGCGCAAAATGTTTCATTTTTTTTTAGAAAACGAATCAACGTTTTCCTATTATCTCTTTTGACGAGTCTTATTTATATGTATCTATTTATATGTATCTGATGTAATGAGTACAGCTGTATTTTTGTGACTTGTAGAAAGAGACTAGGACAATAAGTCGACATCTCGACGTTACGATAAAAATAACACGATGATACGACAGAGTTAAGTGTCGTATGATTGCGTCAATACTGTCGTGATGTCGTGTTGTTGCGCTATGAAAAGGGCGAGATTTAACATGGCCACTATCAGCCACCATACTTTAACGTTAATATTTTCCATGGTAGTGTACTAATTCAGTCAATTATTAGGTATCGTTTGACATTTCCGCCTTTCTAATACACGTGTAATATACTGCTCCAGGGCCTTTAATTTCTTAATCCTTAATCTGAGAAATGTCATGTGATGTAAATTGGATGAAACGATAGTAATTCCTCCCCCCTTCCATTTTTGTTTTAAAAACACGTCTAGCTTTTCTCCACGTATGTGTGTGTGTGTGTAGGGGGGGGGGGGTGGATGGCCGAATGGTTAGCACGTGCGCGCTGTATCACAAGGTCTGTCATTGGGTCAACTGGTGTGGTTTCGATTCCACGTCAGCTCTGTATCATAAGGTCTTTCATTGAGTCAACTGGCGTGGTTTCGATTCCCCGGTTGTACGTGACATGGAGTAGAGTCGCCTGTCCAACCTCATGTGTTTTCTAGGTGTCCTCCGGTTTCCTGCCGCTGTTAAAGACCCCTACACGCAAGTGAATTATTTAAATAAAAAATTGAACCATTTGTTAGTCCACAAATGACCTATTTTGTGCCAAGTGGACTTTAAACCCCATTTCTCTCTTTCTTTCTTTTTCTCCACGATGCGGGTAATCTACATCAGCGTCATTGTATTTGGCTTCTCTACTCCACAAAGCAAGTTCCACCATTGACGGGGAACGCGGTATATGGGATTGTCGAAAAGTATGGAACAATAACTCTCAACTTTCAGAGTTGACGAACATGTAACAAAAAAAAAATAAAAAAATAAAAAAATAAATCTACATTTTACACAAACATTTTACAGTAAAGGATTACAATATGTCCCCTTGAAATTTTGTTGGCTATTTACAATTTCTGTGTTTTGTATGGTTGGTAATTGTGTGTTTGTCTAGTATGCAATGTGGTGTTTGTTGTACGCTCTGTGGTCCTCTGTTTTCAAGCGCAATTGTGCACATAAAGTAACTTAGAAATGAGAAATAAACAGACATTTTATGTTATATTGTATAATTTGTTATCATTCATTCTTCATTTTCAGATTGTGGTGGTGTTATTAGTTTGACCCATTCAAATGAACAAGCCTCCATTCATTCTCCCAATTACCCACATAATTATGAAAATAACAAAGAATGTTTTTGGCTGATAACGGTGAGAAATCTTTTATAAAAGAAGACAAGCAATGATTAAAAGAAGCTTCCTATCGTTAGACCAGTAGTGTACTACTTTTCAGCCTGGGCACTACAGAGATTTTTCTCGTGTCTAATTTACAATGGTGTAAAAGGTGCAGCTGATCGCATCAGGACCCACAAAATATTTACATATATGAAAATGAAATTGTTGAGGAAAGGAGTCGCAGGTTACTTCGGTTAACGCCATTCAGTTCTATTGGGGCATCATCAGGCGTTTAATATCCAGACAGTACCTTTAAGTGACGGATCAGCTGTGCATCGTTTAGGTTTCTGTCGGTAGTCATGCTGATAGAATCAATCTGGTGATAGACCAGCATACCGTGTAGATTTCATTCGGTAGATTGAGTAGTATACCTTCCTAGTACCAAACAAGCAGTACATCTTGGGGTTCTAATTTTTGATCTGACTAACCGAAACTTGACGACCGGTTGCACATCGATAATCGTCCCGAGGAGCAATAGACTAGTCCCCTTTCAGATACGACCAATGGAACACTGTAGTAAATGGAGGATGCACATTTGCTTCAAAAAATGAAATGAAATGAAATAGGGTTTAACGTTCTACTGTTCTGCTCCTATGCTGGGCGAATGAAGACGGGATCTTTTACGTGCATTCCAATGTATACACGGGACCTCAGTTTTTCGTCTCATCCGAAGGACTAGACAGCTGTCCTTGTCAGGCCCTCCGTCCTGCATCACTGACAAGGGGGAACCACGCCGGAAAATCTGGATGAACTTTCTCGGCCAATGCAGGGATCGAACACCTTGCTTCAAAACAGAATAAATCTAAAGTAGAGGAATAATTAACACATGACACAATTATATGGAATACAAGTTACTTAAAGAGTTTATTACAGCAATCGTTTAAAAACAATAAACAATAAACATTTCTTTTTTAGGGGCCACCCAAATCTAATATATTGGTAAATGTGAATGATATTTCTATAGAGAAATCAGAATCGTCTAATGAATGTATAGATACTTTAGAAGTACGGTATATTTTAGTAGGCCAGCGAACAGCACCGTAAGTAGTGGTTACAGGGAAAGGGTATTTTATGTTGTATCAGTCTTTAAATACCCGAACTTTTCCATTTTTAATTACCAATTTTATTTAGATATTATTTCACTGTAAATGCAGCACGACATAGTTATTCTGAAATTTGAAAAGCTTTTATTTCAGAATATGTGGTAAACTAAGACCAACTACAATACGAAGTGTTTACAATACGGTACTCATCCGATTTTCAACTTCTATGCAAACAGTAGATCGTGGATTTAAGTTAAATCTCAAGTTAGCTTTAGGTAATTCAGTCTTTTTTTTTTAGCCTACTTGTATTATTGTCGCCATTTTCTGACACGTTACTCACAAAGAGATTTGAACACATGCATTGATAGATGTTGACAATATTAGTAGTGGTAATGAATATTTAGAAAAAGATGACACCTTTTGATAATTGATTTACTGCACCTCACTGTTGATGATCAAATAATTGTCCTCTACCAATTGTACTAAAGGTTAAATTCTTAAGAAATTTTTGTCAAGAAAACTGTCAATACAGCGATTTGTTTCTCTCCAGAAACCCCGGGAAACAAGTCATAGAATTGCTCAAGCTCAACGTTGCCATTTATATCTGTACAGACAGACAACTATACCTTGTCTTCACATTGGAACTACAAAACATTTTAGGGACGCAACCGCACTGCTCTAGTATTAAAATGACCGACGTTGACCAATATGCAGCTTCATTCTATTCCGTTGTTTATTGTTTATTTTACTTAGCTGATGACCATTGTTATGATGTTGATAACAAAGGGAAATATTATAGAGGAAGTGTTAATTATACTAGAACGTATAAGCCATGTTTACCCTGGACACAAGTAACACACTGTAGACATCATTCTTTTAATTATGAGTAAGTAAATTTTTCTGGATATCATGATATGAAAAGTGGACTGTAAATTTTTCTGGAGAGAGAGAGAGAGAGCGAGAGAGAGAGAGAGAGAGAGAGAGAGAGAGAGAGAGACGTCCCCGGGCATCTATTACAGAGAGTTATATATATTTTTTTAAAATTCATCTGTTTTGACATACTTAAAATGTCTTCGCATTTCTGAGTTCTAGGGCGTCTATTTGAGACGGGGGTGCATAGAATCACCACCTGCCCAAGTTGTACTTTCTACGTTAACGCCGAAAGTGTCGTAGGTCGTTGTAGTAATGTATGGGGTAGGGTGGATTTAGAGCAGAAAAGTTATACTTAGAGACATAATGTTCTAGGATTTGATTCAGAAGAGTTATACTTGAAGACATAATGTTCTAGCGATCATAAGACGGACGCCATGTTGAGATACTCTGTTTACCCCATCAGAGTTTATTTTACTAGACTTTGTTTAAATCATTGTAATTTACTGGTTTTATTTTTAGCGATGTAAATGACGGATTAGATGGTAATTACTGTAGAAATCCAGGTCATGGAGTAAGACCATGGTGTTATTATGAAGCCACTGAATGTGCTAGAGATTATTGTGATGCTTGTGGTCTTGGTAATGAAATTTTAACGCCTTTTGGTCCCTACAAATATATATTGTGGTGGTATTTAGATCAATCTATCTATACTAATATTTTTGACTGTCGTTTTTTGTCTGTTTGTCTTTCTGTCTGTTCGTGGTGGATGGCTGTGTAGGACTTCCCGAGACTGAAATTTGGCGTCTAGGGGTAGCTCGGACCAGGGAGTAACACAGGCCTAGTGGTCTTGACCTACCGCTTTCGATTTCGGAGTTATGCTACTTTCAAACCGTGGAATGAAGGGTCATCCACTATTTGAAAAAAAAGGTGGAAATTCGTGCAATGAAAGATTTAGAAAAATAGAACAATCAATTATTTTGGTCGCAATAGTTTGAGGGGATTTATTTAGTTTGCTCCCCTGACTCGACAACACTGCGGTCATATATACTTTATATTATCTTTCTTTGAAAGTTGTACGACTAAAGTCCGTTGTAATATTTGAGTAAATCAATTCAAAGATACTGGTAAAATTCACTATAAGAAATTAGTAATAATCAAGCGCCCTGTCTACGTTTTATTTTGTCGAGAAAGTCCTTTAGATATTCGATAAGTAACGTTTTCCGTATTATTTATTTCAGAAGATAATGTTAACAAGATTTCAGATTGTGATGAGTTGATTGCCAGCAATCCCCAGTTTTGCACGACTGACTATGGGTTTGAGAATTGTCACCGGTCCTGTGGATTTCCTGTGCAACAACCAGAGATGAAAGGTAGAAATAATTTGCAACCATGACTTTATTATCAGTTTAAATTTCAATAACATAAATTACTGCGCATACAGTACTCCTTTGTCATTTGACCAGTATGGGAAAAGCATAAGGGGTCGTACCTTTTAAGTCTTGTTGCTTTGCCTTTCTTGGTTTTTATTTATAGATCATCAACCAAAATTTGCGCTTTTATACTGTTTGATATAATGATTTTATATCTAGTATGGGTGAGCACAGAGAAACCATGTCCTGAAAGACACATAACACCACACTATTGTAGAACTGGTTGATCCTCCACGACTTTCAGATACAGAAAAATATTATTTTTGGCAGAGTCAAGCATTATTTGATTTATCTTATTTCTTAGAAAGAGACATGATTTGTAACATCCTACCAAATGATCCGATAGATGGCTATCCTCTTCCAACCGTGGGGCCTTACTACGTAGGCGACACTGTTGCTCAGAGGTGCGGAACATTAGCACATGACGTAATTATCAGAGTGTGTTTAGGTAATGGTAAGTGGACACCAGCAAGGTTTGCTTGTGGAGGTAAGGATGTTGTTTTATAATAATTTACATGTTTGTTTTTTACTATAAGAATCCTTTTTGTCGACACCCCACTGGACACCCGTAACTTCTGTATTTCTCTTGTCATCCATGACTACGATGTGGTTGTCACCCGGTACTAGCATGTGGTGTGTGTCCACCGCTTTACTACCATGTAGTTATCGTGGTAGGGTACGTGTCATCCGTGACTACGATGTGGTGTTTGTGGTACGGAAACGACTATCCATGACGCTGTAACTTTTGTGGCACCGTACGGGTTTCCCGTGACTATTATCTAATTTCTTTTGTTTGAAGGGCATCTTTTATCTTCTTTAAATCCATCACTAAGGAATATGGATGCCACCTGCACAATATTGATATATTGTTTTGGAAGATATTTAGTTATTGAACATAAGAACTCTGTGTTATTGATACACTTAAGTTTTGACGAAGATACCCTCTTCTTTATCAAGCAAAGAATGAATGAAGGGATTCCAACTGGCCCGTGTTCTTTTATGTACACGCCAATTTGTAAACCGGATATTCGAAGGACCAGTCGTTGTTCCTTGTCAGGCCCCCCGTGCTTCACCACTGACAAGGGTGAACCACGCTGGAAAAGTCAATGGAATTTTCTCGTCCAAACACCGGAATCAAATCCCGAACCTTCTGGTTAATCATCTCCTTACTCACTAAGCCACCGTGACTCCCAATCAAGCCAAGAAATTCAGTAATTGTGTATCCCCAAAACTGTATAATTGTATAACCGACTGCAATTATAACTGGTAGGAGCCTTATTTAAATATTTTTTGACAATTATTTAAGTGTGTGTGGATGGGTGGACAGTATACGATGGCGGATGCTATAAATTTTACAACCAAAAATTGAAGTGGAACGAAGCTAATGCTACTTGCTATCAAGACGACGGAGCAGTTATTGCTCCTGCAAGAAATGCCGAGGAAATGGCATTCCTGAATAGATTTAGGTATTGTTTTAATTTTCAAAGAAATACTATTATACTTTAGTCTGTTCATTTTAGCGAGGGGGCTTAATGAAATGAAATGGGGTTTATGGTCTCACCTTAATGCTCCGACTAGGCTAATGAAGAAGGGAGTGGCTTAACGATCTAACGTGTACGCCGTAAATCATAAGGTGTATTATCTCTGAAGCTCGTTGGTTCGATTCCGGCTTTGTATTTGTATGGATACGCTAATTTCCTCTCAATTCTAAAGATCTCTGTGTGCAAGCCGTTTCTATAAATAAGGAAATACCACACGCTACTCCTAAAATGATTTAGTATTGATTTAGCGTAAAACCAATGTTTTGTCGATCTGTGTTGATGGTATCACTTTATATAGATTTATTTGATATTCAATATAATGAATGTTATTGTTTCTGTTTAAGTGGAGTTGTTAATCATTTATGGATTGGTGCCCACAATAAAAGTTCCACACATACAACATATGTCTGGTCAGACGGTCTTCCGGTTACCTCTACTAACTGGCTAACAGGTAAAATAAACACAAAAAATAAACAACGTGTTTAGTTCATACTTTAATTTAATTTAATACAGATCATAATTAGCTTTCTAATCAATACTATGGACAAATAGACTCAATGTTAATAAATAAACCGCATCACCAACAAAAATTTTGAAGTTTTCTCTTCATTTCTGGATGAAATACTGAAAGCAGAATATTTAAATAGAACGTATATTAATAGTCCTGGATTATACAACGAGTATTTTTGAAATATTTAAAGCCAGACCTATACCGATCAATACAGATCTATATTTCGTTTCGTTTTGTATGTTTTCGTTGGCATCCGCTACAATCTAATTAAAATACAGACCTATATTTCGTTTCGTTTTTTTATACTTTCGATGACCTCTACTACAGGAAGATCTGGTCAGTTGTAGTGGGGTCGCGTCAGATGTCATATTACCGGCTTTTAACCTTATGACGTCAGATACTTGATTAACCAATCAGCGTTGATGTTTCAAGTATAGGTATCTGGAAATAGAACTTTTACTTTGTCTTCGCTGCGAATGTCTACCCACAGTTCCAAACAGACCATTTGATTGGTTAATCTCTCACACCAACGATAACGCGGGTTATATAACATCTCTTCCAGAACCTAGTGCAGTAAAGACAAGTAAAACGACATTTTGAACTATAGGATCTGTGTTTTAATCAGATTTTCTACCGATGATATAAAATAAGATAGATAATCTATTAAAAGCAGGGTGAACACGTATTAGATTAGTTGTCTGGGGAAACATTCCAAAAGAACTTCCCGTGCAAAGTATTAAGCATACTCTACCTTGACGATAATATCTGTGATTTTGTTCAGCTGTGAGGCGTGGTTTACCTGGTAACGCTGATATAGCTAATAAGTACATATATCACCCAAATAAATTGGTAATTGTTCTTCCATATGTATTTGTGATAACCTAATGCTCCATCCAGTTACTAAATGTCTCTGAATGATTTTTATATATCATATCCATGACGACCGACATAATATAGATTTAATTTGTGATCTGTTTTAGGAAGACCCGACAACAGATATAATTCAGAGAACTGTGTTGTGATGCTGAGTCCATCTCTAAAATGGGAAGATTTATACTGTGGTCATTATTATAAAAATTATTTTGTCTGTATGAAAAATCGAACAGGTAAAGATTAATAACACTTATATACACTTCAAAAAAAGTAGGGATATTCAGAAACAATACAAACTGTGGAAATGCACTGCTGTTTTTATTAGAGGTAACCAGTGTATGTTAATAACAGACCAATTGTCTACACATGAACATAAACAGTTCATATGGGCGGCTTCTCTGATGGCCTCATTTCATTCGCAAAGAGATACAACGTCAAAAGTGAAAATGGACGATTTTGATTTTTGTGTTAATAATGAGAAATTGATCCACCAATCCTCAGACATTCAGCAATTCGTCGTGGCATGCTCCTAATCAACCGTCCAATCACGATTTGGGGCAATCTGACCTACTCCTCTTGCAGTGCCACGGCCAATTCTTGCCCGATCAAATTAAACGTAACACACTAAAGCAAAGATACGCTAAACAGTAAATATTATGCAAGAACAGATAGGAAAGCAAACATGGATAGATAAATCAGCACGCGGCAGTTTTCATCAACCCTTCCTTGAAGTGTCAAATTTGACAATGAACCCCTCCCACGTGCATTGCGCTATTGCGTGTCGCATGTGCAGCTCAGTGGTTCTGTTGGGGCGACAATTTCTTCATCTGTGAACATACTCTCAAAGCATGTCAAATGTCCATGACTATTTATCATTTCGCAACCTGTATAGGTATTTGCATTTCAATATCCCCTACTTTTTTTGAAGAGTATATTTGTTTAGTTGCGCTGTACTGTAGCTTACACAAGAGACGTGGTATGCTTGTTGTTAATTAGGGGCATTAGGGGCATTGTTAATTAGGGGCATTTGTGTGTTTGTGTGAAATTGATCACTAAAAGAGTTCCTCAAGATATTGAACTTCGGAGACAATGGCAGAAATTCGACTTAAGATAATCTCATTAAAGTTCATAGGTAAAATAGGATGTAATGGATAATTTACACAACAGGTAGGACACATAAACATCTAAGGCTATTATTTATTTTCTGGGGCTGTCAAGCCAGCAAGAGTGTCATTGTCCCTTTAGGCCTGTTGAGTAATGTATTGTATAACATGTTATAGTGACGATCTCGTGTTTAGTAACCAAAGTACCGAGCCAGGCATGGCATCTGATCATCAATAACAATATGTAGAGTTTCACAAATCTGTAGTCACTTGAACGAACCGTTTAGGCCATTTCTTTTTAAAAAAAAAATAACGGTAAATCAACCTAAATAAACATAAAATCGTCTCCATTGTTTTATCAGTGCGTGTGACGTGTATAGACCAGATAGATAACTGTCTTACCAAACTACAAGAAAATCCTAAAATGTGCAGCATATCTATAGGCTACAGTGAAACAGTATGCCCCTTTACCTGTGGTGTTTGTGAATTGGGTAAGTTTTACAGATCAATTAGTTTTCTGAATTATTCGGTTAGATGTTTTAGTATGGTGAGCCATGTCAGTAAGGAATTTTGAAAATAGTTTGGAGCTACGCTGTGTAGGCTGCTGCTATTAATTGGTATTGGTCACTTTTAAATATTGCAAATCGAGAAGCTTCCGTACATGTACTATTATCTCACAACGTAGTCCTTTGATTAATGCACTTTTTTATATCTGATTACCCTTTAATCCTAGGGTGACACCCTTTAATCTTAGGCTGACATATTCTGCACAAACACGTTGTGCTATCCTTCAATTTTACATCAAAATCATGGGCAATCATAGGTTGATTGGCGCAAATGTGAACACCATAAAGTATTGCTTTAGGATATTTTTTGTTGGACACCAAGACATGTTTATTACTAACTGACATAATCTAAATCATACAGCACACTAGTTTTACTGTATATTAAGGACCATTAAAACTAGTTCCCAATTTTTGTTTACTATGGAAATATAATATACTTATACATGTACCTTGTCTTTTTCATGTAGGCTTACCAAATGTGTACTGTTCTTTGCCAGAACCGTCAGCACATTCTGCGACTGTATTAAATTATTCGCCATGGCTATCAAGAGGAGAGTTTGTCAGCTATAAATGTGTAGATGGTTACGTTTTGTCTGATGGTAATTTAGATAGAGCTTGCCAGCCTGATGGAACATTAACCGGTTCTCCACCTACATGTATAGGTAAAAATCAATGGAAATAAATGAGAATTTTGTGACCATCCGACCATCTGACGGAGCACTAATCTGCCAATTGAGACCATGATATATCCCTCCAGTGCTTTGAGGGAAAATTTTCCTGGACAGCGGCACTAGGGCCTACCTACTCTTATATCGAATTCTAAATGTCAAGGGATCTTTTACGTGCACGCCAATGTGTACACGGGACCTCGTTTTTTCGTCCCATCCGAACGACTAGACAGCTGTCCTTGTCAGGCCCTCCGTCCTGCGTCACTGACAAGGCCAATGAGGGATTGAACACCCGACCTCCAGACTAACGAGCCAACGTCTTACCCACTTAGTCACCGTGACCCCCGTCAATAATGAACAATCGCAGTAGGCATCAAATGTGCAGATGTCATGAAAATCGAACAATATTTTATTCTTTTGTAAAGTGACTCCCACAAAATTGCCTATTTCTCGAAAATGGCAAAAATTCAAAAATGATTCGAATACAAATATTAAGAAATGAAAAAGTTATATGCCTTTGAAACTGGTTATTATTTTAACTTTTAAATAACAGTTGCGGGAAAACGGAATTCGAAAATCGGTTTCCGCCTTGCTCTGCTTCTCAGCTAAAATGAGATAAAATAATATTTTGTATTAATAATTATTATAGCTGGTGCCATTGTATATATACTATGCCGTTAATTCTGTGTCAATCGGGTACACTTGTTAAGAATAATAAGGTCGTTTACACCAATTCGGGTGGAAACTAGCTGCCACCTAAATAGGGGTAACTCCTAGCCTTTAGTGGTGTAAACTGATAACACCCAACTAGTGTAGAGCATTACACCAATTCAGGTGGAAACTAGTTGCCACTTCCAGTAGTGTAAACTGCCTGATACACCACATTCGGATGAGTGTTGCACCCAGACAGTGTAATGTTACACTTAAACTATTTAATAGTTTCCACCCGTGGTGATTAAACCTTACCTCTCAATAATGTTTTGTAAATTACACTTCCTCTTTAATTATTACACCAACGCGGGTGTAATTTGTTTTGTTGGCTATTTATTTCAAGCCAACGACTTTTAAGTTCAGTAAACTTGAAATTGGCTATAGGCCTCTATGATAATTAGTATAGGGCGTTTAGCCCCACCCAGATTACATATAGACCGTCGGCTATTTCGCTTCATTTTACAGCGGCATTAAATTGACAAATATCTATCAGAGTGATTGAAATTCATCGGCTGTTGGGATGGGCAATTAGACAATCTGTATCAGTTTACAATGAATATAAATCACGAGGAAAAATCAATACACATATCCTTATAGCTTAGCTAAATAATGTGATGTATTCATTTATGCACCTCGCCTAAATTAAGAATAAAATAATCTATACTTGAGGCATTATGAAAAATTATTAAAATTATTATACATGATAATATTCTGGGAGACGTATATTCGTAATAAGTAAACACTCTAAAATGAGTTATAGTTGTGTTACTAATGCAATTAACGCCATATTTTACAAAAACACTTAAATTGGAGTACACAAACACTTTTGTGGTGCAAGATACGTTGTAAAATTGACACCCTATTCAGAGGAATAATAAAAATTATACCTGTTGGTGTACATGCAATAAAACGCATGTAGAGGTGTAGCTCATCCCAAACACCCTTTAGCGGCTACAATTACACCTATCCTGGTGTGCATTACTCACGAATATCGATTACACTTTTCGAACCCAATAAACACCGAAAAAGTAACACTGTTCTAGGATTTATTCCCCAATAATAGTTACACCTTTTGGTGTAAATGCAGTATAACACTGGTAGTGGTGTAGCTTATCCAAAACACCCGAAATTACTCCTATTCAGGGGTTCAGTAGTTACCAATATCGTTTGAACTTGTTAGGTGTAGCTCTTTTAGTTGGTTGCCCTTGCAAAAGTATTACATTTTAAAAACGCTAGTTGTGGGGTAAAGTTTACATTTAATTAACACAGCTTATAGTTTATAATTGCATCCATTTTTAACAGGGTATTATTTAAGTATTGCTTACGCAAAACAAATGGGTGAATTTTCCTCCACTAAACATTTCTAACTGAATGTACCCGATTTGGAGATCCCTGTCTGCCCTTTACGCAAAATGCAAGTCTCCCATATTTTACGCAGACACAGTCGTAATGTTTATGTCCTGAGAATGAAACAATGTCGATATATGTGAAATTTACAAGAGACTAATCGATTTATCGAAGTTCTAGGCGTTACGGCTCGACGAAGAGGGCAACGGGTGACGATTCCAGGTATGTCACTAAGTTTTGGCGATTTAAATTAAAAATTGAAGAAATGGCGAGACATTGTCGAGCCGGAGTATCGCCTGCTATTATGTTTTTTAAATATTATAGAGTGTTTCTTATTGTACATTTGTTTGTTAATATATTTTATTCTTTCCAGAAAAAAGTTATTCAAAAACATTTTCCAATGATGTCATCATAAAACACCGTTCTAAGATTATCCGAGGTTCCCAAGTATTGTTGTCACTGAATAGTAATTTATATATCACCAGATCCGGTAGAATAACTCAGTGGCATTTTTTCGCGGCGGAAGGGAAATCTCACATGTTTCAAGTCTGGCGTCCGATGGACGCTACAGGAACAACGTAAGTCTCATTTGGAGCAAATTCATCGACAAGAGACGGGTTTGGGTTTTAAACATATTGGTCAAATTTCTATTGACAGGGTCAAAACGATCTGAAACCGTTTGTATATAAAATAATATATCTGTTTCAAACCGGTGCCTTAAACCGACCAAGACAATTTTTACTTAAACAGATTTACTTTACATCCGCTATCACCGGCTGAAATACATTAAGTTGTTTTGTTGGCTGATCTGCTTTGTAAACCACGCCTTAGTTTAAAATCTCTTTGCAATTCTAAAGTTGACACTGTACGACCATTTGCCATCCGATAAATTCACCCTTAGACTCTAGAAATTAATGAATGTGTTCTGCTCATTTCGGCGTGGACGACAAGAACCATTGACAGTTATGTCTGGCTTTCACGTGGGCTACGAATGTTACGAATAGCTCCGAATAATGGCGAATCGAAATTCGTGGCGATTCGGGAAAAATATCAAAAAGATCGTAGAGAATATGGAGTTTAGGAAAGAGTTACTATAATTCGTGGGTAATCGGCTGAAAAATATGCCGGGTGTGAAGGTAGGGTTCTACGAAATGAAAGAAACATCCATACGAACTAAAGCGATTCAGTTACGAATGAGTTACGGATATTCCGAATACAATTACGAATACATTACGTTCTCCACGGATAATGCCGATAAAGCTACGAAAAGTCTAGGATATTTGGCACTATTTGTTAAAGAATCGAATAGGAAGCTGTTACGGACGATAGGAAAGGGCTACGAAGGGTTTACGATACGTCTACGAATAGACCTTCGACGAAAGTATTTGACAAACAACAACTCTAGTGGCAGAAGTACGAACTGCTACGAACAATACGAACGTGTACGAACCAAATAAGAATCACTCATGAACTTCAAGAACCGTCTACGATTTATCTACGAATCGGAAAAAGTTTGGATTCGGGACGATTTGGGGCGACTCGTAACATTCGTAGTCTATGTGAAACAAGGGCATTAGAATAACACACTATATTGCGTGTACCCGTCTTCATTATCTCGGTTGGAACCGACAAAATAAGTCAGTAAACCCCATTTCATTCATTCGTGCTATTCGCGCTCCCGGGCAACATTAAAGCCGTTAACAATACATCATTGTTTTGGTGCAAAGATATCTTTATTATTTCTGACTTCAAGACTAACATTTATCCAAAACGAAACCCTAGTTCACTCGTATTGTCACAAACTATTATTCATTATTATTTACAGGTTTGAGTTGATCGGTTTTAATGAAATAACACCAACAGAGACCAGGATGTATATATTTAATATTGATACTAGTCAACAGATTGTAGTGACACCTGGCGATATTATAGGTATTTGGTCTTCTATGGGATCAATTGATGCTGGAATAACGTATGATATATGTCAAGCAAACCTTCACCCCCAAGGCAGTGATATGTTACGCACCTCTAGAATGTTCTACTATAATACGGATTTCAATATAGGCATGACTACAAGTGTTGTAGACTATAGCCCTTCGTGTATGATGATTTCAGTAAAAGCCTATATTGAACCGATATAAAGAAATCCAATATGCATACATATGACATAATGTTCGGAATTTCATCAGTGGCTAATACATGCAAAACGAAGTCGACATTATAAACTGTCAGTTCAATATTAATAGTTCATTTGAATATATGTCCCCTCTCCATTCCCAGTAATTATTTAATGATAACTTACTGAGTCTCTATTTGACTAATATATCCTCGGTTAGAAATCTTCTGGGTAATCTTACGTGCACGTTGGCCTAATCTGCAGTCTAATCAAATAAACCAACATTTCGTTCCCTTTTCATATCGGTTGACTATAATGCGGCGTTTCCCAACCTCTGGGTCGCGACCCAACTTGGGTCGTGAGCACTTTTCGTGGGGTCGCGGACTAGACTGAGAACTTTAAAAAAAAATGCTATCTTTTCATGTAATCTATACATCTTCAATAGAAGGCTTGATCTCGCTTTAACTCCGTACATCTTATCAAGGCTTTCACGTAACACTCTACAATTTACAATTTTCGTCACTAATTTCGATTGGTCTAGGACCCAGCTTTAGACCTCTCAGATTCCTCGATAGAAAATACCATCGCGAATACCAAGTCTCGCGCGTTCCAACTGAAATAATCGAGTTGCAAAGTTCAAGATTCGTTCATGGTTGCTGGAAATTTCCAACACAAAGAGACTTGCCGCTGCCAATTTTCATGCAAATAAATACCTCTCTAGTGTCTAAAACAGTTTCGATTGCTTTTCCGTGAGTTTTTCAACTGAAAAATAAAACCTTTTAACGGCTGTAAACTTGAAAATAAAACCTTTTAACGGCTGTAAACTTATCTATTCATTTTTTTGTGGAGATCGCAATGTTTGTATTTGGATATGTGTTTGTATCACGACCTCTGATTAAACAACGTTATTGTTCACGTGTCTGCAGTAAAAGGGAAATAACGTACCTAAAAGTTCGGGAATTTCAGACAATTCTGGCAACGGATAGAAGTTGTAAAACTGCGGCCGTTGCTTCGGGAACATGTGGTCTATACAACTCTTGCCACATTGCTAATCGATTTCCTCTCATGGCCACGATTTGTTTCATCGGTCTATCATTGTTTTCTCACTCTGACGGGATTCCACGTAGCACTTTGTGCAATACGGCTCCTCATGCCGTACCCGTCGTCATACCTATGCGAACAGTCTTTTTCTGCAATGGTTGTGATAAAAAAAAAATTAGGAACCGGCTTGAAATAGAAAGGGACATGTTTGTCGCGCTGAGTGGCGTTGAGCTACGCATTGAAAACCTGGTCGCTGAGAAACAGGCGCAACCATCAAACTGATTAAAAAATCAATAATTTGTTATCAGACTTAAAAAAATCAGTAATTTGTTATCAGACTTAAAAAAAATCAGTAATTTGTTATCAGACTTTTAATAAGTAAACAATAATAAAAGTGAATGATAATGATGTTTCATAGTAAAATGTGACTTTGTTCTTCGAGGGGTCGCGATCTGATCCTGGGTCTGGAATGGGGTCGCCACCCAAAAAAGGTTGGGAACCTATGCTATAATGACTGATGCAACTTTATCATATCGAACATAAAAAGTAAACGCTGCTCTAAGGGACCTCTTTGGTTGACTATATATTATAAAGAAGGTCAAAGTTACTGACGTCATCTGCTAAGAAACATAGAACTATTAATATTTTAGGCTGTTTCGAGATTTCCATTGGTACAATTGCTTGCACGTTTGTAGAAGTCATATTTGAAAAAAATTAGCCAAATTTCTCACGGCGGGATTGCCTTCATTTAAGCTTGATGACCATAATTATATAAGAAATGATGTTCTAAATTTATGGACAAGTTCATTAGAACTATCAGAATACAAATAAATGGACGAGCTTGCTGTACTGTGAAAACGGTGAAAAGACATATCAGGTGTTTAGATTTGTAATAAATAGTAAACTTCCTCTAGAGTAAAGACAACACGCTGCATGTTGCCATAGCAGGAGTAAAATGGTAGACGTTCCTCATGCTTTTCGGGAATGGAGTAAGTGTGTTATAAATGGATTGGAATGAAATGGGGTTTAACGTACTACTGCTCTGCTCCGACAGGGCGCATGAAACTGTGTTATAATAGAAACTTCTATAAAATGATCATTTTGGCAAACAGCAGAATGAATTAGACAGCCATTCAAAAGAAAACTAATTTCTAAACTTTTCCTATCCAAGCACCAATTAGATATCTGATATGTTTATTGATACAAACACTCTTCAATGAGACAATTGGAGAAGTTCATTGTTATATGATTTGTATATAAATAAAAGGTGAATTTTAGTCTAAAATGATCTTATGTTTTATCTAATAGACAGACTGAATACAAACATATATTATAAAAAGTATGGTTCTAATGCTAAACTCAATTCATCCATACAAACTTCATAATAATGTCATATATATTATGGTCAACTTCCTAGTAAGTGTTGTTAACCTGTCACCACTTTTCAAGCCGTCATTGGTAACGACGTTAATCCCATCTATTGTTTTTGTTGATTTATTATATTGTTTAATCTTTTATGCATTGTTCATCTATCGACATGTCAGATTTAATTACATTTACTTTTAGCTTTTTATCTGATTTTCCTTAAATATTACAAAATGTGTACATTGAAGGAGTCACTAGTTAGGATCCCTTACTAAGTGCAGTAACTGGCCTGTCAGTACTGTATGACGATATATGTATATTTATGTTCCGGTATATTAAAGAATTGAAAAATCTTTCGAAGTCTGTTATATCCGAAGAGAGAATTTACACCTCTAAAATATCACATCTAACAGCTTTCAGAACCGTCGGAACCGGAGCACGAAGGGAGATGAGGTACCTTCAGCCAATTATGTTTGCAATAACTTTTTTTTAAAAAAGCCCCCCCCCCCCTCCATCCATCCATTATGGATGTCGCTTGTGTATTGAGAAGGGACAGTTGTTGGCGTCATAACTGTAAGCTAAAGCTAAATATGGCTTTGATGAGCTTATTAATTTTACTAGATTAATACGTTTCCAAGCCCGAATGGAGGGAATTGCTTACGTACGTCTATAACGATCATAATTCCAAGTTGCCCTTTTAACCCGGATTCAACGTCGGATTAACCATGGTGGAGGCCCTGGGGCCTGGAACATGTGGGGGCCCCTGATCACCAACTGTGGAGCTGTGGCCGGTGAAGCCGGCCACCGCGAGCGCCAAGGGCGCGAAGCCCCGCAAGGGGGGTTCGGGGACATCCCCCCCCCCCCGAAAATTTTCAGAAATTGGAGGCCGGAAACGTAATTTCCTGGCATTTCAGGCACTTGTGTGGAGCCATTTAGAAGTACCTCCCCCAGAAAAAAATAAAATTCTGTCACAAAATTAGCGCATTCTGGCGTTATTTCAGTGGACCAATCCATGCGAGTGCTATAAAACTAACCCTACCCGTTACCCTAGTTTCTAGTAATGATATAGTTGAATTATTGGTTGAGATGTCGGCTAGTAGTCCATGGTTGAAATGCAGTCTAGTAGTCCTCCCACTACACCAATTAAAAACAGTGTCATCATGAAACAGCCCTGGCATTTTAATAATGAACGCTTTTGGGCAAGTAATCTATTTTTTGTTTGCCTGGGCCATCACCTATTTCGGATCGACGATTTAAGACTTAAATGTCGGTCACAATCACAGTCACAAACATTGTGATCTCACATATCACGCCCCTTCACACGCATTGTCTTTGGGCGTCCCATCACTACTGCTAGTAGAGCCGCGGTGGCTCAGTGAGTAAGACTTTGGTTCGCTAACCTGATGGTCCCATGTTCGAAACTTGTGTTGAAGGAGAAAGTTCGTCGGGATTTTCCGTTAAGGTTCCCCTTGTAGCCCTGCAGATATGTCCTGTGTACACATTGGCGTACACAGGAAATAGCACAGCTGAAATTTGAAACAAGAGTAGTCCGTAGTGCCGCTGTCCGGGCAACATTTAACTCATAGCACACTGTTAGGTAAACTAAAATTTCAGAACCTAACCAGAGCGACTACTATTTCTAAAACATCCTTTACAACCTCTACAAGACAGCTAATATTATTTGTCCTGTCTTGTCTTCAAATTGCTGGGTTATGTCCCTGGAGTTGATGTTATAATAATTGTCCCGGGAGTTGATGTCAAAATAATGCAATTATATGGGCTGTAATATTGTTATTGGGTGCGTGGGTGGGGGGGCGGATTAGAGACACAACAGATGGAATCGTTAAAATTGGTATATGTACTATTTTAATGTAAATAATGGATTTTCTTGAACACAAAATTTAATAGAATTAGTATTACATCATTTATCTAATGGAGATGGTAAGAAACCAATGACAACCCATGCCATAACATTGAAAACCAAATAAAATAATTTATCATGTATAGTGTTTGTTATTTTACTCACTTTATTCTTCAATAAGAAAAAGAAGCAAATAATTCTAACCCGAAGTTTTCTTCACTTCTTGTGGAAATATAAAGAAAAGAGAATTAAACAACTAAAAAGAACACGAAATAGACCAGATCTAGTGCTCACACAAACGTGTCAATATTTGAATTCAAATAATGATTCGACGTTAGCCGCGAGTTTTTAGTATTGATCGCTATTTGATATCAATTAAAGTTAATGGAATTTGTTCCGAATGCAATGGAATAATATACAAAAGCCGATGTCTAATCCCATGCTTGTATGTAACAAGGGGTAGAGTGACCAGTCCAACCTCTTGGGATTCCTCCTGAACTCCTAAGCAGAAACGTATTATTTATATAAAATTGTACCCTGATATGAGAGAGAGAGAGAGAGAGAGAGAGAGAAAGAGAGAGAGAGATTGGGATTTAACGTCCACTCGACAAAAACTAGGTCCTTTCGGGACTAACATATGGTTCAATTTTATTTCAACAATTCGCTTGCGCATAGAGGTCTTTAGATGTGGTAGGAAACTGGAGGACCAGGAGAAAACCCACGAGGTTGGACAGGCGACCCTAATTTTTGTCACGTACAACCGGGGAATCGAAATCGCAACAGTTGACTCAATGATAGACCTTATGATACAGCACGCACGTGCTAACCATTCAGCCCTCCACCCCCACCCCCCACCCTTGTGTCGAAGAACGTCCTATATTGATTAGGCATTTCTCCGAGATATTGAACCAGGGATGGTTCTCGAAAATTATGCAGGAAGAGGTTTGCCAGGTTCCTGTTAAGAAATTTGACAGTTGACAATGTATGATGCCATCATCGTCTCCAAATTACGTAGGCATACATACACACTGAGCTTTTTAAAGAGAGAAATTCCAATTGCATTGATGCAAAGCATTAATTGTGATAACACATATCTTATATCATTATCTAGCGCTTTGAATGGCCATCCTATCCCACCATCTGATGATAAAGGATAAAGCACACGACCGTGACACTTTTCTCATAAGAGTGGTGTTTCACAATTTTTTATGTAGCTGAAGAGGAGGGGGGACCCGGCCTGCGAACCCGAAACATAACTAAGGTTGAATGGATATCCGGGTAACCTGTACTTACCCGGATAGTACGCAGGAATCAACAAGTTAGAATCGAGAATTAAAAACAAGTGGAAAATGTAAAATTAGCAGACAGTGATTACAGAAATGGCTTCGGAGCAAAGACTATAGCACAATTTACGTCTCTTAGGACAAAAATCGAGAAAGAGAGTTACAAGAGAAAAGGGCAAAATCTATTAGGCGAAAATAATACCAATCTTCTGGGTATTTTTTTTTTTAAAAAAAAGAATACTGAAAAATTTCTTGAATAAGTGTGATGTCGATGGGATTGGGAGAGAAAACTAACCGATTGTAAAAACTAAAACCTGCAATCCACTAAAAAACATGCGACCCTTGGACATCCGCATGGGCGGTTACACGCAAACGTTTGCATATTAATACATTTTAAACAATTATCTCATTTCATGCAATTAATTCACAGTATTATATAGCAATCATATTACTTATAATCTGAGTCAATTTTCACAACGCGGAGTTTTTAAACATACCATCATCCAATCGTACCCCATCCCATTCACCACCCCGTATTGGCCTATTGCTCGATCCAGTGAGTACTGTCACTGGCTTCACCTTGTAGGTTTACCTACGATTTTATCCCATACTAGTTTTGAAATGACCGTGTATGGTACAGAAGAGTGGGTGAACTGACATGTTTGACTCTGGTCTGTTATCCGCGAATATTATTGACATGATATAAACACTAAATGTGTTGGATTTGTCAAATGGAAATGCTACACGTAACAGGCAGAATTCCGACAATAGCACTGTTCAAAAATATCTGTGTAAAGCAAAGTTTTAATGTGGGCATTTTGTTTAATATAAGTACTATAAGTAGTGGGACAAACCTACGGACAGGACACAACGTACACAGACGTTTCAAACAATAAACAACAAACGTATATCAGATCTCCGGGAACTCTAGTTTCCTCCCACTGCTAAAGACCCCTACGCGCAAGAAATTAAAAATCTGAACCATATGTTAGTCCTCCGGTTTCCTTCCACTGCTAAAGAGCCCTACGCGCAATCGAATTATTGAAATAAAATTAAACCATATGTTAGTCCCGAAATGACGTAGTTTGTGTCGCGTGGACGTTAAACCCCATTTCTCTCTCAAATCTCTGTTATATATATCAGATCAGAAGCAGGATTTGGGAACAGACTTGGCCTGTATGGTGTTATGCTCGTCCTGTACTCAAAGACCTGAAAATATATCAAACGCCTAACGCCGTTATTACGTTGCAGGTTTGAAAATTTGAAAATGAATAGTTGTAACATATCACAGGTGTTAAAATCAAATCAGACATTTCGATAACAATATTTTATAGACACTAGTAATCGTTAATCAACTTAGAAATGATCAATAATATTTTATATATATTTTCCTTTTACTTAGAAAATTCGAAAAATTGCATAAACCAGCACGTGCAGAGAAACAAACACATAAAGATTATTTCAGAAACTTTCTTGAATGAAAAAGAGGAGTTTCCGAAAATATATTTATGCGCAGAATTCCGATGCTCATAATCTCTTTATTTTATAAAATTTTAATGCGGGTGTTTTTATTAACCCATCAAAAAGTTATGTGAGTGATTAGACACTATAAATACAGACTTGTAATTCTTCGTCTTCAGTCATCGGTGCTGTACTGCAAGAATATCGTTTATTCTTCAGGTAAGACAATTTATTAATTAGGTAAGAATGAAGTTAAAAGAGCTTAAGTTTTATTTTATTAAGTTAAAATATAGTCTGGAATTGGATTGATTTAATGATGGAACGAATGCTTTTCGGTTAAATTTTCGTTTCGTTGGGTAAATAGAATTGTCTTCCTCTCCGTTCACAGAACCACGTCTAAATATGGACGTATAAATATGATATTCGAATGGTCTAAAGTTTATTTTATATTTTATGGACGAATTGGGTTTTTATCAGCGAAATGTCTACATGCTCAAACTTGATAACTTTAAAATTTGATTTGTAGAATGAAGTGCTTAATATTGTTTGGCGTACTTCTAATCGTGGCATCAACCCTATGCAAAGACAACAGTGTTAGAGCACCATCCCCTGTAGATAAGAAGAACGAAAAAGCCAATCTAGATATAAAACTACCACCACCACGCGTAGATAGTATTAATGACGAAAAAAACAACCAAGATACAAAACTTCCACGACCGAGCATAGATAGTATTACTGGCGATGCAGATATCCTAACTGAACATAAAACTAAGGAAGAAATCGTCCACAATGCTTCGGCCGAGGATGGGAAGGAAAAGGCAATTTTAAAGGATGTAAGTTGTAATTTGTTAAACTAAACAATACTGTTTCTTGCCATGCCCTTTGTCCTGCACCACTGACAAGGTAAAAAAAAAACACCGGAAAATCATGAGGAAAATTCGAGCCCAACACCGGGATCAAATCCGGGGCCTGCAGTACTCACTGAGCAACTGCGTCTCCCAAATAGAATGAACACCTTGAATCGTAGTAACGCTAGATCAATAATTCTCAACCAGTGTGCCGTGAGATCTTCCTAAGTGTGTCGCGAAATTTTGAACGGCATATTAAGAAAATGCGAAAAACCACGTGATCCCAATTGAGTATTAACTGATGTGTACTGGTAAATTAGTTCATAGCTATGTTTTACTTTAATTAGTTTGAGTCATTCTATGCGTCCACGACTAGTCTGCGTCTACGGTTTATATGCCGTCAAATATTTTTCATATATATATTCAGCCAGGAGTGCCGCTATTTTTTCATGTGTTCCAAGGTGTGCCGTTAGCACAAAAAGGTTGAGAACCACTGCCTAGATGGAACGAAACCGTGTTGAGTGGAAGCTGAGATATCGTTATATTTCAAATTATAATTCATATTGTCCAACGACTGCAATGTAGTTTGCGTTTAAAGCAGCATTACGTCTATGCAAATCGAAACAATTTTCTGGCTCTGATAACGTTAAATAATTAATTTGGGTACACCTTAAAATGGAATATGAGGAGAAAATTAGATATTGTGCGAGAACCGTGAACGAGGGTTATGGACTTTAACTTTACTAATCTTTAAATATGTAGAATATCTAACAATTCAATGTTGCCAACGAACACTAATCTCTTGGCTCAAACATACCAATCTTTGAGGTTGATAACTAATTTAACAACACGAGTTTTCAAATGCATCATTTGAAAACTGTTGTGGTTTATAGCATAGAGTAAACAATAGATTGCTACAATGAAATCTCGTGGGATTTTACTCGAAGTAAAGCTTTGTGATCTAATATCAACAATGCTATTTTGAAAATTTAACTTTTGTGGATTTGGGTTCAGGTAAATGTTTATTGGTGTATCGATCAAACATAGGGACATGGCTGTAAGATATTTTATTTCGATATTTTAAGTTCTAGTTGCCTAATCATTGATTGGAGATCAGGGCTTCATTTGTTGCCCAAAATAATACACTTTTAAAGTATTGTGAGAGGATGTACCACCCATTATGGAAAACTCAAGTTTAAAAATAACTTTTTATTGTATTTAGACTCCTCCAAGTACTCCACCAGAACAAAACTCAGCTGATGAACAAGAAGAACAAGCTGGAAAGAGGAAGAAACGATTTAGTTTAACTTATTCGGGAGTTTGGACAGATGGTATAATATTATGGGATTATGACGCAACTAGCTGTAAGTATAGTTTTGTTGGTAAATTACAATTAAGTGATAATTATATATCTAATATTATGGTAGGATGTAATGCACGATTCTTATTGTCATCAATGAGTAAAAATGAAATAGAATGGGGTTTAACGTCCTACTTTTCACCACCGGCTCCGCTAATGAAAACGAGCATACGCCATACCGTGTGCTATGGAAATTTGCCCGGACAGCGGCGCTACGGCCTACTCTTATGCCCCGTTTTCACATGGACTACGAATATGCCACAAATCGTCACGAATGCAAAATTTTCCGATACGTAAAAAAATCGTAAACGACTTGTGAAGTTTGTAACTAATTCGTATTTGGTTCTTACACATTCGTATTGTTCGTAAAAAACAAAAACTTTCGTGGCCGGTCTACAAATCTATGTGTATCGTAAACCCTTAGTATCCATTTCTTGTCGTCCGTAACAGCTTCCTATTCGATTCTTTGGCATTTTTGGTTATTCGGGCTCCCTAAAATTCGTAGTACGGCTCCAAAACCACCCCAAACCGGCACAAATGTCCGAAATCAACCAGGAATCAATCGCCACAAATGTCGTGAACTTTTCGTAGCTTTACGGCATCATTTATTCGTAACTGAATTCGGTATATTCGCCAACAATTCGGCATATCCGTAAACAGCTCGGCATATTCGTAACTGAATCGCTACAATTCGGTGATGATTCTTTCATTTCGTACCTTTCTATCTTCACATTCGTCAAATTCTTCACCCAATTACCCACGAATTTCCTTCATAGCTCACTGTATGGCGTATGCCAGTCTTTATTGGCCCAGTTGGAGCAGAACAGTAGGATGTTAAACCCCATTTCGTTATCAGCAGGGTGTGTGTAATATATCCATCGCTTGAGGGTGTTAAAACAGTTTTTCATAGTACTTTTGTATTTACTTACAACATGTAACTGACGATAAACCCCGGTTTCTGAACCATCGCTCTATTTTGCTGTAAGTGGTAATGGGTGTGCTCACTCTTTTAGCATACCCGATTCCACTTCTCGTTTGATGAGTTTACATAGGTAGCAAAATGCTGTAGTGCTTTTGCTTTTGAAATGGCGATTGTCACCTAGTACGTAGCAGCAGGCATTCAAATAGCCGCGGCATGTATACAAGTAGTGAACAAATGAATTAAGGTCAATAATTTTGTTCGAGTTCGACGTAAAGATGTTATGGTTACAAAGCTACTATCCCGATTTTAACAGAGCCTCAGAAACAAATGTCTGCGTACGTATAGAATTTAAGCGTCAAAATATAGAGGAATTGTGTATTTATATTGTCTAAAAATGTCAGCTCAAAACATTGAGTCGTTTGGACCTGAACATCAAAACCGCTTATCTGGACACGTAACCATTTTAAAATTTCGGGTCAATATTTTCGTTGGGTAAACTGATAATTTATTGCCATTCCTTTAGAGGCCTATACGGTGCATGGCCCACGTGCTGTACTTGATAACAAAAGGTAAATATCACCTACACGTTTTTTTTTATAAAATAAAAGTCTGGTTTTATCCAGACACCGTATAATACAGCTTGGGACACCAGTCTCAATTTCCAGATGAAGACTGACGGGTTTAAGTTGTTTCAAAACGCATCACGTATATTGAGATAGTTACTCGGCCATAAGGTAGGGGATTTTATGGGTTTTTAACTTCAAAATAGACAACTTTATTCTCCAAAATATAATCGAGGTTGGCCCTTTAAAAGCACCATACAAAGAAAGATATGTGAAACAAATATGGACTCTGAAGTACATAAATCAGATATAACAGGTATATTGTTGCCAATCAAATTTATCATTAAAAGGAAACTCCGGCTGTTTGCAGATCCCGTTTTTCATTATCTACAGCACATATCGTGTTGTCTTTAATCAATCAATTAAGACGACTATGCTGATCGACATTATTGGGTAACTGTCACCCAAAACAAACATGCAATCGAAGTATCATCTTCCATCAAACTATCCCCTGGTGTATTCATTTACTGGCAAAGCCTATACAGAGCAAGGGGTAGCTGTTTTAGACAGGGGGGTTGAGACGGCCTAGTGGTCTAGAGTGTCAGGCTTCGATCTCTAGCTGGCCGGTCACCTCTGGCTTGCGGTTGTGGTTTCGATCCTGGTGTGAGCGTATGTGACTTGGACATAGGGGCGCCTTCTCAACCTCGTGGGTTTACTCCTGGTACTCCGGTTTCCTCCCATAGCAAAGACCCCTGCGCGTGCGCTAAGATCATTAAAATGAAAGTAAGACAACTTGTCTGCGATACCACTTCTGTGGAAGCGGACGTTAAATACAGCTATTTCACACACATATTTTAAACTTTGCTGCGATATCACCTCGGTGCAAGCGGACGTGAAATGATGCTATTTCACACACATATTTTAAACCGAGTACACGATTTTGTTCACCCACAGTGACTGATGGTCATCTAATTAGTTCCCATGTTTAAACTTACCTGGGAACTTTACTTTTACTCAAAATAAAACTAAAATCATTGTAATTCATGCTTTGTCCTTATTCTGTGTGTTCTTTATTTTTAAATAGATGGTACAGGTTCAGCTGGTCAAAAAAATGAAATTCTAGTTTCTATGAAATATTTGGAAGATAATAGCTGTGTCAAATTCCAAGAATTAAACGGGACTTCTCCCCCGGCTTATGCTTTATTTAAGAAGTAAGTAAATCTGTTTTGGAAATTATGAACTGTTTCACGACGTAGCTCATTATTAACATAGTCATAATCCTTACCATTTTCACTCTTCTTGTGCCTATTCATATCACCTGTTAATTTAAATTTGAAGTGAAAGCCCTGGTTGTCACCTCAATTAGTACCTTATTTAATGAAAGTTTGCCCGGAAAGTGGCGCTAAGGTCTTTTGTTCTTTTACGTGTACGCCACCGTGTATAATGAACCCTGGTTTCACGTCACATCCTAACTATTAGAAACGGACAGGGACCACTGGGAAGGGAAAATTACCAGTGAATTTGCTCGACCAACACTGGGCCGCCTGGTTAGTGAGCCACAGCGGCTTTGGTACTTAAGGTAATCACTAACACAGGGACACTCTTTAAGCCTTTTCATTTGATTGCACATCTCCAGGCTATATCTCACAGAGCAACCATCATTGTTTTAAAGTGGGTACTCTACCATATCAACCTTCTGTAAAATCATCAGACCTAGGTAAGCTGTGGTTGATACTAGGCGATTTTTTTAAAGCTTGTGTTAAAGGAGCTAAATCGCAATTCTTTAGCACCTAGAAATGGACACAAATGGTAGCAACGCATAATATAATAATGTATTATGAATGTATATAACTTGATTTACATTCAATCTTTTCTGTTTTTACTGTAATGTCTTATCAGTAACATTGGTTGAAATACGCGAAGAGTCCGAATTCAATCGCAGTCTTTAGCGTCCGGTTATTCCAGTCTACACCGGTAGTATTGTTCTGTGGGTATGTTTAGCCTCGTTCATCGAGTCCCTTCATTACAAATTTTAAATTTTGTCTTAAATATTGGATATCAGAAGCCCAACTTTTAACGGTATGATAGCAACATCAATGTTGATTTAAATTGACCAGTAAGTCGTGTTTGCAATGTCGAAGACTGTGGATGATATTGAGTTGGCGCACACACACACCCACACCCACCCACATACACACAATCATACACACAAATAGTGATGTTATTATGACTTTCAGATCTTCGGGCTGTAATTCTCATGTTGGAATGGTGGGAGTTCCAGGCCAGACAATATCGTGTTGTTCTAGGGTAAGTGAAAACGTTACACGCGTTGTTTAAATTCATAAAGAATATTTTGATTAACTAGTATAACTTTATCACGCCTGTAGCCCTTTTGTGTAGTATACTTAGTTTAGTTTTAATTTCTTGAGGAAGAAGGAGGGGTGGATCTCTGACGTTTGCGCTTTTGATAGTGAGGTCTGTCACTGAATCAAAAGGAGTAGTTTTGATCCCAGGCGTGTACGTCATATGCAATGGGGTCGCATGCCTAACCTTGTGGGTTTTCTCTAAACCCCCGCACTCTCATACCTTTATAAGTAAACGTCTCTGTGTACAAGCGGGTTATTGAAATGACTAGTAAATTATCTGCTTTCCATTAGGCCTGTATGCTACCTCATATATTCAAGTCCTTTGTCTAATATTCAAGTCTGCATTCTAATAGATCAGTCTGCCTTCTAATAGGCCAGTCTGCTTTCTGATAGGCCAGTCAGCTTTCACTGAAGGGTGTATATTTTATTTAACACAAAGACATCACACATATACACGGGGTGGTGCATTTTTATTAACATGTTTTATTCCATTTTGTAATTCAGGAGGTTTGTGGTCATGAATTGTTACATCTTGCTGGGATGAGTCACGAACACCAGGCACCAGATAGAGACAATTTTATTAGAGTAAACTGGAAATACATTAAACCTAGTAATTATTTTTAACACCTCTTACTCTATAGATATCATAAGCTAAGTTATTAATTGGTTTATGTAAAATTTAATAGGGTGTGTGCTTTTAAACATCCGGGCTTTTGAATCTCTCCCGGTGTTGGCCGAGAAAGTTCATCGAGATTTTCCGTCATGGTTTCCCCTTGTCAGTGGTGCAGGACGGAGGGCCTCACAAGTATAGCTGTCTAGTCGAGGTCAGTTGAACACATTGGCGTCCAAGTAGAAGAAACCTTGGCATTTGGAATTCGATATAAGAGTAGGCCGTTGTGCCAGTGTCCGGACGGAATTTCCCCCATCATACATTGTATTTCGTGTGCCCGTCTTCATTAGCCCAGTCGGGTAGAAAAAGTAGGACGTTAAACCCCATTTCATTATATATGTTTTGAGTACTCTTTGTGGAAATAGCACTATAATAATAACAGTATGGTTGTAAATGATGACCCCGATCTGTCATTCCGCCAGTTCATGTCTACAAGCAAACGTAGTCTTTAATTTAAGATAAAATAACTACCATTTTTTCTTATTTAGATGTCTTTCATAATTTTTACGATTATGACGAATCTGTTGTCAACACAATCGATATACCTTACCAGACCACCGTTACACTTCATTATAAAACATCGGTATGTTAACATATAATCAATTATTATATTGTGAGATTAGATAAAAAAAAAACATCCCACGATCTCGTCGAACAGATAGTATTGTCATCAGTTCTATGGTTCTCTTCTATTTTGACTAAAGCCCTAAGTAACTTTCTCGTACTTTAGAATCACCCAGAATTCTTTGGTAGATTCTAAGAACAGTCTATTGGGTGCCAAACACGTGGCCATTTTGCTTAGGAATACACAAAAAGACTTTTTTTTTCCAGACTCCTCATATTAAAAATCTTCTGTTCCGCGAAATAGCCCTCGGTGCTCCATAATAATTCATACAATAAGAGCTTCTCCATTTTGAATGATCATGTGATAGTCCAGACATTCACGTGATTGCAAAATGAGTAGCGTATGATGGCAGTTTACTGTTAACTATATATAAGAAGTGTAGTCAGTTGTTAATTACTATTGGTAATTTCTTTTAATACGAGGTTTTCAGAAATAACTGATTTCGTGTTAAACCTTGATATTTAAACCTGAAAAATAAAATCAAATCTCAATTTCCAGTATTTTATGATTGATTATAAGCCAACCATCCAAAGTCATTATCATGATGTGGCCGTTAAGAACCAGTTTTACTACGCATTTTATGAATTAAATAAAATATACCAATGTGCTTCAGGTTAGTCTATTATATTTACTACGATTACAGTTAATTATTAATACACTTTAGTTGTATTCTAGGAGCCATGACATTGACATGGTGTATATTTCTATGATTTAGCTCAAATAAGTAACTTTCGGCTGTTAAACATAAAATCAGCTATGTCCCAACATACTGTTTATCATCAGACCTGAAATTTCAAATGAAAACATGATAATCAAGATACTCAATCTGCAAATCACCACATTAAATTCATGTACATTTATATAGTTTCCTAAATTAAAGAAGTGGTGGTGGTATCCGTATTAAAACATCATAAAGGAGCTAAATCGCTATTCTTTGGTATCTAGAAATGAACACAAATGGGTAACAACGCATATAATAATGTAATATGAATGTATATAAACTGATTTAAATTCAACAGTAATTTCTAATCAATTATGTTCGACGAAATGCACGAAGAGTGCAAATTGAATAGGAGTCTTTGGCGTCTGGTTATTTCAGTTTACACCCGTAGTAGTCTCTTGTGGTATATGTTTAGCCTTGTTCATCGAGTCGCATCATTATAAATGGTGCTCAAAAGCATTCTGGCACGAGATTCGTGTTTCAATTTTAAAATTATCTTTTTGTCTTAAATATTGGATATCAAAAGTCTATCTTTTGGCGGTAAGATAACAACATCAGTGTTGATTTAAATTGACCAGTAACTCTTGTTTGCCATGTCGAAGGCTGTGGATGATAATGAGTTGGCGATTTGCCTCCTTTAAAGATATGACTTGTTTTAATCGGTTTGAAGATGCTGATGTAGTTATTTCTATCTTTTAAAGCTCCAGAATGTGCTGACTTTACCACTGAATGCGTTAATGAGGGTTATGTAGCAGTGTATAAGGGTGTGTGTACTTGTGTTTGTCCAGATGGATTAGACCCAGCAACCGGATGTGCTACAGTTGAAACAGGATGTCAGTCAATTAAACTCTCATTTTTTTTATTGTATGGCCTCGTTCAATATTGCATTTGAAATTTCTTAATTAAATTTGGAAAACAATCATTAGCCCTTTAAGGCCAAAACTCCAACGTTAAACAGTATATTCATTAATTCTTAAATCGGTGTGGTGTACACTGCTGTTAAGTAGATTGTTACTTCTATATGTCTAGTCAGAATGATTTCTAGATCAACTGATACCACTTTCCTGTTGGAACAACCGTCGGCCTGAAACGTTCCAATAGCAAAGTCCACATACTACCTCACTGATTTGTCATTTTGTATATATTGACGTTTTTATATATATCAACATTTTGTATATTGACATTAACATTGAGTTTGGATGTACTTACTGTAAATTATCACACGGCACATTACCTGTTTTATTATTTCATTAGATAATACATACGAATGGCCGTCTGGATCGTATGCGATGATTGCTGCTGAAGGTGGATGTCCTCCAGGCTTTGAACTTGGATATCGTACTAGTTGGAGTGAGGGATACAGCTGGCACCAACATGCATCACTATCAAAACTTGCCGGCACCCAAGATCTATCTAAATTTGAATATGAGTTCTGTGTTTCTCAGAATAGCTTTTCCAGTAGTACTAATACGTGGAGCCAAGGGAATTATTGCATTCTTCGTGAAGGAGGGAGCTGTCCTGCAGGTAATTCCACTCAAACTGTACTCTATTACCTCGAGGACAAACCAGAAATTGGTGAATGTTTATTTTTTCCAAAGAGAAACTGGGTTTAACGTCCACTCAACACAAACTAGGTCATTTTGGGGCTAACATATTGTTCTGTTTCATCTAATTATTCTCTTGCGTGTAGGGGTAATTAACTGTTGGGGAAACTGGAGGACCCGGCGAAAACCCAGTGGTTGACAGGCGACTCTACTCCTTGTCACGCACGCCACTTGACTCAGTGGCATACCTAATGATCTAATGCGCATGCGTTAAACCATGTCCCCCCCACCCCAAATGTGATAGAGATAGAAAGAATAAGACGTATGCCCAGTGCCGAAGTTGTCCAGTTTACTGACTATATAAATCAATAGTCTATATACCGATGTTCGGTCGTCAAGTTCTGTCAATTTTTTTTAACTTGTCAGGAATTGTCGACATAAAATCGACAGTGGAAACCTAGGTCACAATCTTCTAACAAAGCGGCGTTCGCGCCCTCATTAAACCTTAAGTACTTGGAAAACGGAAAGCCTTTTTTGTCAAAACCCTAGGATTATTTAATCACCACAGTATTGGTAGGAAGTACAATAAACCTAAATATGCCTTTAGCTACAAATGGAGTGAACAACCGAATAAACGGAATGAACATCCCATATGATTTTAACTATACTAAATTCAAATTATGACACGTATTCCTTCACCAATCCCCTTTGCGTGTAGTAGTCTTCGTAGTTATTGTCATTAATCTATTACAGAATTCAGTGAGGGCTATGTCCAATTTGATGACCATATTGCATCAGCTGAGAGAAATAACACCGCCAGCGGAGAACTTCCTGACGGTGTGTTTGGTGCCGACACGCGTCTTGAATTTTGTTGCAGACGCGATGGTATTAAACATATTGCCCTCGATCTACCCAATGAGACACCATTGGTTTTGTTCCAGAACGATTTAAGCTATGTTCAGGATTCACCCGACACTGTGTGCCAGGAAATAAAGAGTAAGTAAATCTAGCTCTGATATACATGTTTTTAACGTGAGAGGACGGGCTGTTTCAATGGTCGCAAACATAGTACACAAACAAAACCATTCACCAAGTTATTAATCAATGACATTCCATAATGGCTGACCGCATTATTATTGTTATGAAATTTCTGCACACTAGCGAAATATTAGACAATATATTGTGTTTTCCGATAGAAACCAATTCCGAATCTTCCGTTTCAAACAAGCAAACGAAGTTAAATTGAAACTACCGTATATGCATACATTGTAACGATAACAGCAAGGTTTAATTTCATTATATGGAGGCATGATTTTAATTCAGATATGAAGTCCACAAGATATTATTATACATTTGATAACAAAGCCGGTACTCTAGCTAGGAAAGATGGATCTACACCGTATATGTATACCTATCCCAACGGCAATTATTTCCTCTTCTACTTCTGTTATTACGAACCAGTAGTTAGACCTGAAAGTAAGTACAACCGCTCTTAGAATTAATATCGTTTCAATTGCATTCTGCATCCCTGGGCCCTGTTTCACGAAATTTTAACTAAAGATAAAATCAAAATTTTAGTAGATACTTCATTTTGATTGGTTTAGGACTAAAATCAATCTAATATTATCCAATCAAATTACTAAAATTTCAATTTTATCTTAGTTAAAATTTCGTGAAACAGACCCCTGGTCCTTTGTGAAACAATTATTTCACCAACTGTCGACATATTAGTCAAAGATCTTACGATTTGGTCACTCTTAGAGAATTAATTATTGCACTATGGAACGATCTATCCAAACTGTTAAACCACGGGCAATGTGAAAGCCCTATTTACAGTCATGCGCTAGTGTGACGTCACTTCCTAATATTTACCTGCAACACACGCTGACTTATGTTGCGTGTTTCTGTAGTTTTAGAACAATAATTTGAATTAGAGGGTAAACATTAATCTTTGAAAGAATTTAGACTTAAGTGTTAAACTTCCACATTCTTTTTTCATCAGTAATTTTGTTTATTTTATTTTTAGCTTGTGGAGGAGTTATTGAACTGTCAGAAACAACTACAACAGTAACAATAAATTCTCCAAATTACCCTTCAAACTATGACAATAATCAACAATGTTTCTGGTTAATAAAGGTAATACAATATGCCACCTTGGTCCTTTTGTCTGCGATATCTGAGTGTGGAAGCTAATATTAAATAAAGATGATTGTATAGCCACACACCCACTCATACTTTTACTCAAAGCTGTCAGCAGTCCTTTAACTTTGCCAATGAGGATCTGAAATAAGTGAAGCTTACAGTGACTCCTTGGGTATGTCGCTGACTTACTGACCAAGAGGTCCTGGTTTTAATCCTCGTGTTTGTCGAGGAAATTTCCTGGAATTACTCCCCTTTTCTGTGGTACAGGACAAGGGGTGGCGAAAAACGGCGTCTAGTCGTCCATATGAGACAAAAACCGATGTCATGTGCACGTAAAAGAACCTTCGACAGTTGCAATTCAAATACACTATATGGCGAATGCTCGTCTTCATTAGCCAGTTTATTACGAGAAGTAGGACAATAAATCCCATGTCATTTAATCATTCTTAAATAAGTTGTGATGCTGCTATCATAGCATTCACATTATTATCACTGCAGGTGCCATGTGCATGTATTAAGACATTAGTGATTATTGTTTTCAAATATATTTATCCCGCTGACATTGTTGTAGACTGAGACTATTGTTAGGATGACCCACCATAAATATATATATCCAAATATCTCGACAATTACACCACAATATTTATATATATATATACCAAGCCAAAAATGACCATTTAACCATCCATAAATAATACACTGAAAGAGGGTTACATCCGGGCATTTGTGAGTAAAAAAATAGCTTACGTGCCCTTGTTTTGTAATTTGTCTCGCTTAACCAGTCTACCGACCATTGTACGTCTGCTTGACAGTTTGGGATAATCAAGACTACCTTTTTACGAAACATAGCAGAAAGCTGGAACAAGAAGTTGAATTTAGAAATACGCACTTTATGCAACTCAACAATTGTTTTAAGAACCTTGTAAAAGTAAATTGAAACTACTGCTGGTATCATGTTTTTGCCTAACGCAAGTGTTTCAGAGATGTTATTTGAACTAAACCAAAAGATGCCGCTCCTAACGGTACAGTTAATGATAAAGCAATTTAAAAAATAAACGAACGTAATTTCTAAAGCTGCTGTAATAACCAAAAAGCTAAATATTACTGCTATTTAGAATCGCCAACATTAGATTTTTTATGGCTTTAATAGTTGATAGATGTGTAGAGAATTGCACGTGCGATGGCTATTTATAGTCTCATAGACTCTAGTGCTGAGTATTATCATACTGCTTGGTTAGTCAGGAATCACTTCGAGACAAGCCACTGAAGTGTGCACATTCGCCGTGTCGAGTCCTACTTTCTGTAGAGAAAATTTTCACTGCATGGGTCACCCTACTATTGTAAATGAATTTACAATGCCTTCTCAAATTTTCTTGGATATTGAGAAGTTATTTATGTTTTAAAGCGACTAGTACTATATATAATATGTTATATATTAATATTGACAGGGTCCGGTTGATAGTAGCCTTCTTCTTAACTTTAACGATTTTGACCTTGGTTCCACATGTGGTGATACCGTCGAGATTAGACCATGGACTATTGCTGCGTCGAATAGAAGGTATGTAAATGTGTTGATTTTTTTAATTTCAATAAAATGACATTTTAGAATAAGTTGTTGAAATAATGCTCTGTATGGAACGTTTTAATTGCCTCGAGTTACAGTATAGTCCAGTATAATAAATTTCAAACTATAGTCCCATTGATAACGTTTTGTCTATGTTAGCGACACTTGTTCTTAATAGCATGATAAATTCTAGCTTTGTACAAGAGTTTATTGCAATGTTTTGTGTTTGTTTCAGACACCCACTCCCCGGCACCCAATCCCCCATCCTTTGACAATGGTACTATAAATAGACCATGCGTTTTAATTAAACTTCAACGTTAAGTTCCGGGTGTCGCCCTCGAAGCAGAGTATGTTCGCTCTTTTCGAAATAAACAAAAAATTGCCATGGCAACAACATTTACGATAATATATCGACCGGCTGAAGTCTTCGTATTAATGCGTTGTTTTGAAATTCTTTTTTTTATAGTTTTTGTTGTGTTTGATTGTCTCTTAGAATCGATTGAACACTATTTTAATCCATATTGATGTTGTTAGTTTGGTTTATTAGGAGCATAACCCAGAATAACACGAGTTCTTCAAATTTGATATCGCCAAATGTTTTAGAGTGTAGTGATATATTTAACATATATTTATATGCTAAAACATTATTCCAGATTGTGTACAAACGATGGTAGAACATGGAGAAGTCATGACAATGTCATGACCGTCATCTTCAGATCTAATGACAACACAGTCAGTGGCGGCTTCAGTGCAACTATTGACTTAGTTCTAGGTAATTACTACTACTATAAAGATGTTTCTCCTACTGCAGGATGATTTACCCAATACTACCCAATACTACCAAATACCAATAGCACTAACTACTCCTAAATGCCACCCAATACTACATCCTGCCATGGTAGTCGTATCACATAACCCATTTAGCTGTAAATATGGTATTTATTCTTCAAAGGAAGAATAAAATTATTTACTGAAAAACTGAAACTTATAACATATAAAATAATGAATTCATCTATGTAACAAAGAAGGAATTTCCTATATATTCGTACCGAATTAACTTTTTTAATTCCTCAAATAGTTAGATATCCCCAGGTCGGCCCATTTAATATAGCATAAGTATCATGTTAAACTTCACGACTTAAACCACGCCAAAAAATGTACCCAAATTTATTAAGAAAACAGAATCAAAACGTCAGCAAAGACTATTTCCCGGCTTGGGTCCGAACGGATTAAAAGTTTAAAAGGTGTTACGAACACTTATAGGTGGCACTGGATTGTTTATTTCAATCAATCATGTCTTTGTAAATACTAAGATTCAACTTTCGTATTGTATTTTGCTATGAATTTAAATGAAGAGGAAGGATTTAGATATAAAGTAATATCGTCGAAGGAACACAACTGTAAGAACATTTTTATTTTTTTGAAATTCCATTAAAGCACATAGCTATGATATATCTTATTTTTCTAATCTATCTAGATCAAGAGAATTGTTTTAAGAAATCAGATCTAGGACAGTCATATCGAGGCTCAGTTAATCATACCCGAGAGTTCGAACCCTGTTTACATTGGTCTCAAGTTAAAAATTGTCGACATGCTACTCAAAGTACAAAGTAAGTAAAAGTATTATTTTTACTAATGTGTATAGTATTAATGTTTTTACAAGTAATAATCTAATTGATATTATATGGTATTAATATATCTAATTAATATTATATGGTATTAATATTTCTGCAAGTATCAACTTAACTAATTAATTTTTTTTTTACAAATATTTGTTTAACTGATATGTATTGTATTAATATTTTTACAAATATTTGTTTAACTGATATGTATGGTATTAATATTTGTTTAACTGATATGTATGTATTAATATTTGTTTAACTGATATGTATGGTATTGATATTTTTACATATATTTGTTTAACTGATATGTGTGGTATTAATATTTTTTACAATTATTAAATTTACTAATATATGGCGTATGAATATGGCGTCTAGCTTGTAATATGCCTTGTCTGTGATGTCGCTCGGATGTGAATATCTAAATCCAAATGTACAAAAAAGATATGTGATCCTTCAAATGAGAAGTGATATCAGATGTTTTAGAAGATTAGTTTAAAATTCCATTATTATGTACGAGAATTATATTTTTATATATTGGTTCATTGTGTTATTGCCTATAATAATATTGACGCCTTCTATTTTAGTGATGTTAATGACGGTTTAGAGGCAAATTATTGTAGAAATCCCGGTGATGGAGATAGACCTTGGTGTTATACCTCTCAGGCAGATTGTGCAAGAGGTTTCTGTGATGTATGTGGCGTCGGTACGTTACATTTTACTTACAGGATATACAGATGAAAGTGGCTATACACAAGTTAATAAAAATAAGAAATTTATATACTGTCTGAAATCGCTCATAGATTCAAGCATAATCGGTCATCTGTTGAATCCACAAAATTATTTTGTCTGAAATTATGGTAATTTTCTAATGACGAGGAAAAGTTTAATTTTTTGATTTAAATTGCATATGACGCCTACATCATACATTTTACAAGTGTACCACGTAATGGCGCCCAAGTTAAAATTTGTACATATAAGCTTGGCGTAAAGATTATAACTTTGTAAAAACTGAACGGCAGCATTTTAACTTATATTCTTTTTTGAGATTCAACTTTCAAGATATTTCGATTGCAAGGGATTAACAAACACCGCAAATGACGATAATCCTAATGTCAGTAATTTGGGATTTTATGTACTATAACATTATATTATTTTTTTCCAGAGAGAGCTTTCGACAGAGAATCTGCGAGCAGGTGTGCGACATTGAAAGATACTGTTACTAATTTTTGTACTCAAGATACCCGTGGCTTCAGTCTATGTCGTGCAACGTGTGCCGACCAACTTCCAGCAATTACTGTTGCCCCTTCAAGTAATAATATATGAACTATTTGTTTTAAACTTCATATTGAAAATATCGTGTAATCAATTTTATAATCATACATTATTTCATTTGTATTTTTGGCACATAGCCAAATACATAAAACATAAATATCTCTTTTAAAACTTTTAAAAAAGTACTTGAAGTATCACCGATGATTATAATCCTTTTGCAAGATATAAATACAAAACGACGTTGTTGTAAATAGACAGTGCTCCAAAAGATGTCACGTGTCTTGATGGAGGGTGCTTCCTGAATGACGTGAACAGAGCCAGGGAACCACTTTTCCAGCTATCTTTGAAGTCTGATCGTGTAAATCTGAAAAAACAAAATCTGAAAAAACAAAAAAAACAAAAAAACAAAAACGTAAGGCTTGGGTGATACAAATTAATCAGTAGGTTCTTTGTTTTCATATGAAACTTATTCTATAACAGCCTAAAATTGATCTGTCGTGTTGCGCCCATGTTATTTTCTTTAAACAAATCTGCTGTTGATTTCTAGTCGAATTCTTTCATTACCATTTTACTTATCACAGAAAAAGATAAAGCACTGAACCAAACCCTGTACCGAGTTAAACAACAACACCTCATTTCGATTGGTTAAAAAATCTGTCCTGGCCCTATTTCGTTAGCTATGAAACACATCTCGTAGTTAAATTTGATCATTCTACCCCATTTCAGTCGGAGACATATCTTGTTCTCCACCTACGGCATTACCCGATGGAACTACGAATGATGCAGCTAAGTCTAGTTATTCTGTTGGTGACCAGGTTACTTATACTTGTAACACTAGATCTACGTCATCAGTGGCATTAACCTGTACAACTGACGGTACCTGGGCTGGTCCCGGATCGGCATGCAAAGGTAAATATTTTCATTTCGAGTTGTCAGCTTGTAGATGTTATTACAATCTAAACAGCAATAAACAAATTGAACGGAAATATTCTAAGGATTATTTTTTTGATCGCAGATATTTTAATATTAGGAGTGAAATTATTGCAAGTCATGACAGCTAACTAGGAAGGGGGTTTGAGGATCACTGGGCACTAGCCAATGTCATAGTCTTTGTCAGGTACAAACCGGAGTACCAGTAGATTATAAGGTGACACTGCTCCTTGTAACGAACAAACCGGAGTACCAGCAGCTTGTAAGGTGACACTGCTCCTTGTAACGTCAAACCGGAGTTCCAGGAGGCTGTAAGGAAACGCCATTTCTTGTAACGTACAAACCGGAGTACCAGGAGGCTGTAAGGAAACGCCATTTCTTGTAACGTACAAACCGGAGTACCAGGAGGCTGTAAGGAAATTCCACAAACTGGAGAACCAGGAGACTGCAAGGAAACACCACTTCTTGTAACGTACACTGCGGAATACCAAAAAATACGAAGGTGGCATGACTCTTTGTAATGTACAAACGGGAATACCAGGAGATGGTAAGGTGACACGACTCTTTGTAATGTCCAAACAGGAGTTCGGGGAGATTGTAAGGCGACACGACGTCTTGTAATGTACAAACAGAAGCTCTGGGAGATTGTAAGGCGACACGACATCTTGTAATGTACAAACAGGAGTTCTGGGAGATTGTAAGACGACACAACGTCTTGTAATATACAAACCTAGAATCGAATAACAAACCATTTAACCTATAGACCACTATGCCATCGGGAATGATGGGACTGAAGCCTCTGGCAATGATGGGAATGAAGACCTGAGAAATGATGGGAATGAAACCGATGTCAATTATGTGATTGAAACCCATGTCAATTATAGGAATGAAGCCCCCAGCAATGATGGGAATGTTCACTGTTAAAATTTACTTCATTTATGAATCTTTAACTTTTTATTTGTTTACTGTGTATGTAAAAATATTTGAACACACCAGAATTTTATCAATTGTACAGTTATTGAAATACTGCACTTGTTATAGTTTGTGATGATGGTTGGCATGCATACAATAGTTTGTGCTATTTTACTCACGATACTACTGCATTATGGTCTACTGCTAGAGACAACTGTGTTAACGATGGAGGGGTTTTGATGATGCCAAGATCTAAAGACGATATTGAATTTATTCGGAAAATCACGTAAGTTTATCCTGGTAACAGGGAGTTGTTTGTATTCAATTAAATAAATCGTTTATATGGTGCAAATGTGTAACACTAGTATTTATTATTCATGAGAATTACAATGCATCAGAGAGGGGGGGGGCACGGTGACTCAGAACGACGTTGACTCGTTAGCCTAAAGATCGAGAAAGTTCACCGGGGTTTTCCGGCGTGGTTCTCCCTTGTTAGCGGTGCAGGGCAGAGGGCCTGGCAAGCATAATGTATATTCGTTCAGATGGTTCGACAAACCGAGATCCCCTGTGCTCATTGGCGTGCACGTAAAAGATTCCTTGGTCATTGAAATTGGAATAAGAGTAGGCCGCAGGAAGGCGAAACTTCCCTCATATCACACTATAGGCGTATGCCCGTCTTCAATAGTTGGAGCAGAATAGAAGTATGTGCAGAAGCTATGATTCAGAATAACCAATATCATAAGATGTGCTGTTTTTTTAGACATATTGGTCGTGAATACTGGGTTGGCGCCAGTGATCTGGCTGTTGAAGGTACATGGCGATGGTTAGATGGATCAGAAGTAGGCGCACAAGAGCAAAGATGGGCAGCAGGTATACACGTAGTCATTACTGACAGATATATATTATGTTAATTGTTCGGGTTACAATTGAGACTGTCATACAACTATTGATGTATAGTATCTCCAAACATCTTGTATCTGAACCACTTACAACTTATATCTGACCTACCTACAACTAAGCTAATCATAAAAGCTTGAAAATTTAACTATTAGCATATATTTTATCTAATGTAAAAGAAACCAAAAACGATGACGTGAAAATGTTTGTTTTGTATTTACTAACTTATGTTTCTATGCACAGGACAACCTAGAAATTTGAATGGATGGACTGACTGTGCTCTGATGAGTAACACAATAGGTGGAAACACATGGCGAGATGTCTATTGTTCGTACTATCTACATTACTATTACGTTTGCCAAAAGGATAATAATAGTAAGTGAATCCCTAGTTGGTATGACACTACACAGTCCGTGTTATAGACTATACTTGACTTGTCCTCGTCCTTTTAAAGGGACATTATGTAAAATTTAGATACAGTGCTGACAGTTCTCGCTATAATAGTTAAAAGACTATACTTGACTTGTCCTCGTCCTTTTAAAGGGACATTATGTAAAATTTAGATACAGTGCTGACAGTTCTCGCTATAACAGTCAAATTGCTTCACTTAAATATTAGCGATTCACTTTTAGGTTAGCCTCGATCGTCATTACTACCATTGTTACGATAATAAATAAAGTCTCAATTATCCATTTTTACGGTTGTTTCATACATCACAAAACGTATTCAAATCCACTAAAGATCGCAGGCTAACGATGGCATCGAGAGTTGAGTATGGCCTTGATAAGTTAATCATTGTCTAATTAATAATTTAGATTTAGCTCTTATAACAGTTAAAATAGATAATGAAAATTTCAGTCAAATTGCTTCACTTAAATATTAGCGATTCACTTTTAGGTTAGCCTCGATCGTCATTACTACCATTGTTACGATAATAAATAAAGTCTCAATTATCCATTTTTACGGTTGTTTCATACATCACAAAACGTATTCAAATCCACTAAAGATCGCAGGCTAACGATGGCATCGAGAGTTGAGTATGGCCTTGATAAGTTAATCATTGTCTAATTAATAATTTAGATAACATTTAAGGCCTAAAGAAAGACCCGTAATAGCCAGATTTAGCTCTTACATAACGTATGTTTAAATATATGCATTATGTAATATTTAGATAAAGAGCCGATCGTTCTTGCTATAATAGTTCAAAATAAGATAATATGAAATGAATGTATTGAAAATTTCATTCAAATTACTTTATGATGACCGAGGCTACACTGTAAAAAATATCCATTTTTTATGTGGCCGAATTCCGTAATTTAACACCTTTTTTCTGTTAATCGATGAATTTTTTTAGAGAAATTGTGTTAATAGTGTGAATTATTTCTTCAAATTACGTGTTTTATGTATTTCTGTAGAATATTCAGTATTAAACAGGAAATTTCCGTGAAATTTAGGGATAAAATGTTTTATTCCCTTCTATAATGGATTTAATTCTGTTATTTTACGGAATAAACGGTGGAATGACAAGGAAGTTCCTTGAAATTTAGGGATAAAATGTTTTATTCCGTTCTGTAATGGACTTAAGTCTGTTATTTTACGGGATAAACGGTGCAACGATAAGTAATCGTATACATATATAATCATTCCTAATCATCATGTTATAGTATTCATTTCAATTTATTTACCATAATATGAAGAATCATATTTTGTAAAGTTTGGCATATTGATTGTCATATATATCTAATTTCCATTATTTATAAGATCTATAAAGTGTATTGTGATTCATCATACGGAAATCAGATTGTAAGTATTTTCATAAATATATAAAAATATGTTTTAATACTGCGTGTGTTAAGATTGTAATATCTGGTAATGAAGCACGCTTAAATCCGGATAGTACAACCGGTTGGCCAGTGTAAGTCGGTTTGTCTCTATGGCAGAGTCTACATACCTGCGAATTGAAAATACCGCAAACTTACACCTGAAAGCCTCCAACCACCTACGAGTAGCGGTTTGTGATACCTTGCTCTCGATTCTTATATTAGCGAAAAGAGGTTACGTTTAAAGATTATCTGCGTTATCACTTCGGTAGAAGCAGACGTTAAATAAAGCTATTTCACGCACGCATATAAAGTCAATGGTTAATTCAATGAAATTTTTATCACCTTCATCATCGTCAGGAAACAAAATTTACCAAGGTTTTTTTTTTCTGTATTTGAAAATGGAATTTCTGTTAATTGAGGGAATTTCTGTAAATTACAGGAAAAACAAATACGGATAAAATTTTCCTGGTAATTTTTGTTTCCGGAATTTTTTACGTTTTTTCACAGAAATTTTTGTTACAGTGTAGGCAGAAATTTCATTCGCTTAGTTATCGGTTCATAGTGGATCAATTTGAATGAAATTTTCAGCAAATTGCCTTTACGTTATCTAGTTTTTAACTATCATAGTGAGAACTGCCAACTCGTTATCGAATCTCCCATAATGTATCTTTAACTTATATTTTATTTTGTTTAAAAAAACACTATTCTTGTTTATACATATGACGGGATGGCCATACTACAGGGGAACAAAAACTGTGTATGTGTATATCCTATGATGGTATTGCCATACTAAAAAGGAACAAAAACTGTGTATGTGTGTACCCTCTGACAGAATAGCTATACTTCAGAGGAACAAAAACTGTGTATGTGTGTACCCTCTGACAGCATAGCTATACTTCAGAGGAACACAAACTGTGTATGTGTACCATCTGACGGGATACCAATAATTCAGAGGGACAAGAACTGGAACAAAAAACGCATGAATTTTAATATTAAAATTGATGAGCCATTCTGATTAGTGAAATATATCCGTGATTTTCCAGTGATAAGCCAGCCTTGTGTTGATGTAGCTACTGACTGTCAAGAACAGTTTACGGCTGATGGGAGCTTTTGTGATACAGACAACAGTTATGCAACTGAATTCTGTGCTTTGACTTGTAAAATCTTTAGTTGTACTACAGGTAAATTATAAATAAATATTTTTATGTTAATATTATGCCGACTGAACAATAGATATTTTATTCTCGATGAAGTAATACCATCGTGTATCATGTGTAGGTCTAATCGCCCAGTGTTAGTTAACTATCCAAAGCAGAGTCGACGTTGCTATAATCTTGTGTGGTACACAATGAACGGGCAACTCAAGAGTGCAATTATTATTTTATATGTACGTGCACTTTTCCAACCATTGATTTGTTGCCGATTGTTCGGCGTGGTCACCCTTTGTCAGTGGCTGAGGACAAAGGGTCTGGCAAGGAACAGCGTGTATTCCTTCGGATGGGGCCAAAAACCGCCGTCGGCGTACACGTAACGGAATCCTTGAAAGCTGGAATTGGATACATTGTAGGGGTAAAACAGCTGTCTAGCTGTCTAGGCAAAATGTCCCACATAGCACACTGCATAGCGTGTATCGTGTATGGCCCAAAACGGCAGGACGTTAAAAGCCATTTCATTTACTATTACCTATCTTTAATTATGCCTTTCTTTTTCGTGGTAAGGGGCCTGTGAAGAGGGATGGACCCTAGCCGGTAGCAACTGTTATAAGTATCATAGCTACACTAATGAGAAGAATTATAACGAAGCTGCCGGTGTTTGTAATGATAATGGAGCAATTGTATCTGGTGTAAGACAGGGAGTCGAAAAAGATTTGGTCGACTTATTAAGGTAAATTGAAATTTAATAACATTTTGCATCTCGGCAACCGCTGTTTCTATGGTTAGGCGTATGTTTCTAATGGCACAATCTGATAAAAATTAGAAACAAAGTGTATTCAAATTAACATATATATGTATTACTTGAACCCGCTTGGAAAAATTCTGATCAAGTATTTACTTTATTTTTTAAGAGGATCAGCAACAATATGGATTGGTGCCAATGATATCGGTAACGAGGGAACCTTTACTTGGGCAGACGAGTCAGCAATTGCTCAAGGCGATACAAACTGGGCTAGCAGTAAGTAAATACTGAGCGCCATGGAAAACGCATCACTTTTTTTTCCCAAATATTTTATTACTAGGTGGTGTTGTATGTATAATATTATGCAATACTATGAACTTTTGTTTCACACAATGCTCCCAGACGCAAAAAATATCGGTCCGTGTGCACAAAAAAAAAATTGCACGAGATGCACATGAAAACCCCAATATTCACGTGCAGCATTGTGTGTGAGCCCTTTAAAAGTATGTTTTCAACTTAATGTGCAGTACATGAACTGTGAAACGTCAATCTGTCGTAATTTGTTGTTGGACGTGTGAAGGAATCGAGCTAGAGATGCCGAGACTTACTGAAAATCAACGGAATGAAGCCATGTGAATGTCCAGGGCTGGCATGTCTACGCGTGCTATTGCCAGACACTTCAATTGTCATCAGTCCACTAATGTAAGGTTGGTGGAACGTGTTCGAGTTACTGAACCAACACGTGACCGTCAACATCCTGGTCCACAACGCGTTACAAACCAGGCTCAAGACCGCCACATCCGGGTCACTCATCTGCGTGACAGATTCCGCCCAGCGACTCGAACAGGTGCAGCAGTCGTCGGAAGACAAGGACCAGCAAGTGCCAACACCGTAAGACGTCGTCTAAGAGAAGTAGGACCTTATGTTGGAGCTATCCTCATGGATCATAACCGTCAGCGGCGTTTGATATGGGCTCAAGGACACCAGACATGGAGAAGAGTAGACTGGCAAAGTGTGCTCTTCAGTGATGAGAATCGCTTTCATCTTTATCACGCTGATGGCCGTCAACGTGTGTGGAGACGTCTTGGGGAACGTCTTGCAGACTGCTGCGTCTTCGAAACGAATCGATGGGGTGGGGGAAGTGTAATGGTGTGGGGAGGTTTCACATTTCATCACCGGACCGCCCTACACATTTGCAGGGGTTGCGTTAATGCTGTAGCCTACCGTGATGATGGCCCGTGGAGGACACACGCGCTACCGACATCTGTGTCGTACTTTTGGTTTTGACCCCTCTGACTTTGTACCCTTGATTACAGATTAAACATCCATAAGTGTACAAATGTGTTGTTATTGATGTGTTCCCATTTGAATATTGTTCACAATAAGAAGCAAAATAAATAAGATATGTTTACAGGATCATTTTGTTATACGAAAAACTAAGTGATGCGTTTTCCGTGGCGCTCAGTATATAAATCTAACAATGTGGCTATGATAGCAGTTCAGGGTTCTTAATAATTGTGTTTACAAGTAAGTTGTATGTACCAGATAAACGGCGTACATAATTTGGGGCGGCGATGTCTGTCTCAGAATTCAATCGAAGTGGCTACCGTTTGGGCTAGACTGATTGTACGGAATTTCAAAATAGCTAAATAATTTCCAGGACAAAGATGAGCTTAATATTCACAAACATGCGTAATTAATACATTGATAATAATTATTCGGAAACCCTTTAAGGTGGTCGAGAACATCACTGTCCTCGTTGATTTGTTCAATTTGGGAAAGTCACTTACAAATAGCAAACTGGTTTCCGATTCTTTGTATATTTTTTTTTAAAGTACTTAAACACACATGTGTACAAGTCTTTTTGTTTCGCTTTTCAGGTGAACCAAATAATTATTGGAACTTGGAACACTGTGTTAAATATAGTGGAGAAAATGGAGTATGGAACGACGTATATTGCTACTATTACAATAATCATCCCTTTGTCTGTTCCAAGCCTGGTAAGTTGTCAGAGGGGTGTTTATTTTTAGAACAGATTAAGTGTATGTTAATTCGATTATTTATTAGATTCTGGTTAATCACGTCTTGGTAATACTGGATAAGTAATAGATCAATAAACTATAATCGGGTTATAACATTTTAGACCCCCCCCCACACCCGTCCCACATCCCGACTCCTTTGCTATGTACTCTAAGCACGTACAATTATAAGGTTGTTTTTTTTAGGTTACTTGATTAGTTCATCCAGCCCATAATAACTGTTTTTGTTGTTTCAGAAATCAGTTTACGAGTTCCATGTGATGTTCCTGCCACACCAGCAAATACAGCTCTATTATCTGATACCAGTACATTTGAGAGTGGCTATATATTGCGATATAAATGTAATACTAATTATTGGTTAGAATCAGGTAACTTAAACAGAGGCTGTTTATTATCTGGTCAAGTTGGTGGATCACCTCCTGTATGTGTTCGTAAGTGGAATTCATTTTGCATTACGTGATCACGCTTATCTCACTTCAAGGCCAACTTCTTGTCGCTAGGCATGGATAGTTCGTCAAAGAAATTTCACTCTCCCTGTCCGTTTAGCCCGCTTACACTGTACTAGAATTAGATTTACATGATTGGTTGAAATTTAAAATTGTTCTTTTAATTGGTTTATTTATTTTATTCGCCTTTAGCAATAGCCGTTCTCGATACGTAATTTCCGGTCTGTCAGCAGAAGATGTAAACACACTCAAAAATTATGAAAATTTATTTCCTCATTCCCCATCTTGCTGTATAATCCTCGGGTAATTGGGCCTAGAAAGATCATCGGAATTCTCAACTTGTTCCCCTTGTAAGCAAGCCTGGAAATAAGGCACCTGTCACAGACAATGTCAGACACTGTATCAGACTTTGTCAGGCACAAAACCTCTGGTGCCTGTCAATTTGCCCGGCACTGATTTATCTGTTTAATAGATATTATAAATACATGTTCAGCACTAAGTTGAAAATATCAGGTACTATTTCATTAGTGCCTAACATTTTGTCAGGTACATCTAAAATTGTTATTTCCAGGCCTGGTAAGTCATGCAAGACAGCGTTAAATCGTTCTGACGGGACGAACAACCGAGGTCCTATGTGCAAGTTGGCGTGCTCGTAAAAGAACGATTGTAATATGTATTAGTGTTTCCAACACACGTTTCAACACAGGTGTTGAAATAATCATATTATATTTTTGTATCTTATTTCAGTTGGATCGGAAGCTAATGTATTGACATATATAAACGGAGAACAGTTAAAATACAGAGGTGGTGTCATTCCAAACTTTGCTAACGGTATATTTACTACTAATCATGAACAATTCTATATACCAAGAGGTGGAGAGATTGTTGAATGGCAGTTATACAGTAATAAAGCCGGTCCTATTGCTCTTCTTGTTTTACGACCCAGTGGAACAAAGTAAGTGGAAAAAACAAACTAATTAAAATTCCGTTTAGTTTTTACCTTTTATTATTCTGCTCTGTGCTGTATTTAGACATAATTTAAATAAACTACAGTTCAGGATTTCACAATCCGTATGATCCACAAATGATGTAAAATTTATATAAAGAGTTGATAGTTCTCGCTATAATATTTAAAATATAGATAATCGAGACTACCCTGTTCTACAAACGACGGATAACTCCGCTCAGAATGCAGTAACTTGACTGCAATTTTCCCTTTTCATTAATTTCAACAGATTTAAATACGATTGGCAATTGTATTTAAATTTGTTGAAAATCAAAACCTTCCGAAGTTCTAGAGATGTGATTATGGGCCTGGCATGTAAATAAACGTCTAATTATATATTTATATAACATTTAAGGCCAAACGAAAGATCTTCATTAGACAGATTTAGTGCATCTTTAAATAATACAAAAGAAATGATAATATATGTGATTTAACTGTCTACTGTTCACCATCTATCAGGTTAATAAAGACGTGCATATACCATGCAGTGTGTTATCGGGGATATTGTATCTGGACAGCAGTATATCCACCTACTCTTCATCGAAATCCATCCGTCAAGGGTTCTTTAACATGCACATGCTACCCCCAGTGTTTGTCCCATCTGAATGACTAGACGTTGTGCCATGTACGTGTGGAAAACAGTCTGTAGAATATAATATTTTTCTTCTTCCAGCTACACATTAGTTGGCTACAACGAATTCAACACAGAAGGAAATGGTGAGGAATTTTTCAGTGTCAGTTCAGCAGATAGAATTCAAGTAGAAGCAGACGATACAATTGGTTTTTACATCCCTGGAACTATTCAATCTGTAGCAGCTGATGTACATTCAGCCGCGAATAGTCCAAAATTCCCCGAGCATAAGTTACGTCGAAGCGTTGACTCGCCAACATCCACGTCCGCTCTTGTAAATGGACAAACTTATCAATTCGCAAGCGAGGAAAGTTCTGATGCAGTCATCGTATCGTTACGTGCTGTTGTTGGTCCTTCATCTCTGTAATATTTATGTTGATGACAATGTGCAATATACCGTATTATTTTAATAATATGAGATCATTTTATATATAATTATATACAATTGATATCAGTTTGTTTATATATTAATGATAAATATTGTATATTGATATAAAGAAAATAATAAATTTAGCATTGCAAACGACATATTCTAGTTCTTATATTAAAAGCTTAATGTTCCAGAATAAACAGCGAATATAGACTTTTAGAACAACAAATGAAAATTTCTCAGTACCCGAAGTATACGTCATTTCTAGCCATCAAATATCCAGACCGTGTTCACCTAACCTATTGTTTTGAGCCGTTATATTTGTAAAATTTAAATAAAGAAATTGTCAAATCCGGAAGAAATAGTATTGAACAATATCATATATTATAGAATGAGGGTGTTACAATCTGAAAAGTTAAAACTTCATAATAATTAACTCCACTTACCAAAAATAATTATCACTTTCGATAATTATCACGGGTTGAGTTGAACACCAGTAAAGAAATCTATCAAATATTGATTAAATGTCCAAACTGGGTTAATGAAGACGACGGGTATATGTCATGTTGTATATGTTATGAGGGAAATTTTGCCTGGGAATCGGTGCTACGGATTACTCTGATTTTGAAAACCAACGTGCACAAAGAACCTCGGTTTTTCGTTTCCTCCGAACAACTAGACGCTGTTCGTCCAATCTACATCGACATTTCCCCAGGCACGAGTCTAGATGGGGGTTCCCGTCGGGGGGGGGGGGGGGCGGATCCTTCCCTGCTCCCGCAGATCATATTGGGCATATTTTGTTTTCTCAAGTCGAACAAAAAATAACTGTCAGGCCTTACTTTACTCTAATCCTATACATGAACCGGTATATGAGCAGAATTATTGTCTCGGGGCTTCTGATTTTATTTTTAAAAAAAATATCTGGTAATTCCCCAGACCTATCAACAATATTGACGTTCTGCACATTGGACACCCCGCTCATGTAACTCCTGAACACGCCACTGTCCCCTATCTCTGTTTGTCATTATTAAGAAAAATCTAAGTTAAGTAAAGGACCAAACTCAAAAATAATTTTTTTTTCAAATCAATAATGAACTTTTTTCTATAATTAACTCTGCTTGACCACAGAAACGAAGCTAGTTTACCGACATTTGAATTCCTATTTAGACGAGTCTAGTCGAAAATACTATATTCTACTTCGAGGATTTATTCCGCGTCCATTTTCATAATATGGAATGAAACTAAAAATACCTGTTTAATCTTTATGTGTATGAAAAGGATTAGAATCGCATAATTTATTAGTCCACTGTTTTCAATGTGGAAGCCCTTCAGGAGAGAGAGAGAGAGAGGGGGGGGGGGGAGAGGGGAGAGAGAGGTGGGGTTAAACGACCACTCGACAAAATCTAGGTCATGGTTCAATTTTTTTCAATAATTCGCTTGCGCGTAGGGGTCTTTAGCAGTGGGAGAAAACCGGAGGACCCCTAGAAAGCCAACGAGGTTGGGCAGGCGACCCTACTCTTTGTCACGTACAAGCGGGGAATCGAAACCCCTCTAGTTGCAGACCTTATGATACTACGTGCACGCGCTCACCATTCGGCCACCCCCACCCCCCCCCCCACACCCCCACCCCCAAGGACAGAAATCCGTTGATAGTCCACTGTGTGTGCAGAATGAACGAACCATTCGGTTGTTTCACTTATGTTACAGATTGAATAATTTATTGTTTTAATCATTAACACCCAAATAACATAACGTGTATAATATACAAACAACGCGTGTACGGCTGTTTTTATACTACTCAAGCATACTTCTGGCTCTGACTTGCCAGCACCAAATCCATAAACTGCTGTACCAAAAAGACAGGTTATTTCCAAAGGTCAGGTTGAAGCCTCAGAAGGTGAACTAGGCGTAGTTGAGATGCCCACGCCACGTGGGGGTATTAGTATTCCTAAACGATACCCACTGCACCTAAAATCTTTCACAAAATTTTGAAACGGATATATGTCTTTTGGGAGCCAATAGGGCAAACGTTGGATTATTCGGCCATTGAACCAGCTACGCTTAAAATGAAATACATAGATAACTAAATAAGCTGGTTTCAATCATGCTAATTATCACCGTTCACGTATATCCGTATTATAAGTAAGTCAATTTACGCGTGATTTAAAGGGGGCGTTTATGAATATGACCAATATAAATAAGACTTCTAAAATTTATCAGCTTTCATTATCTGATGAACTCTATGGATGTAAATATTAGAAGTAAGTAGATTATAGATATTATTTTAGAATATTTTGACAGAAATGAATGTTATATATAACGGAATAACGCTTACCCGAGAATACTCGAAATTAATACAACTATAAACGTAGAATAATATTCCCTTTTAATGTAAGATATAATCTAGGTAAGTTGTCGAGAACACTGAATGTAATTATTCATCCATGTGTTGGACTTTTTCGTTTTATAATGCTTCAAGAAATATTTATCGGAATTGGTTATTAGGAAATAAAATTCATTACATCACACTTAGAGCTCATAATAAATATTTCTTATTAAAGGTAGAAATTATTTCCATTTTATATTCTTGTATTGTGTAAATCAGAGCATATTAAAATTAACTTATAGTCATGTGCCAAGTTGTTAGTTTCCCCTTTAAACTAGGAAATAAGATTGAAGGGTTGTACGGAAATTAACTTGGTCATTGTTGAAATATTATGTCGTAAATAATTTCTATTCTTTGCCTTTCCCTTGAATAGATATATAAGACAGCTTTATGACTCATAAAGACTGTGGGTTTGATGTTCTTAATTCGCGCATTCTGGAGATACTAGTATTATACTAATATATATTTATATATATTTATATAGTATAATACTAGTATATATAATACTATATATATAAATATATATATATATATTTATATATATAGTATTATACTAGTATCTCCAGAATGCGCGAATTAAGAGTTTAAAATTATCTCTCGAAATCTGCTCTATAAAAATCGTTACCTTGCACTGTTGGAATAATTTGTATCAAAGACAATAGTTTTGAACGGTCTTTGTCAAACAATAAAGTATCATAAACTTACAGGAGCTGAACATCTTTGACATCTTTGAATTTATTTTGGAACGATTGCTTCTAGCCATACCGTTTGAACTGTAGTAATTGGCGGAAGTGGCAGAGTTGTTACACGGAGGTATCCACATCATAGCCTCTTTATATAACCTAGTAACGGGAGTGGGGGCGGGGGTAGTTTAACGCGTGGGCGTTATAATATCACGACAAGGAGTAGGGTCGCTTGTTCAACCTCGTTGGTTTTCTCACGCTCAACCAGATTTCTCCCACACCTAGATTGTGTCCAGTGGAAGTTAAACCCCATTCCTGTCTGTCTGTAACTAATAGAAAGTCTTGTGGATAAATCTTTGATATCGCTTATGTTAAGTGGAAACCACAGTCTATCGAGGGAAAGATTAAACCCAGCTGCAGTCAATCCTCCAGGTTGAATTTCACCAGTAATTCCTCTCTTAACTATGTAACAAAACTCAACATAGGTACATATATACATTGTCTATACATGATAGCAGAGTATATATAAATGTATCGGATTGACCACTTGAAAACCGCTATGTCTCAGAGGTGGAGTGTTTAAGGGTTCCTAATGCATAATTTTATGTGGAGGACTTAAATTTGAACGTAACCAAGAATCTTTAACGTAATAAACGATTCATGACCCTGGAACTGGCGTGGTAGTTGACTCGGTATAAAAACAAAGCGGACCTCGCCTTGACTAATGGTGTTTAATGGTACGTACGCACCAGTAAATCGAAATCGAAACCCCGCCAGTTGACGCAATGACAGACCGTATGATACAGCGCGCACGTGCTAACTATTCGGCCATCCAACCCCCCTAAATTACGATATAAAGAATACCTTTTAATCGTATAAATTAATATATAAAGAATACCTTTCTATCGTCTAAATTACTATATAAAGAATACGTTCCAATTGTCTAAATTACTATATAAAAAAATACACTTCAATCGAATAAATTAATATATAAAGAATCTCTTTCAATCGTCTAAAGAACACTTTTCAATCGTCTAAATTACTATATTATAAAGAATATGTTCCAATCGTCTAAATTACTATAAAATCGCCCGAAGTAATATATAAAGAATACCTTTCAATCGTCTAAATTACTATATAAAGAATATTTTTCAATCGTTTAAATTATTATAATACCTTTCAACACTTATTGTTAATGAATTTATATAACGAAAATGACCTTCTTGCGCATTGTAGCTTTGCGCATTATTTTTCACGCCCAGCACGAAGTGCATATATTATTGTAAGCAGGTGTGTACTGGTCGATTAAACTGATAAAATAAAGCTAACCGTAAATCCTCATATAGTGCAATATCCTATAGAATTGATAGATTTATTTATTGTATTAATATGAAGATAACCATATTTATCAATTTTTCTGTTAAATTACTCATGTATCGACTTTATTACCCTATTTAATACAGAAACGTTCAAATACGGGGAGCTTTAAGTATTTATATTTATTAAGGGTATGGGATTTTCCTAGTATTAATTAAATACTGTTTACAAATTTGATTTATAAACATGTTATCTATGAAGGTGATCTATGACTATATATAAATAACATTCGTCTTCATTCTGCAGTAGGTGTTATAGCTCAATACGCGTATACAGGTAAGGCGTATACCTTTTTAGCTTTTATTTTATTTTATTTTAATTTATATGTTTTACTTCTCGTCAAAATGACCATTAAATAAATTTTCAATTTCTTATGCACAGAAAACAGCGTCATTATATTTTTTATCGTGTAACACCCCTGCAAAGTGCTCTTGTATTTTTTCTTTCTCCATTGGCCAGCTACAAGTTTACAGTAAAAGAAGGGACGTATTATCCGGAATGTGACCTAAAATTGATGGGTTTACAGAATACACAATTTAAAAGAAAGCCTACTGTAATATTTCTGATTTGATCACATTTCGGCTAAATAAGCGATATTGTTTTTATTTAGAATTGTTGAATTTTTTTCGGGTAAAAACACCTTCCAACATTATCATGCTATAAGTCAATTAATACCATTTTCAACAATTATAAAATAACAGTTTAACCATTTTTATTGTGGGGCATAATGAATGATGTCGCAGCCTTATATGAAGAATTACATTTACAAAAAGTTTAGAGATAAGTGCATATTCTGATTTATAGAAATAACAAGTTTATTTTACCTTGTGATTGTGGATAAACATATATTCGACATTATTTCACTAAATCGATTGTTTGTAATAATAAAACAATAACATACTCCCCTTGAGGGAATGTTTTATGAGTTAAACCCAGACTAATTATCCCTTGCAGTCAATGAAACCGCGAGGCTACAAAATGCAATATTTCATTTATCGGCAAATTTATAAACATAAAAATTTGTAATATCCTTTCTTGAAAAATATATCACGAATGTGACCTTAAGTACATTTTTTGATCATATTTGTTTGTTTTTTCTTTTTGTGTGAGATATAACGAGTACAAAGTCTAGAGATAAATCGAAGTAAAATGCCTTATCAGTAAAACATATTTTGTTTCAATGGCATTAATTAAATGAACTGGACATCGAGACAATTCTGTGAAATATTATTGCAATATATTACTGAATTGTTTTTCATGAAATAGAAATATTCTATCAGAATCAGATAATCCCTACTTTTGTACACATGATTTGTTGGGTTTTTTTCACTTTTCACTGGCGGCAACATATTTTAACAACGACAGAAAATTTTGAAATTAAAACAATTTATGTTTTTCATCCCGAATTTCTATTTTTCGGGAATTCATGAACTTTACGTGTTCCTTCAAATCCAGTTTCAAGACAAAATTAAATATGTATTAAGTGTAATTATATGAATATTAAAATACGTTTGTCATATTATAATAATTGTTAATAATTATTATAATTGTTAATAATTATATTTTCGTCGCTCTAATAGTGGAAATTGTCGCCCGATCTATGAACTATCGCAAATATTTTCGGATTGTATTTAGAGACACACGACATAGAGAAAATTCCAGAACTATGGTTTTACATGAATAATGTAGGCAGCATGGTAACCTTAATAATAATGGATTGTTTCTGAATAATTAAAGTGAATTATATAGTGAAATAGCCAAGTTTGATATATATTTAATCTAAACAGTATATATATAAAGCTGTGTTTTAGTATAAAGTTACACTATAACCAAAAAGGAAATATACATCACAATCGTTATTTTATATATATTAGCTCAATAAATAGTTGTGGCTTCACATTTTATCAAATGTAAATAGCTTTAGCGGAATGCTGGATTTAAATTGGTATAAACAATATATACTAGACAGTTATAATCCTAAATATATAACTATCGATAGGAAAACATACACAAACTATCAAAAATCTTTCATCTTTCGATATAGTCTAAGCAAAAATTTGAAAATCTACGAGGGCTAGATTAAAAGTTCTGAGCCTGAAAAGGATAGATCAATTGGGTTGAAACAAACTTTGCCACCAACAAGTACAGCCATGGAATTAATCATAAACATAAGAACTGCAGCTGTAGTGTTAATATTGTCTTCGTAGCCGACCATCTTGTATACCCATTGAAATCACCAGAAATGGACAAAACTGGCTATAGGGCAGTCATCGTATACAAGACGACGGCTGGTGTTTTTTTTTTTGTAAACAATATTGAAGAACAGGCATGGCCTATTTAATCCATCTCAAATAAAAGCAATTTAATTTTAATCTAAAAGATGTGCAAAGATAATCAAAAAAATACATATGTACAATTTTAAAGTCTTTAGGATATGGCGAAAAATATATGAACCTTTTCAAACATTTCGTTTGAGTCTGTTATGTACTCTTCACAAAAAAGTAGGAGGATATTGAAATGCAAATACCTATGCAGGTTGTTATATGATCAATAGTCATGGACACTTGACATCCTTTAAGAGTATCTTCACAGATGGAGAACTTGTCGCCCCAACAGAACCACTGAGCTGCGCCTACACGTGGGAGGGGTTCATTGTCAAATTTGACACTTCATGGAAAGGTTGGTGAAAACTGCCGCTTGCTGGTTTATCCTATCCATGTTTGCTTTACTATCGGTTCTTGCATACGATTTACTGTTTAGTGTATCTTTGCTTTAGTGTGTTACGTTTAATTTGATCGGCAGACGTGTTCGTCGACGTCAACATCAACCGACAACACTGCAAGAATTGGTTGTGGCACTGCACGAGGAGTAGGTCAGATTGCCCCAAATCGTGATTGGACGGTTGATTAGGAGCATGCCACGACGAATTGCTGAATATCTGAGGATTTGTGGAGCAATTACTCATTATTAAGACAAAAATCAAAAACGTCCATTTTCACTTTTGACGGTGTATCTCATCGCGAGGAAATGGGGCCGTCAGATAAGCCGCCCATATGAACTATGTTTATGTTCATGTGTAGGGAATTGGCCTGTTATTAACATACACTGGTTACCTCTAATGAAAACAGCAGTGCTCCGAAGTTTTGTATTGTTTCTGAATATCCCCTACTTTTTTTGAAGAGTATATTTTTAGTCCCATGAAGTAAAGTAAAACTGGGGACAAGAGTGTTATGGATCGTTTGTGTGCACCTGAATGTAGAGTGCGGTGTAATAAATAATGTTGGGTATCCTCAAAGTTATGATCACAGTTAACTCGTCAAGCTAAATCAAAACGTCAGACATGGTGGTTGATGCTCAGTAATAATTAAATTGTTTAATTTATTGTGGGATTAATAGACAATTTCCCCTTTCTTTGTATTTATAAATATTGTACTTTCAGATAAATGTAAATTTAGAGGGTCAAACAGATAATCCAATTCTACTCGATGGAATATAGATGTATTTACGATTATTTCTCTGTTTGTCAACAATAAAATATCTACATGAGAGATATAAATATAATAATCTACAATAAAATAAATGTCGTCACCCTTTTCTTAAAGAATTACTTTTAATCATGCGAAATAAAGGAAGAACTCATGACCAAAGCAAAACCAAAAGGTTAACAAACGAGTTTACCGGAAATGGTTTTGTTAAAGAAATGTTAAATTGTTTTGAAGACTAAAATGTTGTGGCCTTTTGAAAGTTTTATGTCTGTAGATCTAGCTCACTTTCTACTGTGGTTAGACTAAACAGTCCACTTCAGTTTTGCTTAATCTTCCGAAGTGAAATTAATTTGTCCAGCTTGATCCAGCAATAATCGAAATAATACATCAGATTAACTCAATTCAATACTTAAGTTTTACCTAAAGTTTTAATCAAAGAGATTAAGTCTCAAATCAAAGAGATTAAGTCTCAAGTCAAAGAGATTAAGTCTCAAATCAAAGAGATTAAGTCTCAAATCAAAACGTTTGTCTCTTTGAGAGGTTTGATAGTCAAGTATTGAGATACCGATGCTAACATCCAGCCTTATTATTATTATAGAATGAATTGGCTATTATCATCCTGTATATTTCTTTTGGTTAAATCATCCATCGGTGCCAGCATTGTTGGTGAAGTGGTACCACCTACTATAGTTCAACAAGGCGATTTGCCACCGAAAATTATTGAAAAGGATAGAGGACTAGTGGACCCTGAAGAACTGACAGATTCAAATAGAGAGGTAATAGTCTGTTAATGTCTCCAGCATATTTGATTACGTCTTGTTCTTGTTTGCCAGGCAGCATTTGGAATTGACCTGTACGTGACAAGGGGCAGGGTCACCTGCGTAACCTCCGGGAATTCCAGTTTCCTTCCACTTATAAAGTCCCCGGTTCACAACCAAATTATTAAAATGAAAATATAACATATTAAATGAGTCAGCATATGACTTAGTTAATAGATAATGGTACTGAATCTCATTCCACTCTGTCACTGATGGGACACTTTGCCGTGCGATACTCATCTTTGCCGCCCCTTTAGTGGGACACTATCATGTGTCACTTGTTCCCTTCGTCTCCAATTTCACGCTGTGAACTTTTTTACTTAATAGTCAATTCACTCTTGTTTATACATATTCCTGTATTGAGGAGAGTGTGCATATCATGTATGGGATGCCAGGTCCGCCACGACAATTGTTAGTCATTACAATGAGTAAAGTAATATTTTGACTCAAACAGTTTAATTTCTGTTATTATGTGTGTATTACTAGACATAAGAATTTTACATGTACAACGGAGTGTCAGCCCACCCTTCTTTCATTTCCAATTATCAAATTATGTTGTTTTTGAATTACATGAACCTTGTGATACCATAACATCCAAATAACTAGACACGCATGGCAATCTCGCAAACACCACACTTGAATCACCCAGACGGTTATTTTCGGACCATTCTAGTTCAGTGCCATACCCATATGGCTACCACTTTCTCCAAGTAAAATGAAAACTGAAACATTGGGGTTAAATAACTATATCTGAAATATTCACCAGTAAAATGATATGATTTCAAATTCATTGAATGTTACATAGGTAAAGCCACGCCCTCCTAATGAGGGTCAAACCGATGTTGATGGCGAAGTCCATGACAGGAAGAGACGATTTGTTGAAGCAATTAATCAGCTGTGGCCAAATCTAGAAGTACCCTGGTATTTTGATGATGCTAGTTGTGAGTATATGAAACATCTACCCAAAGATACATTAAAATATATATGAATATATCATTTGTTCTCTTGTTTGGTTGCACGTTTTAAGTCTGGATTTGCTGTGACCATCATGGAAGTGCGGAACTTTTTGAAAATCTTCGTGCTACGTAATACCGAGCTTCGTATTACTTAATGACGATCTATTACTGAAGGGCGATATTTGTATTACTTAATGACGATCTAAATGATGATCTTGGTATTACTTTATGGCGATCTAAATGACGATCTTGGTATTACTTTATGACGATCTTCGTATTAGGTAATCTTCGTGTTACGCTATGACAAACTTCGCGTTACTTTATTACTTAATGGCGATCTAAATGACGATCTTGGTACTACTTAATGACGATCTTGGTATTACTTTATGACGATCTTCGTGTTACGTAATGACGATCTTTGTATTCCTTAATGGCGACCTTCGTGATGTACATGTATATAGAAGTCTTTCGATTAACAACAAGTCTTAATGACTGTGACTTACATACAAATATGGACACAAATCCGTTCTCAAATCTAAAACCATTAAACACAATTTATCCGACGAAGTTTTTCATTGATTTGATTTTAATGTTTTGTTTATTGTTATTTCTGCAGTCGGTGCTGGCGCAGCTGGTGAAAAATATGAAACAATAGTGTCTATGAAATTAATGGAAGAGAGAACTTGTTTAAAATTTAGAGAGATCAATTCAACAGAACATAGTTCTGGAACAACAGCGCATGCCGTCTTTCGAGAGTAAGATTTTGTTGATATATTACTTTGGACTGCAACGAAACTTTAGGAGTTTCCATGGACTATATATTTTTTACTAAAGTGAAATTCGCTAGAATACAATCTGGGATTTGTAACCCAATATTGCAAGTTTTTTTATAGCCTTGGTACCACCCATTTTGGGCTAGGATTCCATGATAACGTATTTATACACATTGAGTATCCCTAATGTGTACTGCATATATCCTAGATACGCATTGCGTGTGAGTAATGCGTATATCCTCGATAAGCATTGCGTGTCTAATAATGCGGACTGGTTCGAAGGTTATCACAACCGCTCCCGTGTGTCTTTCAGCATGTTTAAATTGATTGCAATTGGAGAGCAACGGTGGTCCTGAATTAGACCCCGGTGTTGACCGAGAAAGTTCCTCCGGATTTTGCAGCCTGGCGTTTTACGGGAGCCTGATAAGGAAAAGAAGTCTTAAAATGCAAAAGTTCTGTTCATGGGCTATGACCAGGAAGCAGGCGTTAAGCTACTACTATTATTACTGGATGTTTTCCCAGTTGTATGAAATGAACTTGGTGCTAAAAGAACTTTCAAGCAGCAGTTTAATATTTTGAGCAGCATTTAACCATCAGTCCTTACAACGGTTATTTAAACGCAGGGCATTCTAGCCATAACCTGTAAAATAATATTAAACTAGTAAACGTTTGGAACATTAATTTTTATCGCACTTTATACACGTCATTAAGAGTGTAATCAATCTAAAGGCTACACGGTTTTACACCTTTATGGAACATTAATTTATAACAAGCTTGTTAATTACTATGTGGAAAATAACGACTTAATTACGCCATCCGTTGCACATTTGTTGCGTCATTATCCTTACATCTTGACAACACTCAATCATCATATTAAATATGCCTATCACTCAGGGGCGTGGTGACCTATTATTTTGCATGAGGAACAAGGTCCAGTACGGGACCCAAAAAACAAAGTTTATATGTGTGTGCGGGGGAAGGGGGGGGGCCTATCAGTGTCATCGGGTAATATTGGGCTTTGCGGAACATGCTAGATGAAGCATCTGTCCCAAGTTATATGTTTGACTATGGTTAAGCATTATGATTATGATTATAATGCTGAAACCCGCATTGAAACTGCATGACTTTTTACCATTTGCGGGGGGTGCAAAACCTCAAGGAAGTGCAAAAACTCAAAAACATAACGCAAAGCTCGTCATTGCGTCCCTCTCACTTGGCCCCTGCTATTATTGAGTCTGGAGGACGATCGACAGTACTACGAACTAGAATGTTCTGAAATGGTGTACTGTTATAATATATAAAAGCAAATTTAAATTCAGACAATGAAAATTGGCTGACTTTAATAGAGAATTTCACTCCAGATAACTTAGGTCTTCGGGATTGCCAAGGTTGCGATATCGAAGTTTAACTGTACGTCGTATATGAATTCGTCGGGGCTATATTGGTTTGCAATAATAGCTAGAATAGTGAAAATATAGCAAGACATATTGTCTAAGGTATAAAAAAAGTCTGGAGCGGGTTCAGCTCTCCTTCAAACGATAAAGGAGGGAACAGTTCTGCTTGTTATATATGTTGACATAGGGAAAGCATTGCATGATGAACATGGCATGTATAACCTAGATTTATAGGATCATTATATGGTAATATATTTTCTTGTATTTATTTGTAGTACTGGTCATGGCTGTAGCAGTGCATTGGGATTTAAAAACGTATTGACTGGTCAGAACATAAACTGTTGTTCCCGGGTAAATATCTTCGTGTAAAACCCCTGAGCCAATTTGCTTTAGATCATTTTAAATATAAATCAGCCTTTCCCAATTGTTACTATGGTTGAATATAGCTTCCAAATTTTGTATTTAGTATATATAATTCATAATTAGCAATTTATCATTAGACTTGAAATATTGTGACTCGTTAACTCATTTAGATATCAAACTATATTTACCTCAGACACTACCTAATAATATAACACTATATATGTTTAGTTCTACAGTTTAGATATGTGGGCCGCAGTGGCTCAATGAGTAAGAGACGTTGGCTCGCTAACCTGAAAGTCACGTGTTCGATCCGGGTATTGGACGAGAAAGTTCATCTCGACTTTCCGCCCTCCCCCCGCATACTTTACTAAGCTAGTTCACCAACATTTTAAGTCCTAAATCGATGATTTTAGTCGAAAACACTAAGTATACTTCGAGAATTTTGTTAAGTATTGATTCAGCTTCCATTTAATGAAATTGAAAAAGTTTATTCAGTCTTTGTGTGTATGACTTGTGAAACGGAGTAAAACCGCATTATAAAACAGTATACTAATTTTGGGATATGGCTTCCATTTAGGGCAAAGATTTTTTCTTGAAAAATGGAGTAGATGGATCTCTGTGTCATCTATGCTCGAAGAATGAAGTAAATGTAACTCAGTGTGCAAAATGGGTTCTCCCATGTCATTGTCAGTGGTGTATGGCAGTGTGTTCGGATGGGACGAAAAACTGGGGTCCGTCCGGTGTACACATTGGTGTATACGTAATTGGAATTTGATATAAGAATAGACCGAAGCGTCACAGTATTTCCCCAATATCACACTGTATGACGTTTTCCAGTCTTCATTAGTCGGGTCAGAACAATATTACGTTAACCCCATTTCATTTCATTTTCACAGTTTAGCTGCCCCCATGAGCTGTTTCATCTGTTTGGTATTGCGCATGAGCATCAACATCCTCAAAGAGATAAACATATCAGAATCAACTGGGAGAACATTAAACCAGGTACTTAATTTCCAACTAATTTCTACACATGGACATTCGTTGATATAGCCATATAAACATTCGCTTCTATTGAACAATTGGTCACGGTAACATACCAACAAAAGACACTACCAACAAAAAATAAATGCAATTAATTTTGAATAATAAGGGAAATCTTTAAGCATTATCTAATCATGGAAAAACACCTGAAATCCGCTTACTTAAATTAGATGTCTAAAAGTCTGTGTCTCAGGGATGACGTGACAGACTTCTCTGAAATTCGTCACACAACTTAAAGGGACAATAACACTCTTGCTGGCTCGACAGCTCCAGAAAATAAATAATAGCCTTATTCTAAGTATTAGATGTTTATGTGTCCTACCTGTTGTGTAAATTATCCATTACATCCTATTTTACTTGTCCAGAGGGTTCGAAAATATTTTTAAATCCAAGTCACATTTGAAAAGGTTTATGTTAGGCTTTTCAAATCATTTAGTTGAATTTTTCCATTTTTTTAAATTAGGTGTGTTAAGATGAAATTTGTATCATCAATTAATTGGAATATTGTAAAATAGTACAATTTGTTGACTAGAATAAAGATTGGGACATATTATTCTGTTACAACAAGTGGTATTGGGCCTTTAATGTGAACACCCCTTTTGTAACTGTACTTAAATCGCGAAGCGACAAATGGCCACAAGGAAATAATACTTCTTTAAGCAATTTACTACACTATTAGACTCTCGTGCAATAGGCCCCGGGAACAAGAACTAGTACAAGAATATGAGCAAAAACCCACTGGAACGCACATTTGTACAAAACACAAAGTAAAGATATTTATGATTGGGTTACAATTTTGAAGTGGCTTTTTATCGCCTTTATATTCTTAAAAAATACATGTATATGCATTTGGTTTATAGGTCAGTGGTTTTCCTTTTTTCGATATGACCAATCTGCAGTTAAAGCTACTAACAGATATTATCTTAGTTTGACAACACATTACAAGTCACATGTAAGTAAATATTATGTGTCATATGCGAATTTGTTTTTATATATATATATAACAAATTTTTCAGTCGTGAGCTAATAGCAATGTCTTTTTGTTATTCTTTGGGTCCGCACCGAATTGGTCCGCAGTGGATCTTGCTCTCTTCACAACATAGGCAACTTCTGTAATTAGGGTAAGAAATGAAATGAAATGGAGTTTAACGTCCTACTGTTTTGCTCCGAACTGGGCTAATGAAGACGGGCACACGCCATAAAGTGTGCTATGAGGGAAATTTTGCCCGGACAGCGGCAATACGGCCTACTCTTATATCGAATTCCAACTTCAAGGGATCTTTTACGTTTACGCCAATATGTACACGGGACCTCGGTTTTTCGTCCCATCCGAATGACTAGACAGCTGTCCTTGCCAGGCCCTCCGTCCTGCATCACTGACAAGCGGGAACCACGCCGGAAAATCAGGATGAACTTTCTCGGCTAATGCAGGGATCGAACACCCGACCTCCAGGCTAGCGAGCCAGCTTCTTACCCACTTAGCTACCGTGACCCCCATTAAGGGTAGGAAATTCATTGTTGAGCTAGATTTTGATGATAGAGCGTCTCTAACTACACTTTAACAAACTTCATCCAACTACACTGTTAGCTGATAGTCCCCCTTGTCGGTGATGTAGGACTGGGAGTCTGGCAAGGGACGAGGTGTAGTCGTTCGGATGGGACGAAAACTCGAGGATCCCTGTACACATTGGCGTGCACATAAAAGAACGCTTGCCAGTTGAAATTGGATATAAAAGTAGGCCGTAGGGCCGCTGGCCGGGCACAATTTGTCTCAGTAGGACGTTAAATCCCATTTCATTTTATTAAGCTCAAATTATCAGTATCAGAGATAACTCATTTTTGACCATGCGTAAATTAACAACAGCTTTATATACTCCGGACCCACAGGAAAAGCTTTTCACGTGATTTGTATTTTCTGTTAAAAACTCTGAATTTTATTTCAGGTTTTTGCTCGAGATTACGGTCCAACAATCGAAAGTCTTAATCGAGACTTAATCATAACAAATGATTTTTATTATCCAATGAAAGAAGTTAATGACCTATATCAGTGCGCTGAGGGTAGGTTTTTCATTATCTTTTCTAACAATGTAGCATGCTTTTTTTTAATAAAAGTGATAAACTTGTATAATTAGTATATATTAAAAATTTATGTTTTATATAAATAATATATTTGATTAATTTTTGTACCCAAATCTTTATGTTCAATCAACAATAGGATATAATTGTTTTATTAAATTTCATATGTTGTTTTATACAAAACTATTGATATAGATGTTTTAATATTATAAATGTAGCCAGATGTTCCAGTTTTCAAACTACCTGTGATAATGATGGCTATGTAACGGAATATCGGGGTCAATGTACTTGTGTGTGTCCAGATGGATTAGACCCTCAAACTGGATGCACAACAAACACATTTGGAAGTAAGCCAAACGTTAATTTCACTCAAAACAGAAAAATATTTCGATGATCAATTATAACGAGTTGGGGGAGGGTAGTCGAGGTAAATGGTTTTACGCGTGTGATTTAGATCATATCGTCTGTCATTGAGTCAAGGAGTTGGGCCCCCCGTCCAACAACGTGGGGGGTTTCCAGGCCCTCCGGTTTCCTCCCACTGCTAAAGACCCCTACGCACAAGCAAATTATTAAAATAAAGTTGAACCATGTGTTAGTCCAGAAATTACTTAATTTTCCTCTCTTTCTCTTTCATTAAAATTATTCCAAGATGGACATAATCTGCATTCCTCGATAAATTCCTCTAATTGCTCGGATGTTTGAATTTATACTTGGACATCCTGCGGGTAGAGGGGGTATAACCTAGAAAATTTGAGGTTGTTTTCTATTAAGCTTTGCCCCACTTTGCGTTCAGTTTTAAGAACTACTGTCTAAACCTTCCTGTTTTTCAAACGGATTTCGTCGATTGTAAACTTTGGTTATTATAAACTTACCTGTGTGTTTGAAATTAACTCCGGTTAAATAAAATCCACTGCACAATTAAATATCCCAACGAATAAAATAGTTCTCTCTTGAAAAATTTGACTTACCAAGACCATAATCAATTCTCGAAGTAATTTGTCTTAAATTTTCAACATATTCCCTTTTTGAACTATTATAGAGAGAACGGTCAACTCTTTGTCCCATCTTAACTAATGCCTCTTTAATTGTTGCAATTTTCAGATAATTCTTTCGAATGGCCGTCTGGTTCTTATGCTTTGATTGCTGCGGAAGGTGGTTGTCCTCCTGGTTTACTACTGGGTTATCGTACTAGTTGGAGTGAGGGATTCTCCTGGTTTCAAGGATCTTCCTTGCCTTTTGCTGGCGTACAAGATCATTCGAAATTTAATTATGAATTCTGTGTTTCTCAGAATAATTTCCCCAACAGTAAGAATTACTGGGGAAGTGGAGAATATTGTATTCTGCGTGAAGGCGGTAGCTGTCCTGAAGGTAAATTTTCCCTTATTTGTTAGACACATGCATAATGTCTCATTTAATCCATTTTAACATCATCTAATTAAAGCTTTTCCGGAAAGTAAGGAAAAATAGATTCTGTGTTTAGATATTGTATTAATTGGAGCAAGTTTCAGTCCTATGTATAATATTTTTCTCCGTTCAGCGGATCCGATTTTATGGTCATTCATTTTCCGATGATGATAAACGGATATATTAAAATGAATACCCTGACTACTGTGAAATCGGGGGTTTATTTCTTCGTCTCTTGAAATCCCTGTCTCACGAAACTCTGACCACTCCTATGTAGCTTATCGGTGGGTGTAAAGCTCTTAATAGGCATTATCACTTTCCACAATTATCTAGTTGATAAGGACCAGAGTATCATTGTCGAAACGTTACATTTTAATAAACCAGTTATTGTTATTCCATAATAATCTATAGTGTGTTACTGTTCAATTATTAAATGCCACTCAAAGAAGTTCAAACAATAATATAAAAAATTTAATCAATTCCTTTAAAAGACCTACTTAATTATCGAAAAGCCTTGCGATGGCATTAATTCTTCACATAATTCCGCTCGCCTAGCTAAAGGCTATAAAATTCTCGATACCCCATCCCCGCCGCCTGTGTAACTTTAATTGTATAGCCAAATCGGAAATTATTTTACCTTTCGGCGCAGATCTCCACTAACGATGTTGTTCTTTTTCTTAGTGTTTAACGTCCGCTTCCACCGAAGTTAATATCTCAGACTAGTCTTATTTTTTCATTTTTATTATCTTAGCTCCAGCGCAGGGATCTTTCGTGTGGAATACCCGGAGTAAACCCATGAGGTTGAGAAGGCGCCCCTATATCCAAGCCACATACGCTCACACCAGGGATCGAAACCACAACCGGAAGCCAGAGGTGACCGGGCAACTAGAGGTTGAAGCGCGGCCCTCTAGACCACTAGGCCATCCGCCTCCCGCCTCCCGCCCCCCCCCCCCCTCCCCGCTCCCCGCTCCCCATCCCCACCTAACGATTTGATTATGTTTACTTATATACTTACTGTAGGACACATTAACCGCTTAGTATTGTTTACGTTTATAATATAAACTAATAAAAATCGTTGTTTGGAAACTAGACCTGTTACGAATATATTGTATACATGGGCATGTCTCTTCTGGTTTCTTTTTGAATAACTATGCTCTGTTTAATTTTAGGTTTTGGCGAAGGATATGTGCAATTTGACGATACCATCCGATCGGCTGCTCAAAATAATACTAAAAGTGGTGAATTGCCTGATGGTGTGTTTGGAGACGATACTCGTCTTGAATTCTGCTGCCGAGCGGATGGATTTAAAAACGTTCCGCTTGAACTTCCGAATGACAAGGCTCTAATATTGTACCAAAATAGTATAGATACAGCTTGGCCTGAATGTCAAGCAGTCGCAAGTGAGTACAAAAATAACATAAATGCAATACAACTTGTTACTGATCTACTCAAGATTATTTGCCTGTTCAGATTTGTTAATAATTTATCTAGAATACGATAACCGAATATCTCAGATGTATCTAGAATACGAAACCTATAAACCGAATATCTTGACAAATCTCGGATTATTTATTATCAATTCCCGATATCGCAACGAAAATATCTTGAATAATTTCGTATTATTAATTATCTATCTCGAATATGAGCTACAATGAATTGAAAGGAAATGTAGTTTAACGCTCTGCTTTTCTGCATTCGGGCTAACAAATACGACATTGACCATACAGTATGTTATGAGGGAAAATTTGCCCTGATAGCTGTTCTGTGGTTTACTCTTTTTTTTAACTGTCAAGGGTTCTTTTACGTACACGGGACCTTTTCTGTTGCTTTCCTGGCCCGTAGTCCTACAACACTGACAAGGGGAACCCACGCAGGAACTTTCTCGGCCAGCGTCGTACTCACTGAGCCACCGCGGCTCCCGTGGGCTAATATACTCGACAGATTTATTTAACTGTAGTTTCATGCTGATTTTGTAATGTGTTTTATCTTATTTACATTATTAGATATGAATTCTAGAAGATTTTACTATACGTTTGATAATAAAGCTGGAGATTTAGCCAAATTTAGTGGATCTTTACCAAAAATAGCTACATATCCTGGTAGAAATAGTTATCTATTCTACGTCTGCTACTATGAACCCGTGACTAGACCCAAATGTAAGTCAATATTTTTTGCAAGTTGCAGCTCTTTGTCCAAAACTAAGTTACCGGAACTCATATTTTTTAGAACTCGGGTATTGCCTAATATTATTATATTTACTAGAGAGAGAGGGAGAAATGGGGTTTAACGTCCACTCGACACAACTAGGTCATTTCGGGACTAAAATATGGTTTAATTTTATTTCAATAATTCGCTTGCGCATAGGGGTCTTTAGCAGTGGGAGGAAACCGGAGGACCCGGAGAAAACCCACGAGGTTGGACAGGCGACCCTACTCCTTGTCACGTACAACCGGGGATTGGAAACCACGCCAGTCGACTCAATGACAGACTTTATGATACAGCGCGCGCACGCTAACCATTCAGCCATTCAACCCCCCATTATATTTACTATATATATATTTCAAAGGAATAGTTAGTGGAAGTATTCAATCGCCAGTTGTTCTTCCTAACAACATTAAACCATGTAAAATTTCCACGAAAGAACAATTTAACGACGATACGTAAACATGTAATGTACATTCCTTAGACAAAACAGTCAACACCCCCCCCCCCCCCAAAAAAAAAAAACAGAACAGAGATTTTCAGTAATAAATGGTCGTGAAATTGAATTATAGCACTTGTATACAGCTAATTCAAAGGGAGATCAATCCGCAATTGCCACACAAATTTAAATATGGATGTATTTCGACGTACTCAGTAATTCGGCCATCAAGCAATTTCAATGATTTCATTGGTCATATTAATTACAGACATTTAGTATGGTTGGATACCAAAATTTATGAACTCTCAACCCTCGGTTGACAAATCTTAAAAGTATCCCGATTATTTATGATAAAGAATACTAATTTCATTTCTTCTTATACAGCGTGTGGAGGAGTCATAGAATTGTCACCAGAAATGAACACAGCTGCAATCAGCTCACCCAACTACCCGGCAAACTATGACAATAATCAAAAATGTTTTTGGTTGATAAAGGTAAGACTATTTAATTTTCAAAGATGTACGCATTTGCCCTTACATATAAGTCCCTTTTATCAACTGTCCATTCTCTAAACCTATTTTTATCTGAAAGTGTGATATTTGTAATAATCTGAAAAAAATCAAATTATAGACCAGGTTGACTAACAAGCACGTACTTGGCTAATTATTTCAGAACGTCAACCACTGTTTGGGTAGTTTTCTGTAACATGTTTGCTGAATTAAATTTTTATCATTTTAATGAATAGGGGCCGCCAAACAGCAATATTCTACTAAATTTTGATAAATTTGATGTTGGAACAATTGGTGCTGGATGTGATGATACAGTTGAAATACGACCAGCTAATCTTGCTTCTCCTAATTACAAGTAAGTTTGAGTAGTGCCGTGTTTACTACAAGTAAGTTCAAGTAGTGCCGTATTTACTACAACTAAGTTCAAAAAGTGCATTGTTTATTAAATTACAACATTGCCATACTAAAAAAGCAATTGCGGAATTAGGTCACATTTTGTTGTCGAGAAGAGATATTGGTAGATATTATATCGGTGTTTAATTTGTCAAGGAGGAGAATTATTTATTTTTTGTAGATTTTGTCATCACGATGGTAGAACATGGAGAAGTCATAATAATACCCTGGTTGTTATCTTTGAATCTGGAATGTCAAAAGTTAGATCAGGTTTTAAGGCGTCATTAAAACTTATTCTAGGTAAGAAATGCAATGGTAAAAAATATGGACAACCATAAAACAGATTTGTCATAGACCATTGGAATGTGTGGTTGGTTTGATGTTTACGAGAAAAGTCGCTCGTTCGAAAATATGAGGTCCACGTGTTGGCGTATAAAAGATAAAGGAACCTTGATGGTTGGAATTGGACGAATCGTAGGCGAACACATCATATTTTCTGGAAACATTCAGGAGTATAATACATAAATACATAATAAATATATCAATAACCGCAACTGGATCTCAAAACTGACAATTTCTTGTCATATTCATTTGTAGATGAGGAGAATTGTTATGTTAGATCAGATGAAGGCATGTCATATCGAGGTAATATAAATTATACACGAGACTTTACTCCATGTATACCATGGTCAGATGTTAAACATTGTCGTCATTCGTCTTTACACTCACGGTAAGTATAATAGCTTTCTTTATTAAAGGTCTTCTCTGACATTATTCTGGGAATTATTTAAATTCGGAAACACTGGCCTCGAGTTTATGATGTATCGAAATAGATTAATTTGTTGAATACATAATAACTCATCTTCTGGCATTCGCAAAGTGAGTGACATATTGACGTTTCATTTGCTACTGGTCGATTAGATATTCGTGGGCTTCAATTCAGGTTCACAATGGTAACGATTGCGTACTATATATTTTTTTTTTTTTAGGAAATATCCAGTTTATCACGTACTGTATGAGGAGGTTTCTCCAAGCACAAAACGAAGAATTTCGAAATGTGTTATCAACTGCAATCGTTCTTTTATTTTTGCATATTTAATATGACAGTTGAATACGCCCATGCCAGCCAGATTGAAGTTCGATAAACGTGGTTAATTTTGTATTACTATGGGGCGCAGTTTGGTAAAGATAAAAATGCGCCCATTGCAGTTGTTTAAAAAATCATATTTTCATGGAATTAACTTTAGAGAAGTTTACTTGAACTTTGATTATATAAGGTCCAGCAGAAAATAAGAAGTGGTATCAGACATTATATGTTCATCTATTTTAGCGATGTTGATGCTGGTTTAGATGGTAATTATTGTAGAAATCCCGGTGATGGGGATAGACCTTGGTGTTATACTGAGAAACTTGAATGTACTCGAGATTTCTGTGATGTATGTGGTGTTGGTAAGTAGATTCAATTTAACATATTATATTTGACCGGGGAATTGTGTAAAATACCCTTATAAGCTGCCCGCCTTAGTCAGTACCGTTATTAAACAACCGATAGTCGTAAATCACAAATTGTTCGAAGTTCAGAATAAGCAAAACTTCTGTTTAAGAGATGTGTCCGAAATGGTGGTTGTTTCTGAATACAACGAACATACATCCGGAGCTCCAAGGGTGATTACCACGACAACAAACTGATAAAGACATATTAGGATGTCTAGAATCTGTACATGTATGTATTTCTTCGTTTTTCCAGAGAAAGCTTTTGATAGAGACCCTGTCAGCAAATGCGAGGCATTGAAAACCAGTGTTACTAATTTTTGTACCCAAGATACCCGTGGCTTCAGTGCATGCCGTAAAACATGTGCCGACCAACTTCCAGCAATTAATGTTGCCCCTTCAGGTAAATTATACATGAATTATTTCTTAAACGTCATATTAAAAGTATTGTTTAACCAATTTCATACAATACTCGTATTATGGGATACAATCAACGAATTTAGAAATTATTCTCTTGTCTTTAAAATAAAAGCCCCTCGATTGGTCAACGTGTGGACAACATGTGGCCAATATTTAGGGAACTGTAAACAACCATTATATATGAGTCAACATTGGCATACAATATCTGTTGGCCCTTAATGATGATATAACATAACATATTTCAGTTGGGGACATATCTTGTTCTCCACCTACGGCATTACCCGATGGAACTACGAATGATGCAGCTAAGTCTAGTTATTCTGTTGGTGACCAGGTTACTTATACTTGTAACACTAGATCTACGTCATCAGTGGCATTAACCTGTACAACAGACGGTACCTGGACAGGTGCCTTAAGTGCATGCAAAGGTAAAATAGTTTATGTAACTTTTCCATAGCTCTTTTTAAATATCTTAACAATTACGGCCGGTCTTTCTAGCTGTTCAGTAATATCTGTACTCGTTTTTATTTTCAACTGGAATATAAACCTAGCTATTGTGATAGGAAATGATATTCGACTAACCCAAGTAGCACTTAAACATACACTATGCAGGTCTTTCTTCATTATCTAGTTTTTAACTATTATAGTGAGACCTGCCAACTCGTTATCGAATCTCCTATAATTTATCTTTAAATATGTAAAAAAAAAAATGTTTTGCACTACTTAGAGCAAAGGATTTTGTAAAAGCATCCACTGAATCTCTGACAGTCTATAGGCGACAGTGCGTTGGCAACAACTTATATGGAATCTTAAAACATCTTATCTGTCTCACATTGGCTAGTGTTTAGTAAAATACATTTACCGGCGAAAATCTTCAAAGTTCGTATGCCCCTTTACCTCATGCATATATAAGAACGTTTCCACAAGAATCTGGAGGTCGGGTGTTCGATCCCTGAATTGGCCGAGAAAGTTCATCTGGATTTTCCGACGTGGTTTCCCCTTGTCAGTGGTGCAGAACGGAGGGCCTGACAAGGACAGCTGTCTAGTCCTTCGGATGAGACGAAAAACCGAGGTCCCGTGTATACATTGGAATGCACGTAAAAGATCCCTTAGCAGTTGGAAATCGATATAAGAGTAGGCGATAGTGCCTCTTCCCGGGCAAAATTTCCCTCATAGCACGCTGTATGGCGTATTCCCGTCTTCATTAGCCCAGTGTAGGAGCAGAACAGTAGGACGTTAAACCCCATTTCATTTCATTTCCACAAGAATCAATAGCATCGTGTCGATTAATATAGAAAAGAGAGGAGATGGGAATTTTATCCCAACTGTAATCTTCTTCATTATCTTCGATTTCCAACGGTGGCAGTGGATAAGCGGTTGATCGGTCCCAGAATTTAGGCATAAGGATGGTACAAAAACGAGCTCCCGTCTACATGTTGCTGTAAACATTAAATAACCTTTGACAGTGGGATGTTGACGAGGAGTGCGCCACATTTCCACTATAGCACACGTCATGCCGTATGCCAGTCTTCATTATCCAGGTTGGCGCAGTAAAAATAGGACGTTAAACCCCATTTCATTTCATTTACTATTCATACTGTGGAAGGAGGATTATTCGGCTGATGTTTTTAAATTCTTCTTTAGTTTGTGATGATGGTTGGCATGCCTATAATGGTAATTGCTACAAGGTACACCCCGAGATAAAGACGTGGAGTTTAGCTAGAGATAAGTGTGTCAGCCAAGGTGCTACACTGATCATGCCTAAAACACAAAGTGAAATGGATTTTATACATACAATTAGGTAGGTAATGACATTTTCCACACATTTATACTACAGTTACGTTATCTTTGCAACGTTTTACATGTTGACATGGTTCGAGAGTTCCTGATTTCCGAAGAATTAATACCTCTCTACATAATGATGACATTAATATCGCTTAGGAACTGGTCAGTATTGATTTCATTTTATAAAGCTATGTTTGTGGCTATATCACAATATATAAAAAGCTAAAAGTGCAAAAAATAAGAATTTGGGATTGTTTTATTTCAGAGATGTTACTTCTAGCTATTGGGTTGGTGTGAGTGATTTAGCCATAGAAGGTAAATGGTACTGGTTAGACGGTACAGAACTTACTGCAGAACAGAGTAGATTTGCCCCAGGTAAAATTTCATTAACAAAATATTCTCTGTGAAGTGGGCATTCAGATCGCTTGGACTTCTTGGTAAATCAAACGATCTGTATACCACTTAGAAATGGTTCCACTATTGATGTTTTCCGTCTTGCTCCAGTCACAGTAGTGGGCCGGCCTAAGACATTCCTTTGAGCAAGTTTTGTAGTCATTTTACTACAAAAATGTTACTGGCCTATAAATCCCTTAATTTCCAATTACACTGACCTCAAACTGTACTGTACATAGCTTAACATATAATAAACCAATTCCCATTGAGATAAAGGTGAAACCTTACCGCATAATTATATGATATGAAACCCACTGCTATGCGAAATTTTTGTTCAATTTAAAATGGCCGCCGAACCAGAATCACGTGGTGTCATTACCACTCGAAAATACAGAAAAACTGTTCGGTAAGATAAGATTATGATTTCAGTGTTCCACTCTTCACTTTTTGTAACATAATTACTTATTTCCATGCAAACTGTGACGATATTGTGCTGAAAATTTTGCAATTGAACCTAATTTTACTAACTCATAGATTCGAATAGTGTATCAATTACAGCCGTGGATAAGAATTATCACGGCTACAAATTGCAGCTATATACCACTGGAAAGCCTATTGGACTGTATATATGAGAATGATTCGAGAAAGTTAATTGAATAAATACAACTCTTGTTAGAAGAACATGGTTGTGATAGAATAATACGTTGGTTATATAACAATGTAGCGTAAAAAGATTTTAAAAAGTTTAACGGGTTCATCGGTTTCCTCCAAATTATGGAATACGTAATTACCAAGTCGAAATGACCTGGTTTTTGTTCAGTGAAGCATGTGCTTTAGAGTCGCCTGCTCAATTGCATGATTGTTCTTAATATCCCACAGCTTTCTGTTAAAGACACTTACTTTAAAGCGAATTATTGAAATATAGATATCATCTATCTCTTTGTCTTATTTGTAAACAGGGCAGCCAGCTAATACTACTGCATGGAATGATTGTGCTTTTATGGCGAATGAACAGGGATCTAGTCTCTGGTCTGATGTATATTGTAGTGCTTATTATCAACAACGTTATATTTGTTTTAAACCAAATCATGGTAGGTACATGGCCCTTTTATTCATTTGAAACACAAACTGAGTCAAATTGTTAAAATTATTGACACATTTTGACGTCTCGACCTGTTGCTCTAATGTTTAAACAACGACACTTACATACGATGAGTGGGATGGGTCAAGAGAAAAACGAATTCATTCTCTTTACATCTAAGCTTGTATTTGAATATCAAAATTCTTATTGCCGGACCTTGACGGTGAATCAAGTTCTAGCTATACCCTTATTAAGCCTGAACAAATTAATACGTATCTTTAGGTTCCATGAAATAAACATTTAAGACGCTTCTTCTAGTTTGTTATTCTATAAGTTGAATCAAATCAGTTATTTCAAAACTAGTAATTGGAAAGTCTTAATTATCTCCCCTTCTTTATGTTAAAGACTTCAGTAAAACATGTCGGGATTTAAGTGATGACTGTCAAGAGAAATATTCAGCTGATGGCACGTTCTGTGATATGGAGAATTGCTATGCCGCTGCTAAATGTTCCGAAACCTGTAAAATAAATAACTGCTATACAAGTAAGTCATGTATTTACATATTATGGGGTTTTTTTTAAATATAGCTCTACGCGCAAGCCAATTATTGAAATAAAAATTAAACCATATATTACTAGTCTGTGTCGAGTGGACGTTAAACCCAATTTCTCTCTCTCTTATTAATATAATTATGTGTGTATTGGAGGGGGGGGGGGGGGCTCGAATGGTTAACGCGTGCGCGCGGCATCATTGAGTCAAATGGCGTGGTTTGACAAGGAGTAGGGTCCTCTGTCCAACCTTGTGGATTATATACGGGTCCTCCGGTTTTCTCCCACTACAAAAGACACCTATGCGCCATTGAATTATTGAAATAAAATTGAACCATATGTTAGTCTCGAAATGACCTAGTTTCTTGCTCTCTCTCTCTCTATCTGTATTTTTATGAACAGAATACAAATGGCCAGTAACTCAATACGCACATTTAAAGAGAGTATTTCGTTTCGTTTATTATAGTTCAAAATTTCGTTTTGCTTGTTTTTACTACACTAGGATCTGGAAGAGTTTTTTATCATTGGCGTGGGTGATGTGTGGGATCAGCCAATGAAACGATCTGGTCAGATCTTCATGTTGTGTAGTCCATCGAAAGTATTAAAAAAACGAAACGAAATATAGATCTGTATTTTAATAAGATTCACAAAGAAAGTGTGACCAATCGTCCAAATGTGTCATGTTCAATTTTGGTAATCCTGTAAGATTTCAATTAACCGCCCTGAAAACGGAACAATCCGTGAGAATCCCCCTCCTAAACGTAACATTATGACATTGAACAGTGGTCGTTCAACAGTTATTCCTGATTAAGTCATGATTATACAATGTCCACACTACTTTCCTGCGATTTCATGTTGATCGTGGGGGTGTCTGAAGGATGCATGTAATCCATATCCAGTATGACTTCTAATCTAGGAATTGTTTTGTTTTATTCGTATAAATTACTATCTTAAGTGCCTTAGTAAATTCCTAACTAACGTCTGGCGCATATAGCCCCTGTTTGTTTGTTTTTTAAAAAAGAAAAAACGTATTTGTTGGAATTTTTTGTAAATGTCATTTTGTTGAAATTTGTTTATTCTAGGTAGTTGTGAAGTTGGGTGGATAATGGAGGACAATAAATGTTATAAATTGATAACAGATAACTTAAATTATACTGCTGCCGTGGCTACATGTAAATCACAGGGTTCTATTGTTAGTAGTATGAAAACAACCAAAGAAAAGACTCTTCTTGATTCATTGAGGTAAAATTAGTTGTAGTGAAATTAATGAAACCTACAGTCTAGATTAACAGGTATGGGCCTACTTTGGGCCTGTGACGTCAATCTATGCGTAATTGTCCAAGAAACATGCATATTAATCTTACTTTAATTGACTGAATCGTGTTTTCTTTTAAAAGAAAAAACAGTCTCGCCTCAAAGAACAGCAAAAACAAGAACAAGATCAGCGTTTGGTACCAAATTCCTGATCCAAAAAACTCAGGGAGATTAATTGTTGTCTTTATGGACTCGTGGGTTGAATGTGGTATAATGTTTCCACTATTTTTCTCTGTGACGGAGGCGTGTAAACCCACATTTAAGCAAATTCTGTCTGCCAGGGGATATCTTTACTTTTAACATTTTATAATATACACAAGACATAATAAGATCGTAAAGATACGCATTTCCAGCACTACACGTTTTAGCTCTGATAAGACGAGACCAGTATAGTCCAAATACAGGGGTAAACTGAAGTCACTTAATTAAACCCGTTGCGAGGGTATTGCACCAGCCAATAAAATACATCAATATTGATAACCGCGGTAAATATCGCGCATTATTAAAATGGTAAGTTAAATGTTTTATAAGTAGACCTAATAAAATGCTTCTTAATACTTTTGTTAAAGTTGCCAAATTAACAGAATAAGGAATATGTCAGACGTAATTGACGTTGGGTTAGGATTGCTTAAGATCTATGTACAGACTCTTAAACATTAAAATGTTTTATTATTCAGAGGAACTTTTACCTTATGGATAGGTGCTACTGATGACGGTCATGAAGGTATCTTCACATGGCAGGATGGAACACCAGTTTTAGCCAGTCAAACAACGTGGGCAACAGGTAATTACTGATCTGAATAATACAGCTCTCTGATGATGCAACGTCTGTCCTGGCTTCCCTCGTGTTTTTAAGAAGTGTTATTATTAGCTAGGTGTGATGCGAACTAAATATTTTATTCTTATGTTAGACTTGGATTCGATATAATATTATACTATATCTTAACAGTAAGTTCGCCTTGTGAGAATAATGTTTCATGAATGTGGCGTTTACGGTAATTACTAGTTATACATGAACCACGTAACACGTCACGTCACGTAAGTATAACATCTTATATAATATGTAACGTGATAACTTTTAAAGTCCAACTCTGTGTTTGTGGGGTGGGATGGGGGTAGGCGGTGGTGCGTCACGTTCCCATTACCGGAGTAGTTTTTTTTTAATTATCACGTCAGTACCTTAGTTGAAGCGAAGAACTATTATAATTTATTTTATTTGATGAACCGATAAACTTTTATAATTTATTTTATTTGATAAACCGAAGAACTATTATAATTTATTTTATTTGATTATCCGAAGAACTATTATAATTTATTTTATTTGATGAACCGAAAAACCGTTATAATTTATTTTATTTGATGAACCGAATAACTATCATATGTTTAATTGATTATGTGAAACGAATAACTATTGGAATTTTGTTTATTCGATTAGGAGAACCGAATAACTATTGGAATTTTGAACATTGTGTTACATATAATGGTCAATGGCGTGACGTATATTGTAATTATTACAATTTTCATCGATTTGTCTGCTCCAAAAATGGTAAGTTGAAAAATATAGATACCACTTTGCAGTGGGGGGGGGGGGTATTTATTATACCTTCTCACCGCGTATTTAAATACAACGCCTCGTCTTTTATACTTTTAAATGTTGCAACTGTCCGTCACTCCTTGGAAACACTCTACAGATCATAGTTTTAAAGTGTTTTTATCAGACTAGCTCGATGTTTTTAAATGATTATGGACATGAATTGTTTATTCCTAGAGTTATGTCCTGTTTTAGAAATTGTTGGACTGTTTTATTGTTGCGCCTGCTAAGAATTAATCCTATCGAACACCATGCTATAGAAACCGTGCAATTCAGCCTACGAAATTCGCAGTCGGGCATCAATTACTTGCAGAATTATTGCCTAAGCAGAGTTATTGTTTCTGTTATCGAAGGCTATAAGTAATCTTTATCCGGGTTAGAGTTTTTTAGAGGTTTTTCGAATTGGCCGAGATTATGGACTTAGGCAGAAACCAAATTAAAATAGTGACAACATTGATAAACAGTCCGATGGGTGTGTTTCTTTGCCTGACAACATTTGTTTGTATTTTGATTGTAGTCCATGCAGGTTTTCTTAAGTCTAGTATAGATACACATCTTGGGTTGTTAACGGAACTGCTTATCATTGATGGACATTCATCGATGATGCTAGGGTTATTTGAGTTTTATTGTCTTTATTTCCAACTTATTCATCAACACATTGCATAGTAAATACAATCCTGCATTATTTGTTGATTTCAGCGACACATCAGGACGTATCGTGTGCCACACCCATTACCCCAGCTAATGTTACAGTCATATCTGCTGTATCCAATCTGACCAATGGTCACACAATACGATATAAATGTAATACTAATTATTGGTTAGAATCAGGTGATTTAAACAGAGGCTGTTTATTATCAGGACAACTTGGTGGATCTCCTCCGGTCTGTGTTCGTAAGTACATGTAGACCTTATTTGTGGCGGTGACCCTAAGAACGATCATAATATGCAAAGTCTAGATCTATAAATGAAATTTAGTTTCTGGACCTAGTCAATGACCTAATTTCAAATAAAGTCAAATCGGGTGTTCCGGAAATTGTCAGAATATTCCGGCCAGTATACGACGCACAGAACAACTTTTCGTAATTTTCTCATAGCTTCCTGCACTGACAATGTAGACGCGGGTCTGTGGGGTTGGTTGGGTTTTTTTCAACTTAACAAGCAAACGTACATCCTTTTTGCCAATATCACAAGCGTTTGCCCTGAGAAGTTGGAACTGGGAACGAAAGCTAGCAACTACACGCCACAGTACGTACTAGGAAATATTGAATTTCTTGAACAATTGAGAATGAAATTGAATTATGATATCTTCCTCAAAACAGTGCCGTTAATAAACCACGATTTTTCTAGTTTTAAACTGATTGGAATAAAAGAGCAGATTGTACTTTACATGTAAAGGTCGTAATGATTGAAACTTTGGGTTTTTTTTTCATTTACATTTTTGTTTGTTCATGGATGTCAGACAGATGGTTTGGTTTTATGTAATTTTATTTGATTAATGTTTTATAGTGGGATCTGAGGCTAATGTATTGACCACCGTTAATCATCAGGCTGTAAACAATAGGGGTAGTGCCATTCCAAACTTTGCTAACGGTATATTTACTACTAGTCATGAACAATTCTATATACCAAGAGGTGGAGAGATTGTTGAATGGCAGTTGTACAGTAATAAAGCCGGTCCTATTGCTCTTCTTGTTTTACGACCCAGTGGAACAAAGTAAGTGGAAAAAACAAACTAATTAAAATTTTGTTTCGTTTTAATTTTATTTTTTTATTCTGCTCAGTGTTGGACTTAGAATGGGCTAAATAATGTACAGTTCATAATCTCCGAATCCGGAGGGTCTTCAAAATGGCATTTCAAATACCATGCTGTTAGATAATTGAAATGCGATGAAATGTGGTTTAACGTCTTACTTTTCTGAACTAATGAAGATGGGCATACTTGATGCGGTGTACTATCAGATAAAATTTGCTCGGTCATGAGTGCACAGGTGGACCTCACTTTTTTCGTCTTATCCAAACGACTATAGGTTTCCCTTGCAATATCCTCCCACCTGCATCAATAACGAGGAACCCCTTTAGTTCCTGCTAATGTTTTGGCATATTCCTTTGTGGTTGGACTTTGTGGTTGGCTCGCTAACCAGGACACCCGGTGTTGGACGAGAAAGCACCTTATGTTTTTCCGGTGTGCTTTCTCCTGCATGGCTTGTATCTGTTTTCATTAGCTAAGTTGATGATGCATACACGTAGGACGTTAAACCCGATTTCATGTATGTCTGGACATTTTAATACATTAGTCGTCATTGTAGAGTTCCATTATCATAACCAGTCTGTTTATATTCAGTCATTCCCTTGATGCTTATCATTTTCAACAAATTCGATTAACTTCTGTTGTTATATATTGACTTTGTATTTTATAGTTACACATTAATCGGTTTTAATGAAGTCAACACCCAGGGCAGCGGAGAGGAATTCTTCCTTATCAGTTTGGGAAACAGAGTTAAAGTCCAAGCGGATGACTCCATTGGTTTTTACACACCTGGTTCTGTGCAGCCAATAGCCGCGGATGTACATCATAGATCCGAGGTAGCACGGTATCCTCAGCACCTATTACGTCGAAGTGTCTCCTCCCCAACGTCCACTTCAGCTCTTCTAAATGGAGTAACCTATGAATTCCAACCAATTGAAAACGCAGATGCTATCATAGTTTCTTTACGAGCTGTGATTGGCCCATCTCCACTCTGATCAGTTGTTTAAGGAAAAAATTATTTACTAATACCCTTATTTATGAATCTGTGAATATTGAGTCTATTATTTGTTTTCTGGAATTTTATTTATATAATATGTTTAATGATAGTTTTAATATTTGACCTCAACCACTTTACAATTCTGGCATTTAGTTCTATACCAAACTAATGTATCTTAGACATTCCGTCGAATATAATATGTATAATAATATTATAATATGTATCTTAGCCCTTCCGTCGAATATAATATGTATACATGCACCAAGATCAATCAAATTAAAATGGCCTTTACATTCGTCTCCGAATATTAAAGGCAAGCGTATTCACTTGGTGAAGGGTTGTATTTAATTATTTACATATAAATGTAAAATGATCTTTTAATTACATATTGTGTTGTATTTTATTTTAATGAATAAAATATAAAAAAAACAATCCTTATCTCAAAACTGACACAGTTATATGGGACAACAATCACTAGTTTATTATACACAAGCACGACGTTTCGATAAGTATTCTCTTATCGTTATCAAGCACAATGACATTTAGTGTGTGTGTGTTAGTTGTATTTTACGTCCGATTCCACCGAGGTGATATCGCAGACAATAACATGTTATCTATACAAGGTGCAATAATTTAAAATGTGGTTAGTGAAAAAGAGGATAATTAGGTTTTTATATATATGTACAGAAGACAATAGATAACAGGACGAGACATGAGATAACAGGTGCAAAGAATAAAAAAGTGCCAGTAGGCATTTACAAACAGACGAATTTGTGACAAAACAGACATGAATGTGGACAAACATTTAGACAAGGACAAACATTTTCAGACATGCACGCAATACGGACATTTGACAAAACAGACATAAATTTGGACGAACATTTAGACATAGTATGTTGTTTTATTTTGCCATCTTTAATTTCAATTATATATTACCAAAGAGCATATATACATGTATTTAGGTCGTTTTCGTCGGTATGGTCGTTTTGTCCGGTTGAATGACAGGGCGGTGCACTCTTCCTTGGGGCTTGTTGGTGAGTGTAAGGCCTGGACCATTCTTCCTTCCATTTGGTTTTGTTGTCCGGTATGGTGGTTGATTTCGTCTTTATTTCTGTTGTTCATTCCTTTGCTGTTGGTTCTCTGAAGGAAGAATCCAGCACTTTAAAAGAAAAGAGAGGAAAAAGGGAGTATCTGGGCCCTGTTTCACGAAATTTTAACTAAAGATAAAACCCAAATTTTAGTAGATACTTCAATTTTGATTGGCTAAGCACTAAAATCAATCTAATACTATCCAATCAAATTACTAAAATTTGGATTTTATCTTAGTTAAAATTTCTTATGGTGATTTGGGTTTTTTCGTTTCGTCTGGTAAGGCTTCGGTACGTTTCGTTCGTTTCTGGGGTTTTACGTCCACTTTCACCTAAGGTGATATCGTAGACAAGGGGCTTCGGTAAACTTGAGGGTCTATATATATGTACAATGTGAAACCATTCTTATTACTAATAATTAGAAGAATTCAAACAATTAACAGACATATTTAACATCAAAGACCTGAAAAGCAACATGTGATGACAAGGATATAGATGTACATGAACCTTAAAACCACACTGATATTGAAAATAAGAAAAATGATTAGGGGAAATCATACATTAGACAAACTGTATATTTAACAGATATAAGCTTATAAACACAAGGTCTTGTAAAAGAACATAAAACCACATTAACAAAATGTTATGAAAACAAAGCATAATAGCACTAAGATAACACAGTAATCTCGATCCAAGCGTTTGAAAGGTCAAATAAAGGCTAATAATAATTGCACTAAGTTAACATAATAATCGCGATTCAAGGTGTTGAAAGTTCAAAAAATATATATTATTAAAAGTTAATAACTGGCCGGGGGAAATCATAATTAGACAGACTGTATGTTAACGGATAAGAGCTTATAACACAAGGTCTTGACTCAAATGTAAATAAACATAATATCACAATAACAAAATGTTATGAAAACACAGCACAATAGCACTAGGATAACACAGAAAAGGCGATCCAAGGTGTTGAAGGTTGACAAAGGACTAAAACTAATCGCACTAGGTTAACATAGTGATCGTGATTAACGTGTTGGAAGTTCAAAAATATTATTAAGAGTTAATAATTACACACAGTAGGCTAATTCAATAATTTGATCACCTCATCATATGCCCTCGGAATAAATAGTCCCAAATCTTTGTTTAATTCTGGAGAAAATCTTTTGATGTTAATGGCTTCTTTTAACTTCCTAATTTTAGCAGCCAGAATTTCTACCTTATCCCAGTCTATTTTGTGTCTTGGATGGTCCTTCAAGTGTTCGGCTATGGCCGATATGTTGGTTGGGGCTTTGGACTTGTGTTCTGAAATTCTTTTATCCACTGGTCTTTTAGTTTCACCGATATAGGTGTTTTCACTTCATCAGTTAATTTTGTAGATGGCTCCTTTTGGTTGCACAGGAGTGGTTGGTTGCAGTTTTCCACTGGCGTTTAAGATCTGTTTGAGGGATGTGGGGATCGAGAAGGACGTGTCAATGTTGGATTTCTTTAGTAATCGGCTGATCTGGTAAGTGAGACTTCCATGGAATGGTAGGGAGATTCCGATAGGAGGATTTTCTTGTTTCTGTTGGTTGCTTATGCTGTTTTTTTAGAGTGGCCTCAATCTGTCTATTGACTATGGTTGGTGTGGGGGGGGGGGTTAATTATTAAGGTTGCAGAAAACGTTGCGTGAATAGTCTAATTCATGATCAATATACTCTGGTTCACATATGTTAATAGATCTGCGCACTAAGGTGGATATGAGGGCTCTTTAAATATAGTGGGGATGGCTAGAATTATAATTAATGTACTGGTCTATGTGAGTTGGTTTACGGTAAATCTTAATTTTCAGTTTGCTCTTTTGTTTGTGGACATGGACATCTAAAAATGGAAGGGCGTCTTCTTCCTCTGTCTCTATAGTGAATTTGATCCTGGAGTGTTGGTTGTTTAGGTGATCAAACAGGGCCATGGGTTCATCTTGCTCTTTCAAAACAACAAAAGTATCATCTACCTTGCGAAGCCAAACCAAGGGGGTGATGGGGGTCGTGCTGAGGGTGAGTTCTTCAAAATGATTTAGGACATGATCGGGGAGAGGGGGCTTCCCATTGGTAACCCATGTATTTGCTGGTATATGTCATCACCCCAGGTGAAGTTAGTGAAGTCAAGGCACATGTTTATAAGTTCAATGATGCTGTTAGTTGTTAATTTGGTATGAAGTGGAACTTCTAAATTTTCAGTTCGGGAGCGGTGAACTTCAGTAGCTTCATGGCGGGGAACGTTGGTAAACAGATCTGTTACATCATACGAGACCATCCTTCCAGGTTGAGTAATGTCTCTGACTTTTTGGCAGAATTCAGAAGAGTCCTTGATAAATGAAGAAGACGCTGTTCCTAATGGCGAAATCATCTTAAAGAGGTGTTTAGAGACATTGTAGAACACCGAGTCTCTGGAGCAGACTAGTAACCTTGCCTTGATAGGGTTTTATGAGTTTTTATCGTAGCTCTGGCGTACGGAGGGCGTGGGTGGTTGGGCCTCAACTGGTAAAAAAGTTCTTTGGTGATTTCTTGTAGGTCTCGGAGTTTATCTAATTCATTATTTAACTGTTTTTCAAGTGTGGTGGTCGGGTCCTTCCTATTTTTTTGTATGTGGTATTGTCTTGGAGAAGTATGTTTACTGTGTTGTGACAGTCATTGGTGTTCATTATAACTGTAGATTTCCCTTTATTTGCAGAAATTATGGTTATGGATTTGTCACCTTTCAGGTCCTGGATTGCTTCTTTATCTGCTTTGCTGGTGTTCTTTGAGTTTTTTTCAAATCAGGAATTTGTTATCAAATTAGCTATTTGGTGACGTAGAAAATCGACTTTCTCGCCCGGTGCCAGTTGTCTAAGGCCCTTCACTACATTGGCGATGAGGTCATCGTGGTTCTTGGGTGTTAGTGAGGGAGCACACTTCAGGCCCTAGATAGCAGGTTGGTCTGGTCTTCACTGAGTTCTTGGTGCAGAAATATGTCTTGTGGTGGGTTAAATTTCCATTGGTATTTCTGGGTTTTTCCTGCTTAAACTGTTCAAGTTTCTTGAGTTGACGTTGTTTAATTCCTTCCGAATTAGCTAGGTTGGTAGATGTCTGAATGTGTCGGATAGAGTTAAAATCTTCAATTGTGAGTTGGTCTTTCAGAACCTGATGTAATCCATTGATTTGACATAACAGACGGTGTTTGGTGTTCCGGTGGTGTTGGATACGTTCCCGGACAAGGGACTTGCTTGCTCGTTGTAGGATCTTGTTGGCGAAATTTGAGCTGACTGGGCCCTTAAGCTTTAATCCATTAGGTACAATGTCACTGTCTCTACATCTCATAAGAAATGTGTCAGTTTTGTTATGTTTCCAATTGCTAAATGCCACTAAAAGATTATAAATCTTTATCTCAATATATTATGAGAACCAATTTCAAGTGGCATCATACCATAAACAAGAAAAGAACCATGCTTTAGAAAAAATTTCACCGCATTTATTTTGTTCTCATCGGATGACTTGGGCTTTTGATGCTTTTTAAATGAAAATAAATATTATACGTCCACAACATGCACGGGTAACGCTGGATTCGTGGGCAACGTGACGTATGCACGTTATTCGGGATTCGGGATTCGCCAATAACGAATAACGAATAACAAGCCAGCACGTTATTCGGGATTCGGGATTCGCCACTAAAAAAGAACGATCTATACCGTGCTGGCTCGTTATTCGAGATTCGCCAATAACGAATAACGAGCCAGCACGTTATTCGGGATTCGCCACTAAAACATAACGATCTATCTTATATCCGACCATTTCCTTGTTGTGTGACCGATTAGCACGGAGACGAGCGTTTCGCAATCGAGTAGGGTGCGGACTGGTCTGTTAGAGTGCACGGGGCAGTAATCTCCAGCAATCACCTGTTTTATTGCCGAATCCCGAATCCCGAATAACGTGCTGGCTCGTTATTCGTGATTCGCGAATAACGTGCTGGATTCGGGATTCGCCACTAAAAAAGAATAAGGTGTTGACTAGTTTATTCGGCAATAAAACAGGTGATTGCTGGAGAGGACTCCTCCGTACCCTCCAACAAACCAGTAAGCACCCTACTCGCATAACAAACGGTCGTCTCCGTGCTGGTTGGCCGCGCAACGTCCACTTATCCCTACGGTCGGAGGTAGCGAGGAAATGGTCGGGTGGAAGGTAGGCCAGTCTGTTTTACTGTCGAATCCCGAATAACGTGCAGGTGAGTGCAGGAGAGGACTGCCCAGTGCACATCAATAAACCAGTCAACACCTTATTCGCTCAACAAACCGTCGTCTCCTTGTTAGTCGGTCACCCAACGTTC